TGGTTCTCGTGCTATCATGTAGTTGCGCTAACCAATATCCAATAGTAGACGACGTCGAGAGACTGACTAATGTGGCTCGAGCCTCTGGACGTCGGAGGTTCGGTGTTAGGCGGGAATCGGGCAACTACTCATGGACCACACCCTTCCATATGAGAAGACCAGGCTATACAGCCTATACCAGCTAATTAATGGTCCAACCTCAGACTTCTAAGCCAATACCACCCACCCCAGAAGATAAGAACGTGGTAAACTGGCAATCATGTACAGTCTACCCCTCTACCCAGTAAGATTTGGTTCCTCATTCATTTCACTCGCAGCCTGCAGAGCCTAACGAGAAACGACAACATCGACTTGTGCCAGCCGATTTAACCGACAGGCTTCGAAGTGATTGGAACCTCAAAGACACCAGATGCCCACCTGAGAACTATTTGCTTGCTGATAGACGAGGCTAGACACCAGCGAGGCTGCTTACAGGATGGCCCCTAGGCATGGGGTGTCCCTGCCCAGGAAAAAGCAAACATTGCTCTTTGATTCGTTACTAGGCACACCCAGACTTTGGAGTTCATTTCTCGTGATTACGGGACGGTCGCCATAGGACGCCATCATTTCCCCTTGAGCTTAGCGTCTCTAGGGGCTCGAATCACGTCCACTGCTTTCCATGCAGGTCTGCATTAGTGGCATTAGTGGTATGCACAGCACGGTAGCAGGTTTCGAATGGTCTATCGTGCGCAAGGCTGAAGGCCAGAGTATTTAGGGGGCCGCTTAAAGCGTCCCCGGGTGTAAAAGCCCTTCATAATCCCTGGGTGGATATGGAAACACAACGCATCTGTACTTGAACCAAGGGGTAGCCTGGGACCAAAGGTGAGTGGGTCTTCGTCCAGATTACATTCAGCTTTTGGTTGACCATCATTAATTTCCAAATAGTTACAAGCTTGCCATAGAATCGCTCTTCGATTCCCAGTCTTGTGTAATACACTTCTTCGACCAGTCGGCTATTCCTCTCCTTGTGCAGTCTTCGCTACAGCCTTGACTATGTCTTCCAAAAATCACCCTTTCGCGACAGACTCAGTTTCATCTCTGAGAAAGGCCCCGCCTTCGTGCGACTTCACAGTGGGATGGATATGTGCCATCTTCATCGAGTACCTTGCTGCGCTGGAAGTACTGGATGAGAAGTTCGAGGCCCACCCCGGAGATGTGCAGGCTGGAGGAGATTACAATGAATACACGCGGGGTCGCATTGGAAATCACTATGTGGTGGTTGTCTGTCTACCCGCGGAGTCCTATGGACTGGCGTCAGCTGCGACTGTCGTAACAAACATGCGAAGCACCTTTCCAACTCTCCGATTTGCGTTGATGGTTGGCATTGCTGGGGGCTCTCCACGAGCTGGTAATGACGTGCGCCTGGGTGACGTGGTTGTCGGCACAATGGTCAAACCAACCAGGTTTGGCAAGGATACGACTGAAGGCTTTGAGCACACTGGCCATGTTTCTCGCCCTCCCAACATCCTGCTTTGTCGTGTAAATCATCTGAAGATGCGCACACTCATGGATATAGACATGGAAAAAATTGTTGACGACAAAGTTCGTGCTCTGCGCATCACTCTCAGAGACAGGTTTCAGCCCCGGAGCACGATGGTGGACCGCCTCTATGCATCCGACTATATCCATAGTGATGTTTGCGATTGCAAGAGGAACGAGCCTGGTCTTCCTGACCGCATTGTCGCCCGGGAAGAGCGCCTTCCGGGTAACCGTCTTGTGGTGCATTCTGGGCCAATAGCTTCGGGTGACCAAGTCATCAAGAATGCAAAGATTCGCGACCGTGATGCGAGTAAGCTTGGTACGATCTGTTTTGACATGGAGTCGGCGGCATTGACGAGCATCGATGCCATTGTCATCCGCGGCATCTGTGATTATGCAGATTCACATAAAAACGACGAATGGCATGGCTATGCTGCTATGGCTGCTGCACTTACCGCCGTCGAGTTTTTGAAGCTGGTTCCTGTCGCCGATGTTCAGAAGACTCGGATCGGTATCACCGAGGAGGAAGTCCGTCGGTTTGTGGAAGCGTCAATCGATGAGCTGAAGGTTGTAGTAGATGATACCTTGTGCAGTCAGCAAGAGAATATTTCGAGGGTGCAGGCTACACTTGAAGGGGTCGATCAGCGCTTTTCGCTCCTCAACCGCTTGAAAGAGCCAGTGACACGCAACGAGGACGAAGTGGGCCGGACAGTCGTACAGCTTCGCAGCCTCGAAGAGTCTCACAACAAACTCGCGACTGCACTCCAAGACCTTTCGGAAACAATCTTACAGCAAGAGAAAAGAAGCTCAACCGCTGAGACTAAGCGAGAATGGGCGACTTTGCGTGCTACTGTCACTAGCAAGTCTGCGGAGTGCCGAAAAGCTGCCGGTTTCATCGGTGAGACTTTGGATGTGGCGGGAGACGTTCTAGAGGGTGTTGGAGAATTCACCAATAAAGATGAAATAAAATTTGCTTCCCAAATGACTCGGTTCGGAGGCAGATTTGGTAGTATCATCAGCAAACGCGGCGACAAGCAAGCCGATTCTCCTGTCAATGAAACAGCAACGATCGAGGATACCAAGGAAACTAATGACAGCTTCTGGCAGCGACCCAAGTTTGAAAAGCCCAACTTCATCAGCCAAACCCAAGACAAATTTTCGAGCTTGGTGGGTAAGATGTCGCTTCGCAAGGGTACCAATGTTGAACCAGAACAGAGCTATGGGGACGGTACGGATGCAAGCTTTGAGTCGACTGCTTCTAACAGGACAAATGGCCACCATACATCAACGCCTATGCCGGACAACAGGCTTGCCGAACCGGTTGTTGAATCACCTACGAGTAGCACCACCTTCTCCAGCACCACTGCGTCAGCACCTTCAGGGAAAAGCAACAGCATCCCAGGAGGATCCCACAAGACTGTCCCTCCGGGTCCGTTGCGACCAAAGCCCGACAGACTCCGGCACAGATACGGTGACGGCAGTGGGGGATCGGTACAGCCCCTTCGTGGGCAGGTCTCTCACGAACAGGGATTCCGAAATGTCCAGGAACCTGCACAGAGGGTTTACAGAAGCCCACCGTCTTCTCATAACACAAATGTTCTAAATTTTGCAAGGGACATCGAGAAGAACGGTTCCACTAATTGTGTGATCCGGCCCATTCACCAACGCTGAGTTCTCAGGTTGGAAGGGTGCTCTGTCGTTCACTTCTTCGCTGCCTAAATAGACATCCTCACAGGGCATGTCGCGGACCAGGAGTGGTTCAATTCGCGCAGGTGAAGAAGTTACTATGATAATATACTGATATTCCACTGGTTTGTTTCGCTGTGCTTTTCGTTTGTATCCTTATTCATCTCCTGCTAGTTTGTGTGTCCGTTATGTCCAAAGCAATGTTCAACTCAAATATTACAAATACAATATGACACTGTACTTTGGGAGATGAAGATTCTGCGGTTTCCTGTGTGCCGCACACGGCTGCCGTTCATGTCGGACATCCGTTGCTCTTCTACTGGTAAAGGCAGAAACCAATAACCCAGATCGACTATGCAGAGACGAAATCAATCAACCCTCAACTTATCCGCCCCAACCATCTCCGCCTCCCTATTCAACGCCTTAATCTCCGCCTCCGTAAACGGAATACCCTCCTTCAATCTCATCTCCCTGGTAATCTGCTCAATCTCCCCAGGATAATAAATCCTCTCCACCCCAGCCATCTTATCACTCTCCACAACCTTTTGATACAAATAATCCATCCTCTCCTTAAACTCCTCTAAATCCATAAATAAATCCGGCTTGATGGCCACCAAGAAATGACCCACATCCGCCGGCTTGGACGGATCATACGGCCCCGTCACACCCCCGGCAAACGCAGACCCGGACAACACTCCCGAAAACACATCCATCATAATCGCCAGCGCAGACCCCTTAGGCCCTCCCATGGGAAGCATCACACCTTGAAGCGCCTTGGCCGGATCATCCGTCATATTCCCCTCGCCATCAAGCGCCCAATCAGTGGGGATTTTCTCCCCACGGCGAAGCGCCTTGTAGATCTTGCCCCGGGCGGCGATTGACGGCGCCATGTCCAGAATGAACGGCGGAGTCGATCCAGCCGGAGCACCGCACGCGATCGGAGACACGCCCATGAGCTTGGATCTACCGCCCCAGACGGGCAGGGCGGGCGAGGAATTCGTGAATACGAGGGACATCATTCCTGCGTCCAGGGCCTGCTGGACTATCCATGCGGACATGCCGAAGTGGTTCGAGTGCTTGATGGATACGAGACCGATGCCGTATACTTTGGCCATCTCGATGGCGCGTTGCATGCCCATATGTGCGGAGACGAACCCGAAAGCGTTATGGCCGTCTACTTGTGCGACAACGGGGGTTTTCTCAGTGAGAGTGGGGGTGGCGCTGGGCGAGAGGACATTTTCGCGGATCCGTTGCATGTATGAGGGGATGCGGTTGGAGCCGTGCGTGTCTACGCCGCGGAGATCGGCTTGCACGAGGCATGATGATACGATCTTGGCGTGGTCGGTGGAGACGCCGTTTTTCGTCAGGATAGACTGGATGAATGTTTCCAGGTGGGTGGGGTTGATGTGGCGGATTTGGTGTTGGGGGTCAGACATTTTGGTGACTGTGAGTTTTATTTAATTAAGAATGATTAGGGAGGTTCTGTTGTTATTGGGTTTGAGGTTGATGTTGAGGATGAGGATGCGATGCTTTTATGAGGGGAGCTTGTTTCGGAGTTTATCGGGGTTGGCCGTCGCCCCACACGGGGCACTTCCGAAGCGTGACGGATGGTCCCCGATTGGATGTATGACTCAATTAAGGGTTCGAGAATGCACCTCATAATTGATGGGTCTGTTTTCCCTGACTTTAGGTCACAGGAAATATTCTCCGGAACGTTTTCGTTGGGATGTTGTAAGCCCCTGATGAGTAGGCTTCTTACCGCATGCCTGAAAATGCTTCTGCATCTTTTGCTTTCTTCACTGTGGTGAGCTGTTGAAGACCTCCCACATCAGCCCATCAATGTCGGGCATTCCGCTCCAGCCTTGAAAGTCGCCCTGCAGGAGATCATCAAACAGATTGAAGTGGTAGGAAGTATCTTCCGGGGGGTATTCCTGAGGAAGAGCTAATGCTCCGGGGATTTGATCAGAGTTGCCGTACCCCTCGGGAATGCCATTATATTCTGCCAATTGATGGTTGTGCGCAGATGATGAGCTCTGCATGCCTCCAGATCGTGACTGCGTTCTATCGGCTTCAGTGTGCAATCCGATAGTCGATTGGGTTCTCAGAAGCCGTTCTATTGTCACACGGGATAGATCGTCAATGCAATCCCGCGCCCGAGTAGCCTCGCTCCAGTGCTCCCCGATGCTACTAAGTATGTTCTGTGCCATGGTGAGACTCGACATGAGTTCATCGACGCGCACCTTCGTCGTAGTTCTCGGTAGTTTCCAGATACAGTAGAGTAATACAAGCGCCCCAAGGAATACAGAGTGAACAAGGAGTCGGCTGTACAGCAGGCTTCCTGTTCTGTATATATCGCCAAACGTTTGCAGAAGATCGACAGCCTGGTGGAAGCAAAGATCGAGCATCTCCTCCGACGGGTTCGGAATTGCCGGGCTTGGTCGCAGGAGTAATACCATTGTTTCGTGATATCTGGTCTTACAAAGCTTGATCATCACATCTCCTCCACTAGTTGATTCTTGCGGGATTGTCGATCTCCAATCTTTGAGTGATTTTATCATATCACGCTGCCACATGAAGATATCCCGCACCGGGGGATAGGCATAGCTCGGTACGTCACGTTGAATGCTGTGCATGACATATTTTATCTCTGAGTTCATCTTGGCTAATTTGAAGAGATGAATCGAATGCGACATGTGTGACGGTGACTCCTGTGGTTCGTTGCGGTTGGGGTCAGGATTGACAAGGCCCGTGTCTGGTATGTCCAGCGGAAACTATGACCTGATTAATATCTCCTCATGCGCTGTAAAAAATTGATCTTACCCTCATCTCACAAGCCTCATCTCTGATACCTATTGGACGCCCCATCATGGTACAAATAGCTCTATCGAGCGTATATACCACCCAAAAGATACGGGTCCGTATCTCCTGATCAAGCAATGATATTCCTAGAGAAGGAGATGTGCGGACGTCGCGTTGTAACCCTAGATCTATCACACTAGCAAGACACTGATAGTTGAGGTTCCATATGTTGACATTAGTAGAGGGGTTATGCAACGCATAAACCATAAGAAGTAGCATGCATTGCAGAGCAGTTACCGAGCCATATGAGCAGACCTGCTCGACATACTTCATGGCTGACGCATAGTATCCCTCCACGGGAAGATGCACCTTACATTCACGAGATAAATACAGGGCTGAGATGGATAGCACCATGTAAACCTGAAACAAGTCCAGGGGGTTCTCGGTGTGGGATGCATATACCCGCTCAATCACAGACATGTGGGTTGGCTCATGCAGGAACGGGTAGATAAGATGTACCGTTCGGAAGTATTTCCGTGACAGTTCCATGGCGCTTTCTTTTCGAGTAGGCAGCAGGGTAAGGTTACTCAGTAGTTCAGTTGAAAGACTAGTTGACTCTGCCGTGGCCTTTTTCACGCCTCTGGCTTTAGGTCGCCGCCCAGCGCTGGAGAATATACGGTTCGCAAAGAAGTACCCGCTGGATGGCCCAATGTATCGAGGACCTTCACCAGAGGACAATGACACCAGTCCAATCTCATGCGCCGGTTGATGCCCAGAATTGTTTCCCTGCACATGAGGTTGTGGATGCTGGTTGGACAGTGAATCGAAAGTATTCTCTTCATTGCGTGCAACGGCTGGAGCCTCTCTTCGAAACTCCCGAGAGGATTGGTGCACATTAGTGGTCGGATCATCTTCATGCTGTATATCGACAGAGAGTATCGTGCTATCATGATCTACTGCGTTCTCTGGGTCGTTATTGCGAGGTTCAAGTCCTAAATCCACATTGGCGCAGTTTTCCTTGACAATCGACTCGAGCCATCGGATCCGATTCTCCATGTTCGAGATGTATCTCCGCGTGACCTCCTGTTTTCCATCATTCACACATGATACCCCTGCCTTCAGGCAGGAACTACATGATGGCTCATTCCCATCACACTGCGAAGCGTAACACCGTGAGCGCGAATCAACAAGCGAATGATCTGGCTACTCACGCGGATCTTTCTTCGTTGGCATCGCCTACATGCCGCTCTATTCCGGTTTCGACGCGGCGAGTCCATGTTGGCATATAAACATCCGAGTGGGGACAAAAGGTCTGATCTGGGATAACAGATGCTCTATCACTGGATGACTGGACTGGGGTGTTGTTGCCGGGTCTTTCTCACTTTGCCACGTGATCCTCCTTCCTGGCAGTCTGTAAATCTGGGGTACAGCTAGTTCAACAGGTGATATGTAATTGCTATATTGTGATTGACCTGATTGGTGAACCGATGCAAGCTGATGGGTGAAGAAGTTGCTCCATCTCTTGCTTTCTCAACGCTACCGGCAAACGGCAATGTGGGTGGCGCGGGGAGTTCCCGACCGTCAAACGGATTGCCTCCGTCACTATGTCATGTGACTATATTGAGTGCCTTATATATCAGGCGACAATATGTCTCCCTGATCGATCAGTAGACTCGGCTTCTGAAAATGAGAATTTACACTCCTTAAAGTAAGCTTTTTCTAAAAGACATTATTGCGAGCGTTATATCAGAGATGTCTTCTTTTGTAGGCGTTGACAACTAATGGCTCTAGTATTATCATCCAAGTTGTGTCTCCATAACTTACACCCATGCTCTGTCAAGATATATAACTAACTCCTCTATTAAATTGCAAAAACATTCATCCTTAGCCCGACGCAGGAAAATCACACATATACTCATCCTCCTCGTCAACCTCAAAGTCAAATCTCACCAGGTCCTCCTTGTACGGAAACATATATGTCGATGTCACGCTGCCATAATCAAAGTTAGCCCCGGCAATCTTGACCAGAGGGCGATATTATCCATTCACTTACTCATGATGCTCCTTACTAGCCTGGTATTCTGCTAGTGCAGCCAGGTTCTCATGATAGCTTACTAGAGCGATTTGAAATCCCTTGCTGCGGTCTATGGGGTCGGTCACACTGGGACCGCCCACAAGGAGGCGTCCGGATTTCACACAGGGTAGGTTCTTGAGCTTTTTTAATTCTGTCACGAAGCGTTGCTTGTGCTCCTCGGTGACTTCGGGACGGAATTTAAAGAGGACTGGTTGGTAGTGGTTTAGTTGAAGATCATAGACTCTGTAATAGTTGTGTGGACATACCGATGTGGACGAGAGTCATTGTGGAAAGAGTCTATGGTAGAGACTGAATGTGAAAATAATACATACAGAGATAAGTTCTTACAAGAATATTTGAAGTTATAAAGAGAACAACGAAGGTATTTAGCTATGGATGCTCGTGCTCGTGTAAATTAGATTAGGTGAACCTGACCCGCGGCTATTCAACCATCAGCGGATGTCTTCCGTAGCTTGCGGGGACATGCCGCTTTGTATTCAGTTTGACTACAGCGTACAACAGACGGGACTGGGCAGGTCCAATGGGGAAATCATTACATCTAGAGTGTAAATCTTATGTTTGATCAAGTATACTATGTATAGGGATATATGTTTTTCTAAAACGACACGAGATAGTAACCCGTACAGATACAGCATGCAGCGTGGGCTGTAGTAGCCTGCCACATCAAAAACATAGAGAACATGGAGGATAATATCTATTTACACTCTCCCTGTAGAAGAAGTAATACCACCATCCACCACCAACTCCTGCCCAGTGATATACCGTGCCTCATCCGAAGCCAGAAATACCGTAGCATTAGCCACATCCCAAGCATCCCCCATGCGCCCCATTGGCACCTGCTCATCGCGCGTCTTCATATATGCCGCCTCATCACCGCCCGGCGCATACCGCTTCGCAAGCTCCCGAGTATACGGCGTATAAATCAGCCCCGGAACAACTGTATTCAACCTCACTCCCTTCCCTGCATATATCACCGCAGTGGCCTTTGTAAACTGCATAATAGCTGCTTTCGTAGCCGAATATGCAACCTGCGGCTTCCCGATATACCGCAGCCCGGCAATACTTGACACATTGATTACTGTGCCGCCCGTCTCCTGCTTCTCCATGATAGGAAGCACGTAATGACTCGTGAGATAAACGCTTTTCAGATTCAGGTCGACTTGATGATCCCATGTTTCTTCGCTCATTTCGGCGGGACCACCTGGTTCGGATTTCCCCACGTTGTTGATTAGAATGTCGATGCGCCCGTGGCGTTGCATGCAGCTATCCACGAGGGCCTTGACGGAGGTGGAATCAGTAACGTTTGTTTCTTGGACTTCGCATTTTCCGCCCTCTTTCTCAATTCGAGCCTTGGTTCGCTCGGCACTGGATAATGAGCGGTTGCCGCCGAAGATGATCGCGCCTTGTTGGGAGAGCTTCATGGCGATGGCGGCGCCGATGCCCCAGCCCTCGTCGGTGGTCTGGCCGAGGCCGGTGATAAGCGCGACTTTGCCGTCTAGTCGAAGCATTTTGAAGAAACAATTGAAGAAGTGAGTAGGTAAATATGAACAGGCAATGGTAATAGAGACTGAGTTATAGCTTTCTTTATCGCAACTTGTATGGAGATATCAGCGGGTGTCTGCTAGTCTTAGACTAGCTGTCAGTCTTACCCCTCATTATGGGGAACGGACCATCTCCGAGGCTCTATCGGCCCCGCGCGGCGCCCTTCCGTCGAGCCTCTTGCTGGTAAGGTTATCAATTGCAGTAATGATGGCTATTTTTGAATTACCACTTTAACGAGCAGAAAATGCCAGCTGGTCTAGGGCAATATATCGGAGCTTAGTAATGTTAGCGGTGTAAGTACCTACTTTACTTCTAGGCAACCATCTATGCTAGGTAATGCACTTTGACTGGTGAGCGTTAATACTAAGCGGGATAGAATTTTGGGGCTGTGTTTGTATCCTCCTACCGTAAGATGAGAATGCCATGTGCCAGGTTACTATAGTCTGTGGACACATCTTTTTTGATCTGAGTACTTTGATTGCTATGCCAACTAATATGCAAGATGCATGAATCAATACTAAACTGTAATGTGTCCATGCCGTGCCAAGAAACAAGGACATGCTGAAGAATTGTGCTCATGCCCCCACATCCCGCGAATTGGCCTCCTACGTGCCTTTAGCCTTACCCATTATGTCCATTAGAGGAACCGATCGACCATATTTACGGATGGCTGAAGTGAGAAAGGTGGTACCAATTTCGAGATCCGTGATGCAAACCGGGTGAAGAAAAGTTACATTGGTGTATGGATATCCAATGGGTTTCTGCAATACACGCAAAGATGTACGGAGTAGTGATTGTTATCTCAAATATAATTCGAGAAATTCCAGATCCTTCCATACATGGAAAACACGCCTCGTATTCTACTGTCGATCATCAAGTCTTGGAGGGTCGGCTAACGGCATATGATCCCGGAAACGCTACCACTGGACTGGTGCAATTGGGTTTATTACCTGACTTCCAAGGAAATTGGAGCAACTTGTACTAGATTCAAGCTATTGCGAAAAGGGCGTTTTCACGAGGCCTGCAAGTCCATTCCCCAAAGCAGAAGCGTGGTCAAGTGTTTAATTGCATCATCCTCAAAGTCAAACTGACACACTCTAAAGCTTAGATTGGAACTCCTGAGCACCTGGGAAGCTCATCTCTCCATTTCCTGTAAACTCCGGGACCGCCTTGATGATTCCCATCCATCGGTCAGCGGACAGGATTGGAGCCGTGATGTAGGGCTCAATCTGCAAGTTATCCAGATGCTCGTCCAGACGGCGATAAACCGCATCCACTGCGTCACACTCCTTCTGGAACTGGGCATCCCTACTAATCCCGAGATGCTCTGAGAACCAGGCAGGATCTGATTTCATAGCTCCCGCCTCGTATAGAGCCAGCAAATCAGGGTCAACGGATGCGTCAACTGCAGCCTCATACGCCATGCGTTGTCCGATCGCTATGACCATAGGCCGAAGATGGGGAAGTACTTGCTTGCTGTATTCGTCACCGCGATGGTTGCCGATCTTCTTCAGCTTTTTCTTCAGGTCGGAAACAATGCCCTTCTCATGCTGTGCAAGTATAGAGTTCGGCTTTGTGGGGCCGGGGATGGCATATCGACCAAGAAGAAGCTCAGTGGCGAGGCCTATCAGATGTCAGGGAGATGTTTCAATTGCTGCGAATTAAGAATTAGGAATACGCACGGATTGAGAGAACCAAAACCTCTCCTTCTGCGATACCGGTAGCCCGGGTCAAAACCTACATCGTGAGTAATCATTCAGACTTGATGTGTAGTAATCATTCAACTCACCTCAAACGTGGCCATCTGGTTATGCGGGTACACTCCCTGTGCACCACTTCTCTCAATAAGGTTTGCTAGACTCCATTGCCCATTCTGTAAGAATACCGCCTTGATGATGACCCCAAGTCCATGTTTTGCTCCAGGGTGAAGTGAGTTGTCTGTGCTGTACAGGTGTGTAAGCCAGTCGCTAAACGGTTCCATGACTGCGATCTGTGCAAGGGAGTGCAAGATTGGGAGCTGCTGTGTTCTGAACGAAATAATAGGGACGCGTTCCCCGTGCACACCTGCTTGGACAGTCCGGCGTTGGCTGTATTTGCCGACGCAATATGCGGCACATTTCAGAAAGGGAATGATCCACAAGCTTAGAGCAAGGGCCCCGGTGCCCAGACGGTGTATGGCTGATAGATACTGGGCGCGCATGTCGGCAGGCATCGCGAGTTCACCCAACATTGCATTTGCTGGAAGATGGACATTGTCAAAAGAGGTCAAGCTATGGTCGAGCACCCTTCCTCCATTGATTGGTGGGAGAAGCCTGGGTCGGGTTCTTTAAGTCATAGTGTGTTACATGAGATAATACCAATACTTACCATGAATGAACACCCTTGTTCATCTCCGTTCCATTGTTTATCGGGACGACAAAGGTCCGAATACCACGGTCCTCTTCATCCACTATCAACCGTGCACACACAATGGCTACTCGCCGAATGCCCTTTATTGGCATTGATGGTGGCATGAACCTGTATATTATTAGCATTTTGTAAGGTTGGGTATGGATTTTGTGTCACTAGTACTTTACTGCCTCAGGTGTAGGCGTATTGAGGATGAAGCTGCCATCACGCTGCAGTGTTGCCGTGGTCTCCAGATTCCGGGAATCGCAGCCATGGCCGACTTCATTTAGCATGAATGGTGCACTATTCAGTGTCAATGGTTTTGCAAAATTTTCTCATGAGAGAGTACTTACGAGATATCAAAGTTCAATATCTCTTTCATCAGCGGATGGAGATCGGGTCTCTTGAGGGCAAAAGGTGCCACTGTACCGGCCACCAGATTAAGTTGAATCGTTATCAATATGTGGGCAACGGCATCTCGAACAATAATTCCATCTTTGTGGACGGCCCAGAACTTGGGGGTCATATGAAGGCAATCCTCGAGGGTCACGCCTGGTGTTGTTAGATCTACTGTTACGGCCATGCAATATACTGACCATGTAGTTGACCGATTGCTCTGGCTCGGTGATATGATCGTTCTAGCTCTTCGATACGAGGACCATCCTCATAATGATGCTCGAAGAGGTTTGAGGAGAGGAGGCTAAGCGTAGACGAGTTGGATGTAAGGTGGGACTGCATTGTGCCAATTGAATTTGTGCAAAACAACCGCTAACGGGATAATCCTTATTGTGCTACATGGCACCAGGCAAGGGCATCAATAGAAGCTCTTTATATACCTTCTACCCCTACCGCCTGCCCAATACTAATACACGTATAGCACCTAATGAAATAACAAGAAAACAGATATTTGTGTGATTTCCGTCTTCGTCAGTTTCTGCATATCTTAGTAAAAGTTAGATTGGCGGATTAACTTCGTAAAGACAAGTTCTAGACGATAGTTAGCCATCTACGCGAAGGCTCATATGCAGATGGTGGTCTTTCATGTGGGAAAAGATCCTTATCTTTATCAGTGGAGCCCTGAATGCCGACAGCCTATTGAACTTGTAGATTGTTCCTGTTTGTTGACAGTTGCTGAAATGAATCTTCACATCATTACCCTAAAAAAGTAGTAGTAGTGCCCGTGATGATGTAACAACTGGAGAACAAACCAAGTATCATCAATGAACGTTCAGGGTAGCCATCTGCAGCTTTGATCAGTGAATGATGCAGCCTTTTCCCGTTTGGGGTAAATCATTGTGCGCATGACCTTCAGGTCTCCACATCAAATATGTGCACTCAGGCAAAATACCGATCGCTACTCTCATTGGGCACTATATTATGCTGGCATTCCTGATATGCAGTCCAATCGGCAATTTCTTCCTGACCAATAGCGAGAGCTGCCGAGGGCCACATTTCTCGATTAAACAGTATGTATGCATCTACTGCCCGATTGCGAGGCATATACTGTACACCATTCGTCTTCAGACACAAGATCAGCGTGGGGCATGATGGACAATTCTTCTAGTAGTATATAGAAGGCCTCTCACTTTCTTTACGCTGATCATTTTAGGGAAGGTTTCTTAGCTTCATTGACACTTGCCCTGCACGCAGTTCGTATACTTCAGGAGAATACACTCTCTGCTATTCCCTATCTAGCCAAGTAGAGGACTACTATGACAAAGGCGTAAGATCTCATTTCATTATCTCGATCTATAAAATACATCAAAAATGAGCCCAATGAGCGCGATCAACAGGCCCACAGGTAAAATCTCTCATTCCTTGCCAAGCGCATAGCCCCCATGGATCCAGCAGAAGTACAGAATGTCTTCGACCTTCTTCCAGCCGTAAGCCCCGAATTTATCTTTGGCAAATGGGAGGCCCATTTGTTGGCAACTGGCCATCCTTCGGATTCAAAGGCAGCAGCATTGCTACCCATCTGCAAAGCTTTTCGTTCCCGTACATCTGTGGATAAGTACTCGTTAGTGGGTGGGAAAAAGAAGCATCTCCCTGGATGGGGAAACATGTTTGTAGGTCTTTCGTATAGAATCGTGTTCGCTTCTCGGCATCATAATGTTGGAGCTACTAATGTATGACTGAAGTTGGCCGAAATAACCTACCGAGGTATTAGCTCTGCTGCCATGATCTATGGTGACTGCCCCGTGGTCGATTGTCTTCGGTAGAAGACAACACTATTGCTGGTGCTCGGTGGTCTCTAAACCAAGATGATGCCAGCGTGTTGTATTTCAATTTCACCACGAAATGAAAAATGAGAGTCTGGAGGATAGCTTCTCTACCGACCAGTAGGGGTGGAAGTTCGCATGGCACTAATTTAATCATCGCTTTTCTACCAGAATTATCTAACCCTGTTTTTGGCTTTTCGCGGCGCCTTCTAAAAGAAATGTCCTTGGACTAGTCCAAGGTCTCTGTTTTTTAAGGACCATTTAGGCGCGGGGGGGGCGGCAATTTCCTCTCAAGACATGCCCTCGTCATAGATTTGCTGTATTAGGGCGGACACTTTGGATCTGCAAATATTGGTCCACCTGAAAAGTAGCACTTCCCGAATCAATCGAGTGCAGGCTTTGATCGATGCAAGGCTTGGCGCTCCTGGCGTCTAGTACCATGCTGGCTCGATGCATGAGGCCTATTTGGTAAGCATCCGTATTGCATCATTTAGGCCGCCCTTTGAGAATGACTTTTTGGAAATAGCTAGCGACAGTAGAGGAGAACAGAATAATATGTGCCGAAGTTAGTCGCGTCAACGGTCAGATTGGCCAAGTGATGTATATATTTACTAAACCAACTGAGTCTTCGCTAGATGATTTCCGGTTTCGTAATATTGTGCTGGTAGCACGGGTTAGGATTTGCTAGCTTCCCGAAAATGCCACCAATTTGGACGTACGTCCTCTCGTTCCACATCCGAATGGACAATACTTTATGCCTTGCAAGTCCCACAGATATACTAGTAGGTTCTTGAAAGGCATTAGTGCTCTAGCCTTTCAGAAGGACTGAGGCCAGCTAGCTACCCTTGGTCTTCCCAACTACACTGCTTTGAAGACTCGAGTGCATCCTTCGATTTGGCCGCTCGCGCTTGGGATCAAAAGACTGCACTTGAAGATTATCTTTACCTTTGCCGAACTGAGCCAGAATTCCTAGTCCATGTGGTAAATATCTGGTTTTTCAGTCATCTCGAGCTTGTACCTGACGATCGTGGACGGATGCTGCCTCTGACGACTGATAAGTACATCTTCATCTGCGTTGTTGAAGCAGTCTACAATGTAGTGGCTGGGGCTGCTAATTTGGGGTTCATCTACCATCTTCTACAGAGCCTCATGGAAAGGCCAACCGATCGAGCGTACAAAATCCTCCTACTGTAGGAACTAGCCAATGTGATGTCCTTCGAATACAAAGGCAGTGGACTGGGTCAAGAAGCTTCATGGCCTCCAAAGAACCGAACCGGTCGAAATGGAAAAGACAACCGAGCTTGAGTATGATGCTTTCAGTGATCTGGCGGTAACTGCTGCCTTTGCTCAGTCTGTTTCTGCTTCTTTGGCACTGCCGCCCGCGATAACCAAAAAGGGGCAAATGTACCTGTCAAAATTTGGAAATCTGGACGCTGAGCTCGAACCTTTGAGAAGGGAGATTGACCTGTCCGGCTATGCAATCCCAATTGACAACCTACGCCAACCAGGAATGGCCCAAGGCGCTCTCGCTAATTTAGGCCAACTCGTCATTGATAAGACTGGGGCGGACATAGGCTTCCTGTATCAGGATCTCAACGAAAGCTGTCTGTTTGAAATCCATAACCAATATGAACAACAAAGAGATAAAGAGCAATCCGCTGCTGCCGTTGCGCCTGGTCTGTCTATTCCCGAATCCTCAAGTTCCGAGCTACAGATTGCAGAGCGACGTCAAAAAGTCAAGACCCGACCGGCACATTCCTCTATCTATAACATTACCCCGACTACCGAGGCTCCGGAGAAGGACGATGCCCCTGAAGCCCCGATCTTGAAGGTCGTGCCTAGCACCTTTGAAGTTTTCTCGACCATTTTCTCCAGATCCGATTCCAGAGGGTCGATTCCCTGGTCAGATTTCAAAGCTGCTATGGTTGACCTCGGATTCTCCGTGATCCCAAGATTCGGTTCCGTCTACACTTTCTCCCCGCCTCAGGAATATGCTGCCCAGAAAGCGATCACTTTGCACCGGCCCCATAAGTCTCATATTGAGGGATATCGTCTTCTCATCATCGGGAGACGCCCGGGGCGGCGGTATGGCTGGAACCAGAATTCTTTTGAGGTAGCCTAAAGTGCATAGGCTATCTATTTATCTTGGTTCTCTTCGTTTTGATGTAAGGGATCTGAAAAGGATAGTGTTTACTTATCTCATATGACTGCGAACAGATTCTGATCTGACAATTGTTTGTCCAAGTGTGCACAGCGCTCGACACATGTGCTCTAGGATGTTATTCGAGGAAAGTATATCGTTTAAAATGCGAGCTCTGCCGCTAAATTGTATTTCATGCCCGCTTAATACTTTGATGTGTCTCTTTGTATTTTTCCACGGACCATTGTATTATACTCTTTAGTAAACAATTTTGCGCCACCTCTATGTAAATTTTAGACATCTATAAATCCCCACATCTCTTCACCTCCGTCACCGGCCCATCATATTGATGTCTTCCCTGAACCACATACATAACAAGACTCACCAAAAACACCGCCACGAAGATCACCACACTCCAATTAAACGTCTCGGTCGTGACAGGTGTCGACTCAGGCCAAAACGACCAGAATAGCGCAAAAAGTACATATAACCAGCCGATAATGTTAACCGTCAGTCCATATCGTCCCAGCCCCCAACGCGCAGGGGGCAGCGTATGCGGGTGGAAAAGCTTTCTCCATATCAGACAACTCATTGAGATAGAGTAGGAGAACATGAGAGCCGCTACGTTGAGGGAGACGATGGCGTTGAAGGCAGTCTCGGAGCCGATATTACTCAGGGCCAGTAGGGCGCTGATGATGCAGCTGAGGATGATGGAGTTAACTGGTAGTTTGCGCTTTTCATCGACTTTGGCGATCCAGTTGGAGAATGGGAGTCCACGGTCGCGAGCGAAGGAGAAGGTCTGTCGTGCCGTCGAGGCGTTGAAGAGGATGTTGCTTATGATCACGGGAATGAGAATGATGGCTGTTAGGCCATTGACGCCTGCTGTGTTGGTGGCTTGTTTGAAGACGTAAATGAAGGGGAAGCCGGTGTCGTCGTTGAGTGAGTCTTCCACGGATGGCGTTGCAAAGAGCATCGTGATAAGGACAACTAGTGCTAGAATGGCGTTCGCGAAGTAAGACCAGGTTATGGCGATGGGCACGTATCGGCCTGCATCTTTGATCTCCTCCGACATGTGGGCCGTTGCGTCGCAGCCTGTACCAGTCAGTTCTAATCTTTGAACTAGTTGCGAGAATACCTACTTAGACAGCCATAAATCGCGGCAAGCTGGCCAACCATCACAGTAAGACCCATAGATGACCATCCACCGAAGTTCTCGAACTTTGTGAACACTGCTTCGGCGGGCTGTAGTGGAGCCAGAACCCAAAGTGTCACCACCACGACCAACCAGCAAAAAACGTGAGTTGCCAAAAGCACATTTTGCATACGGGCCATGAATGCCGCACCATATATGTTGAAAAACAACGCAATGAGGATCATCGCAAACACAAACAATGTGCCTTGCCATCCAGTGGGGTCGTAGTCGGGGTCACGAACGCTAATCAGGCCCTGGATGATGGTTCCAGTCAGGAATGAGCCCGATGCGGTTCCTGCCTGCCATGCCAGGACAGACATCCAGCCGGTTAAGTAGCTGAGGAATTTCTGGTAGCGTGGGGATGCAAACTCGGAGACCCAGTGGTACTGGCCTCCAGACGTAGGCGCCCTAAACAATGAGCTACTTAAATGGTATGTATAGACGGGGCAACTTACATCGAGGCCATCTCAGATATAGAGACAATGATGAAGCCAAATCCGATGGCACTCCAGACGTAGGTCCACAACATCCCTGCCAACCCGCCATCTTGTAACCCTTCATAGTCCGACCTGCTAACACTTAAATTCTAAGCGGAGTGAGAGATTACCGGTCGCCTTACAGCATAATGTACTCCCACGTAGACTGCAATACGGCCGAAAAACTGAGGGCTGCAAAAGACTGGATGTTGCGCTGCGATCCTATACATTAGTCGGGTGCGATTACCTGGGCGCCGAATATTTACCTTGAATTGCTGGGTCTTACCCATCCGATCCATTTCTGTCACGTCGTAGCGTGTGCCTTTGATGTCATCCTCCTGACTGGATGCATCGGCTTCTAGGGTGTGCGAGCCAGCAACGACGGGATCTTTGGTAGCATCCTGCCGCGTGTTGTGTGCGAAGACCATCCTGACCCTTAGGGGAGCCTGGAGCCAGGCAAAATACAGATGGGAGCACTAAGAAGGAAAAATAACAGCGAGATCGGAAGAAAAATGATCAAAAAATACGGCGCAGGAAAATTAAGGTGGCCGAGTTCCCCTCACCTTATCAACATCCTGGGAGTGAACTTAGCTTCACATTAGTGGGTGCTCTAGCAAGAAACGGCCCGCCACCCAGCGCTGCACCAAGCATATTGGCTGCAGGTGTACGCGGCACACAGAAACAAAGCACAATTTCTGATTTTTGCAGGTGCATTAGTTTACGGTCGCTCCGATGGCTGAACTGAGGAGTTGTCTCGCAGCTGGAAGGCATCTTACCAGCCCATGTCCGACCAGAATTGCCCTTAGGCACTTCCGTTGGTCTGTGCCCTTGTTCCGCAAGTCTCCACCTTTATTGACCCGATCAAGTGTCCGAGCGCATTTTTTACCTTTCCTCTAGCGAATTTTTTATCGGCTATGCAGGTTGCAGACAGTCAGGGGTCGGTGGGCGCTGAATATTAGTATGCACGTCGCAATAAAAATAAGATGACCAATGGTCTAGTCTAGACATTTCTTCTCAACAGCAGCGGTAAAGCTAAGGAAACGCTTGCGCAATGAACTGCCCTTGGCTTTCTTGGCGGGCTATTTCAATTTAATGCTTATCTTCCATCTTATTGCTTGGCAAGGCATCATTAATTCGCCAATAGAAGAAGATGAGTATAGGATTACTAATCAGTCTTGAATATCACCCTCTGTAAATCAGAATGACAACGTACATATTAGAGGTGATATGCGCCAATGCTGAATTCTGTAGGCCCTTAATTTCGCACATTCTTCATGCGGTTGTCGTACCAAACAAGTTTATTCTGATCGGGGGGTTCTAAGTATAGTATTCTTCTGAAAATTTAGGTTAACGGTCAAGCCAGCATTGGTTCCGCGATATTGGCATTATATGTAGCGGCCCGTCCTTTTACAATGGCCCGAAGATGGTGTTATTACCCAGAAGTTTGTATGTAATAGTATATTCTACAGCTTTGCAAGCCTATCTGTCTTCAAAATAGATTCCGTCTCATTCCTAGTCCTCCGAACTATCTCCCCCGCCGGTAAAATATCTTTCACCAAGCCAACCGCAGTGCCTGCAAACGTAGCTAGTCGCCCATTAGGTCCATAACCTGGGTTTCCCTTCTTCAAAGCCTTTTGGTACAGGTCGTAGTTTTGCTGCTCAGTCACCTTACCTGCCACAAAGTCTGTGTGTGTTTGATTCACAATCCCCCGAGGTGAATATTTGGATGGCCAATACAGGAACCCACGTACCCGGTCATAGACAGCGGAGCGAACTGTATGGATCCCTCCATCACTAGCTTCGATGATAGCTTGCTGGTATCCTTTCGGTATGGGAACTTCAAGAGAGGCCAGGAACCGAGTCCCCATCACTACCGCCTCAGCACCTAAGGTAAGAGCGGCTGCCACTCCTCGACCATCTACCAGACCACCTGCTGCAACAATCCTTGGTTTCAATGAACCATTCGCATTGACGGGAGGCTTGTCATCCAGATGATCAATGATTTCTGGAACCAAAGACACGATACTAGCAGAGTGCTGCAATCCGTGACCCCCGCCATCACTGCCCTGCACGACGAGCACGTCAGGCTGCAGCTTGGCCACAGCGTCAATTGCATCCTCCACGCTTCCCACCTGTACCCAAATAGTCACACTGCCGCCAGTTTGGGTTCGGATCCCTTCCACCCAAGGGACCTGATCTGCAGCACTGTTGGGTGGCGCAAACAGCCATACAGCACATGGACGATATCGGACAATAAGTGGCAATGCCATCTTGAGATCGGCTCCCCAGCTCAGGAACCCGACACCGACTGGTAAGTTTGGGCCGTCATATAGCTGGAGACGGTTCTGGTCGGGAGAGCCTTCCGCTGCCTTATACTCTTTCACGAGCTGTTCGGCTTTCTGGAATTTGCTGTCCAGGTTCGACACATCATTTCCACCAGCAATGAATCCTATCCCCCCAGCTGCGGATACGGCGGTAGCTAGCTCTGGGCCGGCGATGTTGAGCATGGGAGCTTGTGCTATCACTGGTGCTTTTGTCCATGGGTAGGTTGATTGAAATGTTGGCCTTCGATCCATAATGCCGGTGATGGGTGAACGCGCATTCAATACTTTAAGCTGGCTTCCAGAAGACATTAATCCAAGTTGAAGGATTATGTGTATAAATAATTCCCCGATGAAGGTGGTATGTGGCTGCTTGTAAAGGAATGCTGCTCCACGGTCCAACGGATGATCGACGTCTTCCCCGCTTTCTTTCCTTTCCTCCCCACCAGCCAAAATGCGAGAGACACCCGATAAACAAGGCACCTGCTAATCGGGTCCCTCCCGCCATACCCGCAGTATCCGCACTGCTGTGCCATTTTGACGTCATAATTCTTGACACATAATTCAAGAACGCATCGCATCTATTAATGAGTGAACCGGTCTTTTTTTGAATTTAACTGACAATTATCTGATCAAACGGAACATGAATTCGAAGACTTGAGTATGCCGGCATCCATCACTCGAGTTCTCGGAATCCGTGGTGAAATTGAGGTAAGTTACGCTCGACCCCTTGAAGATATAGATACTAATCGGACATAAGACCATCAATTTTGCCATCGATGGAGATTATCTTAAAAAGGCGCGAGGGGTCCTAGAGGCAGCAGGGCTGTCACGTCAATGTAAAGACGAAGATGCCTGCTGTTATTCGTAGCCCAGCTTCCGGTTCAGGGTCCCCAAGCCAAATGACCTATACCACATTGAGAGATCCCAGGATGGGAATAAACACCCTGCAATCGGACATATCAGTCTATACAAAAGGGAAAAGTGGCTGTCTAGGCTTTCTAGCATACCTGTTAGCCCCCCTGAGCCCGATGATCTAGACTATCTCTTGGCAAGTGATGAACGGCTGCCCTTCGCGTGCGAGGAGCATCGTCGGGCGTGTCGCGATAATGACAAGGTCAATGCTACTGAGTGTATCTGTGACAAGGAAGGTGAAAAATACACCTGTGGAAGATACCCCAAGTCACTTCCTGGGGCTATGATCCTCCATCCTGCCCGTCTTGTCGAGACATGGGTGTCAGCTGAAGTCAACGAATGGCTTCTAGAGTACCACCGGGACATCGAACTCTGTGGAGACCAAGGGCGGTTCTGGGACGCCTTGTACTCTTTTCCAGAATATAGCCTCTGGAAGTTTGGCGAATTTAAGACTGAATTCCAGCTTTGGTGGGTGATGGTGCGTCTTACTGTTGGATACGTTCGGGGTCTATCTGTGCCACAATTGGACCCGGAAGGCTGCCGCGACAGGGACATCCCAGGAGAGGCCCCTAGAGGATTTTTCCCGGAAGAGGACATGCGGAGAGTGTTTTTTTTTAGAAGAGGCCGTCCCCCCAGGCTTCTTCCCGGAAGAAAGTTCTTAATTTAGAAAACTTTGAGGATGAGGATTCCACGGAGGAGGACTCCCTAGATAAGACCTCTTGTGAAATGAACCCCCGGAAAAAGGCTACTGCTGCAGACATTTCGTTCAGAAGACGAGAGCAATTGCGCATCATTTGGCTAAAGATGCTTTATAAGCTCGCTCAAGGACGTATGATGCATCCTATCAAGGTTGTCAGTCCTGTCTAGTATAACTAGGAACGAGTCTCTCTATCCCTTTGCTTTTCTTTCGTTATGCAGCTTGAGACTGTGCCAAATTTGATTGAATCGGTTTCCATCATACTGGAACTCCACCAGTCGGGTGCTTGACAAAGCCTAGGATACAAATAAAATGACCCCTCTATTGCTTTCTCGATATATAAATTTTAGGACAGTAGAGACCAAGCACAGGAGCGTAGAAATCAACCATTGTAGGGTGCCAAATATGAATATAACCAAGCCTGTCTTGTGTAATGCTGAGTCATCTATGTCAATGCACAACTTGCCCCGTCTCAAATCCAATCTTCCTCTTGACTCTTCCATTGTTTCTGTCTTCCCCGACGCTATTTCTCTTTTCCTATGTCGCATCCAACTCAACCTTTGTTTCCGACCAGACGCATGTGGCGGTGCGCTCAACGCGTACCTCCCAGTCTTGTCGGACCGCCATCTATTATCAGAGAAGCTAGGAGCCCGCGACCCCAATCGGTGTGGTTCCAGAGTCACATCCCGTCCCAAAATGTCTACACTGTTGTTCGGGCAACACGAAGACGACCTACACCCTACCATCATATGTACCAACTTCTACACTCAAGTAGCTGTCCTCAATTACGTACCCTTTTTACCGAATCTATACCACCAATCCTGATTCCTCCCGTCATCTTCACGGGACTGCTTCTTTCTCTATGGACTTGGAAATGCTTCTGGATTGTAGTCATGCAAGAGAAGCTTCTCTATCTCACCTGGCTGCCACCATTTGCACGATCTGAAACGGTCTCCGACTACGAGGGACAATGTAAGCCAGTGCGCTGGCAAACACACCATATCCGGAGTCGCGATGGTACCAAACTAGCAATATGCGAAGGCCGCATTCCCGTCAAGGCCACCTCGCCTGGAAGCATTCAGGAGTCGAGAAATCACTGTAAGAAGAAATTAGTGGTGATTTGCTACTTCCAAGGCAACGGCGGCTCGACCCCCATGAGATTGCCCCTTCTATCGCAGTTCCTGCGCGCAATTCACGCCTCTCCAAAATCTTCTGCTTCAGCATCTGAGGAGAAAGACTACATGGTGGTTGCTCTCTCATATCGTGGTTTCTGGATATCATCTGGCCGTCCTACTCAGCAAGGTATTGAGCTCGACACTCAGGCCTTTCTTGATTGGGTTACGGAGACATATGCTGCCCCGGACACAGATCTGCAGGTCATTCTGTGGGGCCATAGTTTGGGAACAGCGATCGCAACTACCGGTCTCGCTACTTATCTTCCTCGGTCGCACACTGCAGATTCTCAAGCGCCAGCTTCTATTGCTGGTGTTATCCTCGAGGCACCTTCATCCAGTGTCAAGGATATGTTGATCAGCCTCTATCCTCAGAAATGGTTGCCGTATCGATATTTGTGGCCGTTTTTGCGGAGCCATTGGGATAGTATCCTGGCTATGGAGCGGATGGCGCGGTGGAGAGACGATCTCAAGAACATAGATGATCAATGTACGGATAGCGATGGTGACAAAGCTGTATTGCCACCAGTCCTAATATTGTCTGCCGAGAAAGACGAGGTAATCCCGCCACATGCGGCAGATGACCTTGAACAAGAAGGAAAACGCTTTGGCCTGGATATTTCTCGGAAGCATGTTCTCGGAGCTCTGCATACAGAGATTCCGGTCAAGCCGAGTGGCAGAGAAGCTATGGTGGAATTTGTTGCACGATGTACATCTAGGCCTGCCGGGGTTAGGCGCAATGTTACTTAGTACCTTAGGAAATTGGCTGGCCAATTGTCCCTAATATATTCCAAATACTTTAATATCAAGCTAGTAGCTGTAGCCTTAGTTTTGCATGCCTCCGAGTCTATATAAAGCGTTGCACTAGCTGGTAGGGGCAGACAAAAGGATCCAGATGAAGGTAGGAGGTTATACTAATCCCCAAATCTTGAGTTTTACTGTGAAGCGAGAATGTGAGCCACCGTATACCCCCGGCGAAATCAGCCACAAAGATCGCAAGAAGTGACAAGGTGAGACGTTATATACAGAAACTGGATACAAATACTCGGTTCCACCCTTCTAAGCCGCTCAATACACAACTCGCACTCCCAGTACAAATGTTCAAAAATCCTCCATTCGAAAAACACTATACGACGGCTGCTCGTATGGATGAGCCCTACTCAACCAGTCAATATCAATGTCGATAACTTTCACTTCCACATCAGCCAACTTTAGCATACCTCTTTAACGCCTCCACAGCCTGCCGTGCAACATCTTCTCCCACACAGATCGTCTCAACCCGGACCTCTGGGGTCTCCTCCAAGGCCCCCACAGTCCCGATATGTGGGTTAGCGGCATCACTAGGGCGGAACTGGCCAGTTCCAGGAGTGGTCCAGCAGCACTCGGTATACTTCCCGCCGGGGTAGCGGCCAGCGCCGGCAGCAAATATGGCGGCTTTGCAGGCCGCAAGGCCGGTGGGGGGGACGTTGAATATCAGGCGGAATTGAGTGGGAGACATGTTTGGGTTGAAGTATTTTTGGGGTAGAAGCAGTGGGATTTGCTACAGATATTATCAAGGGCAAGATATTGAGGGTGGCTCTAAGAGTGGAGGAGAGTCGTGATCGTGAGGCTGTGTCTGTGTTTGACCCCTCACGCTTGCCTAATGTGGAATGGTGGCGTTGGTCTACCGATCTATTCAATGACCACTACTGAGTATAGGCACTTTCAATGGAACAAATTCAAGATGCTTTCTTGATTTCCCCCACGTTCATACACTCGATCTCGGTTTCTACATCCTGCTACCCTACCCTGTAGATCCTGGTCTATCTCCCGTGGTACGTTGTAGATCCAACCTGCCGAGTGGCCCGAAGCTCTGGACTGACATCCCTTCTGCTATTATAATATCATGCAAAAGAGATCGCTACTTAAACCATCTCAGTCCCCATCCGTCGCAATCTAGGTCCATACCGACCCAACAGAAACGGGATCGGAACAGCCACCAAACAAATGAACGCCAACAGCGTCGATCCCCTATATGAGAAACTATTAGCAAACCCAGATCACCCAGGTCATAAAGCAAGACACATACCACCCATACCCCAACCTCCGATACAGCTGAAACCCAACCACCGAAAATACCGCCGCAACAATAAACCTCGCCACCACAGCAGCAGCAAGCGCACTAGCCGCGTACTCCTCAAACGCATCGACCAAATACGACTGCACACAGATATACGCCGTGACCATGCCCAATCCCAGAATAGCAGCGCCCACGAGCGTCACGATCCAGTGGACATGATATTCTGCAGTCCATCCAAAAATCAGTAGACCGATGGGCACGATCAGCATGCCAACTTGCATAAACGGTAGACGGAATTCGGGCATGCGCGTCGCCTTTCCGGTTTTCTGCTCGTAGCGGGCAGCGAAGTATCGATATGATGGGTTGGAGTATTTCATACAGAAAGCGACACCGGCGAATGCGCCGATGCCGGCGCCGAGGAAGGCGAGGCCTGTGGTTCCGTGTGTCCAGTTGTAGCTGTAGAGGTTGTATTTGGGTTGAGAGGCGAAGAGGAGGGTAATGGTTACCATGTGGAGGTAGAGGAGGCCGAATACTCTGATCCATTAGTTAGTGCTTGCCGGTCGATTGGTGGGGATTTCCAGTCACATACAATGCTAGGTAGAGACTCATGAACGTGCATATGGGTGAAAAGAAGAGAAGTCGAAGAGGACGCAGAATAGACTGTCGGAAGACCTGTGATGCGTGTGAGCCCATCTCGACCCGGTACGTGACCCCCGGGTTGGCCTTTTCCAGGGCTCTCTTCCGACGTTGCAGCAAGACCGGCGCATACGTTTCCTTCTGGAAGAGAACAGCGATGCTGGTAACGACACCAGCGGCTATAGCGACCACCCACATCATCCATCGCCAGCCATGCGTGCCGTACGCAATAAACCCACCAATAACACCTCCGAGAACCGGGCCACATATAGGTCCCAAGCCATACACCGCTTGAGCTTTGCCTCGTTCCTCGTGAGAAAACAGATCCCCGATGCTGCTGCCGCCTAGGCTAGGCCCTGCGGAGCCAGCCACGCCCGCTAGAAAGCGTAGAACAACCAGTCCGGCCATGTTATGTACCAATGCACAGCCGATATTGAGGAGAGTGAAGATGGCAAAGCAGATGGTATAGACGGGACGCCGGCCAAATATTTCCGAACATGGTGCAACGCCTAGGGGTCCTAGTGCGAGACCCACGAGGTAGAAGGCAATGGGGAGGGCTGGGGTATATGGGCTCGTTAGACGGAATTCGTTTGCGATGTTGAATACACCTAGAGTTAAAATTGTTGACGCGATCGGGGATAGAGTCCCTTGAAGAGATATCAGAAGCACGTTGAGCCATTTCCGGCTCTTTGGCCAGTTTCGAGGACATTCTGGGTCGTTTGGTCCATTCCAGTCCTGTCAGGAGTTTGGTTAGAAATTGCTTGAATGATTATTTTAGCGCAGAAAATGTACTACTCACAACAAGGATGGAATTGATGGTAGAACTTCCATCGTCCGGGCGTCTCTCCATGGTCTCGAGAGGACTACTGCTACCGGAAGCAGATTGCTCTTTTTCATCTCTCTGGGTCATTGTATCGTACATGAGACTCCAATCTGAAGAGTCACGCAAGTTCAAGGGAGGGTTTATTTCTACAAGTACTTTGAACGGCCTCACTTAAAACGTATGCAGAAATGGAGAAATACTGCAAAGCAGCCACTAAGCATCCACCCCGCTTTTTCTGCAATAATCATCATTTGTATAGAATAGTGCGCTATATGCTCGAAGCCTAAGCCGCTGGATTATTATGCACGTTTCCCAGCCAAATCGCTCCCTCTTGGGCATCGTCCCATGTAACGGGGCATATATTAGCCACGAGTACGACCTGACCTATCATATATAAGGCCGGATGCATATCAGTGTATGTTTAATCCCAACAAGACGGCCAGTAAAGCTTAGCCAGCATCACTGACAAAGCTTAGTCGAGAGATTTCCTACGCCTAAAACCTTAAGCTCGATCAGGATTCAAGCTATCTCAGAAACAAGTCATGAGGGATTTCTGGAGAGGAGATTGCCTCTCGAGACTGCCATGTACCGCATCAGGGGTAGACCCCCGGTGAGGTTCTCTAACGGCTGCCAGAAGAATAAAACTTATCATTCGTTCCCGGACTGCACGCATGGATTGTTGCTGCGAGTAGCCGCTGGGTCGGCTTCTAGTCATGTTGTACAATGCCGGAGGATCATGGTGCGGGCTGGATATATCCACCCAGCTATTGCACGATCAGCAAGGTTCTGCTAGCGTTGGGTGTGGCGCACGGATAGTGAGGCCCTCATCGGTACATTGGACGACTAAGGAGATTGCTCGCTTGGGAACACACTGCAACACAACATGATCGAATCATCCGATGGATTCGAAATGATTGCCACAGCTGCCGGGTGGGTACATGGCAGCAGGGATGAAGAACAAAGGGGTACCTAGGCAGTTGAATGCTACTGATGCAGTGAACTAACGATCAGATCACCTGACCATCCCTACCCGTAAACGATCGACCCGTCAGCGAGCATAACATTATATGATTGAATAAATTAGAATTAGAATTAAGCATTCCACTAAACTTGCAAAGTTTCATAGTTCATCATCCATTTCACATTCCATCGATTAAGGCTCCCGCACAAAAGTGCCCACCCACTCCCCCCAAGCCAACACACTCTCCTTCTCCTTCTCCAGCCACTGCAACAACTCCTCCTTCCCCCAAGGCTTCTCCTCCAGCGCCTTTCCCAACGCCAACACCTGAAAGAAATACCGATGTGAGCCGTGTCCCAATACCGGGCGCGGCCCACTCCACACATTCTGGTGCCAGTTCACCCCGTACTGAAATCCCCCCTGTAATGCCCTCTTACTCGCGTCCGCCACAGCAACATCATCTGAAGAGATACTGGTTTTGTCCTTCGCTAGTCCGTAGTAGAGCCCATGCACGATTGGATTCGGCAGCGGTGCATCGGCATCTTCGACAATGAGCACATAGCTGTGGATTTTCTCCGCAGGCACCGAGTCGTTGGGTACCGTCCAGGAAAGAGGCGGGAAGCGATTCGCGCCAACCTGAGTGTATTCTGCGGGTAGTGGAGACTGCGATGGGCCCACGGACGAGGTTACGGCGACGGTGGGTTGAAGCGCTTGAAGAACTGGACTGGTGCGCGTGAGTAGTTTTGCGTCGCGGCCTCGTTTGTTGCGCAAGAGACGCCCCAGGAAGGCCTCGATGCGGGGAGGGAGTTTGTCCATGGTTAGATTGGTTGGGTTTGGCCGGGGATTGTTGGAGTGTGGAATTCATTAGTTAAATTTTGAGTTGGGATGGCTGTTATTTAACTACTGTCAACGAAAGATGGTAACGCCCCTATTGTATGCCCGAGCCCGATAGCGGGCCGCACTTGGAAGGATTAGGAAAACAATGTATCCTAAAGCCTATTTCCGGGCAGCCGTGAAAGGCAAAGCTCAGGACCCACTATGGATGTATGTACTATGTACTGACTACTGACGGATCTTCACGAGCGGTTAGCCAGTATGGCTATCGGATAGTGCAGAGAGTTATTCCGACGGGATATTGGTTGATTGGGGCTGCCATTCTCACTTTGCTGTGGTCATCTGATGACGTGCCAGCCAAGGACGGTGGCATCGGTAAACCATGGGCTTCGTATCGGGACTTTCGGAGTTTCCCAATGTAGAAATAAGATACCATCTCTCCTTCAAGTAGAAAGTTGGAGTGGTTAAAGCACATACCTGTATTAGACCCGCTGGTTAGGGGCTATGTAGGCTTAATCAATCTTATCGCCGGTTATGCACCTTCGTTGGGGACGGAAAAAGGAGAAAGGATGGCGCGGATTGATCCATTGACTTCCTGCCTCTGTCTGCTATTGCGATATTATGCTATATTGGTGAGCGTTCTTCAACAAGTCGTCTCGATGGTGTAGTTGGTTATCACGTGGGTCTCATACTACAGTATGACGTGGAAGCATAACTTCCATGCGATCCCAAGGCCGGGAGTTCGAACCTCCCTCGGGACAGATCTTTTTCCTTTCCTTACTTTTTTGCTCCCGCTTCGAATCAATCTCTCATCTCTTCAGAATCAAACTCATTCTTATTTTTTGCTCCTTTTTTTTATGTAGTTAATTTTCCGAACACATCACAGGTATCCCTCATATATACTGATAGTACTAGTAAGCCTTTTTGAGTTGCCTTCAGATCCTCAATGTCGACTTCAGGTTGATTGAAGCCGCTCTACCGCATAATATATTTTCAGACACGTAAGTTAGTATGGCCGGTGGTTGGAGTCATTGTTCAACAAGATCTACCACTTTCTCAGGCTCCTCATAACCCTTTCCAGCCCCGTCGTCATTTGCCAAACGACCTTTTTTAATCCTCTCAGTACTGATTGAAGCAGCGTACAGAAAACCCTCCTCCCACATGGCTATACAAAGTGCCCAGGTGAAGTCGACTTTGCGCTGCCAATCATCGTCACACATCAATCTGAGTGCCGCCGGGTTGTATACGTGGAAATCTGGCTGATCCGCCCCAGTTAGATATTTAACCAAAAACATCTCGAGAACCTCTTGCTCTTCGGGTCTTGTAGCTAGCTCCACAGCCCCGGAGACAGCATGGCCACCCGAGACCACCTTTCCGGACCAAGGAATCGTAATTTCAAATCACTCGGGCGTATGCTGTGTGAACCTTGAGTCGTCCACGAGGTCGCTATACCCAGGGAGGGTCCCCTTGAACCTCCACCCTACTTTGAACCCCAGGTTTTCGGGGACAGCAACAGCATTTTCCATAACACGATGACGAGCGTTTGACATCTGCCATATGAAGGTCGCCAGAATTAACAAAATTCCGGTTCGTACTTGCGGTTCTCCATCGACTAAGTCGAAAGGGCCCCGAGCCGAGCATAAGCCCTCCTCCTTTGCACAAAGAAGGCACTATATTGCCTATTTCTCCAGATGCCATGTCATACCCAAGGTCAATGAAGTCATGCACCGCCACCAGCGCTCCCAGAATGAGAACTGAAGTGACGTCGCCTCGACTGTCGTAAAGCCCACTCGCGAAAACGCCGTCGGTGCAACGGAACGCGCACATGGCTTTGAGGTCGTCCCATACAACATACCCCGGTGCCTTCTTCCCAGCGCTGCGAGCAGCTTCTTCGGTTTTCATCTTAAACTTGATTTGCACATAGTTGGCAAACTTCAGAGTCACCCCGTCGCCCACATATTTGTGAACAGCACCGCTCGCCACTTTCACACAACGGTTTCTGATCGCCTGCAGCTCTGCATCGCAGTCAGGCCGACTTCCGATCGCGTAGTCGTACAGAAACTGAGTGTCTTGCATTGACCATACCCCGCCGTATGCTCCGCCATAGACGAAAAAGTCAATAGCGCAACTCAGACTGTACACACAAGTATTTCGCATAATTCCTCTGGCCTCGAAAGCCTGGAATATCTTTGCCATTTCGGCACTTTGGACCTGACCAACACCGTCTCCTTTGGAGAACACATTTCCCTCGATCACCGGATGGCCAACCTGACTTGGGAGCGCCGGAACAAACGTAATATACCTGTTGGAGACTGGTACACCCTTCACGCTTGCAGCGGCTCTCGCATCCAAGCTCAAGTCGACTGAAACTATTGCCGAGACGATAAGATTCCCAATGTCCCCAACGGCAACATTCCGAGCAAACAGTGGCCTGATTACAGCGTCAACGGCGACACATAATCTGCAACTACAACCCTCGGTCAACCGACCCAGGCTAGTGGCCGTATGAACATAATCGAAATCTGCTACAAGCGCACTGTCGACAACAGAGCCAGGGAGCGAAAATACCATGTCGCGCAGGTAATATGGGTCGATTGCAGCTTTATCCGAACTCCTACCAACTCTCAGTGCTGGGTCTGCCCCACTCTTATCCCAAGAGGCATTGAAAACGTCCTGCATACGAGGCCTGTGGATCGCTGGCTCCAGTCGCCAGAAGCTCGTCAAGGATCCTTCAGACCTCTTCGAGTGCTTCTGAAGCTCACGCATGGACGATTCTACCCATAAGAGATCTCGAGCAGGTGACTTCCTCTCGAGCCATAAGTTACCACATGCCATCCCGTCAAGGTAAGGGCAACGACTTCCGCCCAGACCTGCTCCCGTGAGTCCGGGTGTCATGCCGCTGCTGGTCAGGCTGGCAGCCTCAGACCCTTGGCTTTTCAGCAACACTCGGTACGTATTTTATTTTCCATTGAAGATTTTTTTCTTCGGTCTCAGGGGCACAGCTTGGCTCTGTGCATCCTGACTTTGGGAGCTCATCAACATGATCAGGAGAGCTTAGGTTTCACAATCTGAAAGGAGCCTTCAACGGCATATTTAGCTTCGCGGGTACCGTCGAATTCCTGCGAAACGAGGTCTTCCAGCTTCTCGAATGAAACATGTTGGATGGCTCCTCGAGAAGCCACTCGAGAAGATCTTGACCACAAACTGTCGACATGGTCTATACCCACTTGAAATTAGTCTTACTCTATTTTGGGGGGTCCTCAGACTAACCGTCGCTTGTCGATATCAGCGGGAACTGAGTAGTGGTGGAGTTAAAGTGAATGTTTATAGATCAGCAATGTGGCATGACTACATGTGATGAATAGATATGATATTGAAGGATAATCCAGCAGAAGCCGGGGTGCCCTATAGACCATTTATAGATCACAGGCATAGAATTGAACGTCATATGGCGTTCTCTTCTCCTCCACCTGCCACTGTAGGTTATAGTCCCAATTCGTCCACTTACCTTGAATCAAAGTTTCTATGTATATCTGGTATCCCAGTAAATGTTACACAAGCCAGAGTGACTCTCGTTTTCAAGTTGTACAACGTAAGCGCTTATATTTACTCTAACTATCAGTTTGTTCATGAACCTTCCTCCAACCTTAACCCGAACACATTTCCTCTCGAGACTTGTTCTGTTTTAGTGCAAGGGATAAAGGGAGGTTATCAAATAGGAAATCTTTTATAACGCCTTGCTTTGTGTAACGGATGTTTTCTCTTTGTGGACCTAATGTACGTAATGTGCTGTCATTCACCAGCATTAACTATAGAAAGCAAACTTTCGGCTACTCGAATGACAAGTGCGCATATCAAGTCCTTGCAACCGCAACGCATGACTCTCATGCTGCCAGAGCCTGATGCATACCCCACAAAGGGAAACATTTCCCGATGATGCAGAATACATTGGGAAGTGCTTTTGCTGTCAACACAACTAGATGCATTATGGGCATGCTACATTCCTGAACAATGTAATAACAGGTAACAGTGAAGCTCGTTGGGCAATTATTCCGATCGGCTCAAAGCAGGTATCCCGAACCCGCCGAGTAATCTAGCATGCGTCTCGTCTAAAGCTGCTGTCCTGACTCGAAGGAGAAGGTGAGGGCTGGAATTCCACATGGAGTTTCCATAATCATCTTCATAGGATAAAGTAAAAGACAATCTAGTACATACGACCATAGGGTGTGGAAAACAGGGCTTCCCGTCCGCTCAGCCGTACTTAAGCCACACGCCGGGAGGTTAGTAGTTGGGTGGGTGACCACCAGCGAATCCCTTCTGTTGTATGTTTTTATCTTCCATTTTTTTTGTTTCCTGTTTCTCTTGTCTTTGATGTTCAATTTTATTAGCTTCCGTTGGAAATAATCGTGGTGACGCTCAAACGCGTGGCCAAATTCTCATCAAGGGATGCGGTGCGCGAGCTTGCAATTTAGATCTAAATCCCCTGCTACGCGAAGGTATTCTTGGTTTAGGCCGTTCAGGCGATGGCGTGCGGGGAAGCTGAGCTGATATCCCTGAGAAGATTTTAATCTAGCACAGAAGCTCACCAGTGACATAGCTCAGGGTGTAAGTAAGCCACACTCAAGGAGTCGACGGTCTTAGCGACCCAAGCACTGAACGGATGCAACCATCATGGGTAGGCAATCTCTAGGAGAGCGTTGCCCTTGAGATACAGGAGATATTCGGGCCTGGCATTTACCAGGCGTGTAATTGCATTAGGGGTGCGAAGAAGATTGTCTTAACAAAATACTTTGTGATGTTGTCATAGACCTAGGACCTATTTCCGGCATCATCGGCCCACTTCTGAAGAGCAACGAAGATATATCAATGATAGCTAAAGTACCAGAAGGCAGGGCTACCGCCGATCTGGAACACAGATCCAAGACTTTTTCAGCGAAAGGCCGCAGCCCGCCACGGAGGTTACAGTTAGTCTTACCATCTTTTCACCGGTAAAGTTCACGACTGGGTAAATAGATTGCTGACCCCAGTGTTAGTGATGCAAAGCTGGCTGGCCCTGACTTAGCACTACTGGCCACCGGAGTTCCAGCAACCTTCCAAGGATACTATACGTCGTCACAAGGCGAGGTGTGGCTGTCATCGAACAGTTCGGTGTATCCCGGCACCTCATTCAGGTTGCCCATCAGGTGCCTCCTATTGGGTGATGGAGTATATTTCCAACAACGTTTTCGGAAGGCTGGCTACCAGCACCTGGGGGCCAGGGCCCAGACTTCTTCACATTTCGAGTCTGCAACCGACTGCAGGTTATGGCGTCTGCAAAGAGGCCTGGGTAGCAGCGACTTTCCACGTTCGGCCTACAGGAATGGAGTGGGGCTACAGTCTGGGATCGGAGGCCCCAAAATAAACCTAGTCTTGTCCGGCTGCGGCTGTTCGACGCTGATCCTCAAGGCATTTCGAATGGGTATGGCCGCGGAGGTACTTCAGATCACCATGACACGTTGCATATGGTACTACGGCCAGCCGCATCTCAACCCACCTTTTTCCTAGAGCCAACCAGAGATAGACATGATATGGAACCCATGGAATGAAACATCGAGAGTATGCAACCGGGTGAGACAATGGCATCCGCTATTCCGCGGCCGCTATCCTAATTTTTGCACGACTTGTGCAGTTTCCAGGAATCCTTCCTACAACACAAGCCGAAAGAATTCGAAAGAATTCTATGAGGTGTGAACCTGCTATAGTAAGATTATTAACTATACGAGGCCGTTAACCTTCAGTCGTGACTCTTTAGGACTTATCGCAAGCCGAAGTTTTATGAGGCACCAAAATTAGCACCAGAACTTAATATATCTGCACTATAATGCAAGAAAAATAACATTCATGATACTTCGTTGATGGTCAAAACTACAGAGTGCCAACCTTCATTTGGCTAGCTTTTACCAGATCCATTAACCAGAAATGAGTCCGTAAGAGTGAAAAGGGTGCTTCTGATCTCGAATACCGCGGTGCATAATGTTGCGTGTAGTATCTAACAACAAAAAGGCATGCTAATGCACTCAAGTGCGTCACTATAGATTTGTATACCACCCTAAGACTAAGTGGCATTGAGGTTCGAGCAGGCTGGACAGCACGCCGTGAAGATAGTGCCTTTCCCCCAGTAGGAGTAATTGGTGCAACACGCCGTCATCAGCTGGAGCCAACCATGGTAGATCAATATCATGTATGTTTTCGGCACACATCCGCGGTGTACAGTTGTATCTGCGTGCAGTTGACTGTAGCAATAGATTGTGATTCATACATGTCAGTATTCCAGCTAAGTCGCCGCGCAGTTCAGCTTGACCCCCACACCGGGGGGGGGCTGGGGTTGCATGCAGGTCCCACAGATACCTATATATTTCGAGGAAAGACCCTCCATGAGAATCGTTTATCCTTCATTGACAACTGAATCATCTCTTACAGACTCATTCCACACTAAACACCGAAAAAATGCCCGGAGACGAGACTGAAGAACACTGGTTCAGAGTGATAAACAACAGTGGTGCAGCACAGAAGTATATCTTCTTTGCTCCACCTCCCAGCTCCGACTTTTTGACTCCTGCCTGGATTGCAAGCGACAACATTAACAATGAGACGGTCTGGGATATCCACACCACTGCGTACCTCTATGCCGGTATGTCACTTCATTATGTGTTCTCTCTTTCTTGAAGATCCAGAACCGACCCACAACCCGTTCAGAGACCAGGCTGATGCGAAATACAGGAGTTGGAACACTCGAAGGGAACCATGTCAATATTGACGAAAGTCATTGGTGGGATTCAGGGATTAGACTCGGAGGCCCAGGTAGTTGTATCTATCAAGCGCTCGATGCTACTTCCCTGATAAATACTGACACAATGTCCAGAAATATTCAACCTTGTCTTCGAAGAAGGGGGTCCCAAGCTACAGGAGACAGGAGGAAACGCCCAGTCTCCGAATACCTTTACTGTCGTCACCAAGGACATCCCAAACGATGACAAGACCTACGTGGTTGCCTTTGGAAAACGTCAACAACCAGACGATCCCGAAGACCTCGGACCTGTTCACGCGTGCGCAGCGGTATGTCCGTAATTCCTGCGAGTTATTCCCATTTGCCCGCTTTGTTTCTGTTAATGACGCCACCTGTCTTTCTAGATTCCCGTCAAGCAAAACAACAGTCACCATGTGACCCCTATTATCCAGCTTCATGTCTCCAACATCCCCACGACCCCGGGCGACCTGGTCGATTATGGTGACTTCAAAGAGAAGTCTGCACACATCAACTTTGCAGGCCATACTGAGGACGCAGCTCTCTGTACCGTTCTCCACAAAACAGGCGAGGACACTAATGCTGTATGGGACACTGCTTACGATAACACACTCCCTGAATTTTAGACCTGTTCGTGCTCAAGTGGATGCAGGGTGGATTTTCTATTGCTCTGAAAGCTGAGGGATAGCCCTCATCGTTATTGACAAGTGTCGGGTGATAGATCTTCGATTGATTAGCTAGCCTGTATCAGATCAATGTTAATTCTCTGCATTTTCATAACGACAATAGAACGTACAGATGCAAATAAACAGAGTATATAAACCAATGTTCATATAAAGCATCCAGCCATACTACCCAAATTTCGGGTTAGTATAGTATGCTCCCGGGGTTTCCCTTAGTATGCTGACAGTATTTCTGAATGCCTTTGACCGAATAATGTTCTTATCAATCCACCGTTGGATTTAATAAGATGGCAAGTAACCAGCATTCTCACAATTAATTTTCCACCGCACTCAGATATTGCATCTCATGATCCCAAAGGGCCTTGAAGTGTCATGGTCAGCGTAATAGGTGCAATGGAGCAGTACACCTTACCCAGTCAAACATTTCCAACGCAGAATCCCCCGTCAGTATGTCATGCATCATACTTGGGGACTGTAAGAACGCCTCTGTGCTTGCTCTACGACTATGCTGCTCTTCTTGAGCCCCATACGAGGCAAGCAAGGGACCCACCCCACCATATCCTAATAGATCTAGCATTGTACCAATTATACCTGCAGCTTTGAGGGTCTCCGATGATGGTCTTGGTGAGCTCCTCCGGGATATTTGGGAGGCCTTCAATAGCTCAATGAGATCACCCTGGGGTGTAATTCCCACAGTTCTGCCATATTTCGATTGTGTTATGACTTCCAATGATATTACCATAGCAGCTGTCAAGCAATCGGAATTTGAGCGAGATGCCCCAAACCACGCTAGCTGCTGATTATGTGTTTTGGCCAGAACTTGGAATAGTTCAGAATACAGAGTTAGAACCTGCCGGGCTGCATCCACGCACACGGACCTTAGTCCCCTATGAGGCTCTGGATAAAGGGCCGTCAAGTAATGGCGATGTAATATGCATCGCGCGCGCTGGTACGTTATTTCCAAACAGTATTGTTTGATCACAGTCTCGTCATCTGATGCCCGTATCTCTGGAGACTGCAACTGAAGTATTCTAGGCAAGCGACTTTTGGTATTTTCCAGTTTCATATTTAATTCAAGAGTCCTTTCGGGGAGTAGGGAAGGATGTGAAGCCTTGTCGCCGACTTGGTTGGCAACAGACAACATCTGCTCCATTGCCGACATGTATACAATGTTGCTGGCCACCTCATCTGCGGGGCGCGAAGGCGGAAGGACAGTAGTTTCCGGGCCAAAGTCGCTATCCAGAAGGTTTCTGGGGCGCCTCACATCGCCTAGACTCTGGCTAATAACCCGGGGTAGACCTGTATGCCATGCGAGTACGGAGTCGATTGTGATCAATACAAGCCATGCTCTGCGCCGCATTTCTGCTTCAAAACTCGATATCTGGAGATGGTAGAGCTGAGGATCTCGATGATATCCCATCATTATTGCTAGTCGCGACACAATGCTGAGTAACATTGGGAGTCCTGTTTTGTGATCGTTACTTTGGAGATACTCGATGCCGAGGTATAAGATGGATGCTTCAACTTTATAAAGGCCCGGAGTAGCGAAATTTGACTTCGCCAACGCAACTGCACCATTATTACGGTACACATAGAATGCTCGAGGCAAGTCTAGTGAGGACACTTTCGGATCTGCCGTATGCTGGATGTATATCCCACAAGAGAGGATTGAATACAATAATGCGATCCAAGCGACCGGTGCTCCGGCGGGGTTATCCCAGAATCTCAGGTACTGTTGAAAGCCTGCGTTAGATCATTATACTATAGCTCAGTTATTGATGGCATGTACTTCGCTTTTGAACGTCGGAGCGTGAATGATGACTGCAGGACTTGTTAGATCCTTCTCAAGGTTGTTCAAGGATGTATGTAAGATAGTAGGGATTTGAGTACGTACTTAGCGATGGTTCCCTGGAGTTCAGACAGCGATCGACGAGCAGATCTGCAGTTTCGCGAGGCGGTAGTGCATTTAAAAGCTCCGCCATGTCCATCATCTGTGAAATTCCCAGTAGCAGGACTGGGCCTTCCGGCCGGGAGATCCTATCAGTGTCTTGGCCATCATTATCGTTCCAATATTTTCGATTGAGCTTCTGGGCCTGACATATACGTTAAGACATGTCATGATGAAAAACCCCTCCTAGGGGCAGAACCAAACATCTCTGGTGTGACTCACCGCATCATTCATAATTGCCTGCCAGTGACTTGGATTAACGAACCGAGTTCCACTTTCCCCAGCTAGGAAGCAAACGGTTAAGGAACTTCTTCCTGTGGGAACTTGTGATCCCGTCGAAGCCCCCTCACTTTCACTAGAATTTCCGCTGGGACTTTCGCCAACATGAAGCCGATCATCCCGAGACGTGGAAGAAGAGTTGCAATCCCGCGTGACTTGCCCTTCTAAGAAGAGCAATCTTTTCTTTAAGATTTGCAAGTCATTGTGGACGTCAATAGGTTCTGGCTTCCCCGATGTCCAGGGGTTCGAACGCTCGGTATTGTATTGACAGGCTGCATCCTGGCCTCGTTTCCGACAGTTTGTGCAGGGGCGTTCCCGGCTGCATCTCAGCCTTTGAAGATGTTATGCATTGCTAAGCAGAAGCAAAGAGATCAATCGTCATTTGGTTATACTGTCAATACATACTTTTTCTCCCTGCACGACGTGCATGACAACAGAACGCGGGGCTTCTGTTCGCGACGTTTCCGATCTCTCGTTGTGGAGATTGGGGTATGCGAGGCCGTCATGATGGAAACCATAACAAACAATCGAAAACAACAGCCTCCTGGAGAAAAAGGAGTATAGGTGGACTTGGGACCATCGGGTTTCTTGTAAGTTGCGTTTTCGGATTTCTCGGGTTTCTCGGCTCGAGGATAGGACCCACTGCGTTTCATGAAGGAACGGTCCTAAATGCTCCTTTACCTTCTAACTACATTGAGCTTTGATCGACCTTTTCCATGGTTTTAGTTTAATCGTAGTCATGACACTTTGCGTAACCGAAGTGGAGCGTGCTAACACTCATGCTGGATTTCTCTCTTATGCTAAATTGCACTGACTACTTTAAATGGGTCCACCCGAGGAGACACACATAAAGACCATGGCACCTCCAGTCGTCATAGTCGTGTCGGTCCCTCACACACTGCCTGTTATTCACACTAGGGCGACATCTTTGGATACTCTGAAATTATAGAGTATATCATGGCAGATTCCGAATCCAGGTTCCGCGTTGTGATTGTGGGCGGTTCAATCGCCGGGCTTACACTCGCTCACTGTCTGCTTCGAAACAACATAGACTTTATTGTGCTAGAGTCCCATGCGGATATTGCACCCCAGGTTGGTGCATCTATTGGTATTCTTCCGAATGGTGCCCGCATCCTAGACCAACTAGGCCTTTACGATGACGTTCTCAGTGAAGTTGAGCCTCTCACTAGAAACTTCACATGGACCGATGACGCCAAGCCCATCACCGACACAGTTGCTCCCCTGATTATATATGAAAGGTAAGCCAATATATCCGGTCGTCCTCAGATTTCATACACTGGCGGCGATTCTGATTCAATAGACACGGTTATCCGGTTGCGTTCCTTGATCGCCAAATTTTGCTCAGCATTCTGTACGAGGGCCTCGGAGACAAAAGACATCGTGTTCTGGTGAACAAGAAGGTGACTGAGATAGAGCATACCACTGAAAAGGTTATGGTCCGTTGTGCGGATCAATCCGTCTATGAGGGTGATCTTGTTGTTGGAGCCGATGGGGTACGGAGCACAGTGAGACGACAGATGTGGCAGTATATGGAGTCTCGAGGAATGGAGCATGAAGCCCTGAAGGAGAAGAACTGTACGATCCCACCATACATAAAGCAAAAGCTTCATATGACCCTTACTAATTCATATGCAATATAGTGATGACATCCGAATACAACTGTGTATTCGGTATATCTTCAGCCACCCCTGGACTGAGACCGGGACACGGACATAGAACCTTCGCGGGGGGCTATTCCATACTCACGATTATCGGCAAAGAAGGGCGCGTTTACTGGTTTTTCTTCACTAAAATGGACCAAACTTACCCCGCATCTCAAATTCCAAGATTCAGTCAAGATGAGATCGATAGCCATCTCGCCCCTTATTTACAGAAGCCGATCACCCCCGACGTACCGCTTTCTGAGATCAATAAAAGAGCAATTGTCAGGACTTTTGTATCCCTTGAAGAGGCTGTCTATAATCATTGGTGTGTCGACCGATATGTTTGCATTGGTGACTCAGCCCATAAGGTGCGCCTAATCTCTCGAGTATTACCAGAAACTCATCTAAGATATTGACTATAGATGACACCAAACCTAGGCCAGGGAGGCAACAGTGCAATTGAGAGCGCTGCGTCGCTTGCAAACAGCCTCTCTACTTTAGTTAACGGCCCTACCAAACCAACGACAGATGTTCGGGATATCCATGAGTGTCTGCAAGTATGGCAGAACATCCGCCAGAAACGGCTTGACCATATTTCGCAGTCAGCTTATCACTTAACCAGAATAGAGGCTCTAGCTGGTCTCAAGGAAAAGATCATCGGGCTTTATCTTCTTCCATATCTTAGTCAATACTTGGTCGACCAAACGTCCGCTACAATTGTTGGAGCAGCAAAGATTGACAGAATACCTCTGCCACCAAAGTCACTAGCATGCACCATGCCGTACCTGGATGATGAAAGCAGTGTCTTCAAACAGGGTAATGAGGTATTGAAGCGTGCTATTTCAACCGTCCCTTTTGCTTGCTGTTATGCTGCTGCGCAAAAGACGATGGGGACGTTGATAACTCAAACTGTGCCCTTCATGGTGTCTTTGTTTGCAGAGGGCGTATGGTCTGCAACTAATGGGGAGGTCCTCAACCTAAGCAAACCACTCTATCATATGTCATTCCTGGACAAGCTCTTTCTGCCTGCGATTACGTGTTTCTTGCCTTCTATCAGTGGATCTGATCCGCAATCCCGCACTCAAATGCTATCATTCATGGCCGACATTGGCCCCATCTACGGAATATGGCTGTTGGAAAGTTATCGCAAAGCACATTCCTGGTATGAGCTCATACTGTAAGTTCACCTACCTGAAAATTTTTTCCTATGACAGAAGACATGGCTAAATAAACATCGAATAGCCCGATAGGCGCGGGAATCGCGTCCCAATTGAAGGGCATTGGAAAGTTTGCTCCAATCTACTACGCATTGGAGCATATTCGCTCACCTCTTTCAAGCCTCCTATCGGGGGCAAAGCATCAGATAACGCAGGAGGCCTCGAGCTCTTTGCTGATCGCCATGCTAACGGGATACTATCTCCCCACATTCGCAAACTTCGTAACTCCAACGGTTGAATCGCGCCGCAACTACAATGCCATTTGGCAATTGTTTCCTGTCGTCGTACCTCTGCTACAGGCTCCCTTGCATCGTCTGGTCAAGAGAGCTTTCGGGAGTAAGAAGAAGCCACAACAGAAAGAAGATCGTAAGGAGAATATGCGTTACGTCCGGTACGCATATGGCTCGTTCGCCTTGATCTCTGGACTTACGTTTCTCCACGCTCGATGCACTGCACCGGCTCATACTTCGTTCACTAGTGCCTTTCTTCCTGGGTTGAGAGGCCACCTGGCGCCCGTCACCTCATTCGCTGATGGCATTGCGAGGTTCCTCCAGTATGATGAAGTGATATCCATGGCTAGTGGGTTTATGTGGCTAGCGTTGAAGTTCAAAGAATTGAAAGATGCTGGTGCCTCGTTCTCTTGGTTGAAGGCTGTTGGGGGGCTGGTGGGGACTACAGTTACTCTTGGGCCTGGGGCCACCTTTGCGCTGGGTTGGGGCTGGAGAGAAGAGATGATGCATAGACTGGTTCGTGATAAACAGTGATAAGTGTGAATTATGAATGTATGCTGCATGCTCTGACGGCTGTGTATGCAGCTTTCACGGCTAGTTTGTTGCGTAAGGATACGAATGCGAAAAACCAATAGCTTGCCTACAAGGCTTGAACATGACCAAAAAGATGGTCTTGAATGGAATTAAGGTTAGTATATAGGTATTTCGTATTATCAGATCGTAAACTGGGTCATGTGTGAAGACGATGGTCTCCTGTCTCCTGCAAGCCTGAGCTAAGGATGCCTTTGCAAAGAAACTGACATTGCACTTTGACGCGTAACAGGAAGTATATCAAATGAGCCCGTTAGGCTCTTACTATGAGTGTAATAATTGTATTTGTATAATTGTTGAATGTAATTATGTACATGAGAAGAGATGTAGCCTCACCACTGCACCACGTCCATATCAGTCGATCGAGAAGGGAAGTGCTCCATGAGCCTTTACAGGTGGATCAAGTCTATAGATAAATTGTTGAGGTTAGATGCCTCACTGGGGTCTTCAATAGTCATATGGTGTATAGGACGCTGCAACAACCTGCACTTCGTCCTTGAGTGTTTCCCTATCCAGTGGCAGAACCGCGTTATTATTGGACTTGTTCTTCTTCGACAGATGATCTATGAGCAACTGCATGTCCTTTTCGTCTTCCTCTTTATTCCAGGCTGTGGGAGCATCAATCCTCCAAGCTTGGGCCCACCACCAGGGTGGATGGCCAAAGCAATCTGGAATGCTGGCATCTATTATCGGGCAATCCAGCAGCAACGGAACTGCACGATGCGGGGATGTTCTGTCTGCCAGGTACTGCCATTTCCTGCTGAACATTGACGGAAAGTCTTGTCCAGAAGGCCGTGGAGACATACCACATGGGTAAACAGCCCAAGATAAGGGTGTTCTCCCGAAAATATCCTGAGAATTGACATCCACACGACCTGACTGCAGGAGCTTACATAGCATGGCTTCATGTCCACACATTGCGGCTACCGTAAGTGGTGTTTTTCCCGTCACACTTCTACAGTCAACCTCAGTTTCTGAGGCCTCAAGAAGAATGTCCACTGCCACTGGTTTATTTCTCTGAACGGCCCATAATAAGGGCGTCCATTGATGTTTGTCTCTGGAGTTCACATCAACTCTTCCCGTGCTGAGTAGCACATACATGACTTCCTTTTGCAATTGATCCGAACATATGTTTGGGTCAGGCGAACAATAGCCCAATTTTTTGTGTGGTCCTGCGACCCATGATAAAGCCGTCCTTCCCTGACTGTCTTTCCCATCTATATCGACAACCCCGCTCTCAATTAGGATTTTCATCATCTCAATTTTGCCTTGTTCGGCGGCATGTGACAAAGCATCTCGACCATCTCTATCGCGTAGCGTTACGTCGCAACCAAGCTCAAGGAGATGTCTCATTGTAGACCCGTTGTTTCCAATTACTGCCCACTGGATGGCAACTCCCCCGTAGGAGTCCAACCAACGAAGACTGTATGGGGAGGAAAGTAGGGCACTGCAAATATCCCTTTTACCTCGAATGATCGCAATACGCAAAGCGTTTGTGGGGCTGGCAATAGTGACTCTATCACAGCTGAGCAAAAATTCCACGATTTCTGCCTTGGAACACTTAATCGCACAGATAAGCGGTAGCGAACGACAGTTGAGCTTATGGTTCAGATCGATTTTGCCCGTGAGGTAGAGGAGCTTTAATATGGCTACATGACCACGTTTAATAGCGTACTCCACCAGATACAAAGCCATAGAACCTCTTTCATCTTGATTCGCTTGCTGTTGACCACATATTGTTTCATACGATCAATAACCCCAGCCTCAAGCAAGGAGTTGTCGACAGAGGCAACTGAACTCGTATTGCAACCAAGTAAGGCCCTGATTGCAAGTGTATTACCCAAGTAGACAGCCGCACCCATTGGGCTGTGATACCTTCCCATTTGCTTCCACATCTGTGGCGTACGTAGAAGTTCCAGGCGGATGAGGTGGTCCAAGTTCAATTCTGCTAGAACGTATAGAGCCGTCACCTCGGGTCCATAATGACGAATGAGACATTGCTCAAGGGCATTGCGGATGTCCTTGAAGTCCTGGAATGACAAAGAGAACTTTTGCAGGAAGGCAGCTTGCGAAATGCCTCCAGCCTCAGCCGCATTGCTGTGAGGCAGGAGGCTATGGATAGCATAATTGAGGAAAGGGTGTTCTGAATTCAGATACCAGCTCTTGGCTGAGCGTAGCCATTCATAGCGTCTTGGAACGCCATTTGCGGCCAGGAGCTTGTATTCACAGATGTATCGAAAGCAGATTTTTGCAAGCTCGTTATGGGCGTTCCCGATTGTGTTCGCGCTCGACCCAGCCTGGAGTCTGCTAAAACCGTCCCCGTCGTAGTAGAAAATCTCGCACTGACTCGTGAATGAAATGTACTATGCGAGCTTTGGTGCGGGTAATTTCCACGAGGCCTTTGGAGACGTTGAGGATGAAGTTCTCAATGTGCGGATCAATGTGCCATTCGCCTTCTCTTTTGATCAAGCCGTTTTTGGTAAACATCACCCCGAAGTAGAACTCATCCTTGGACAATGGACGTTGTGCAAACAAGATGAGTCGAAGACAAAAGATAAGGTCATCAATTTCCTCGGTGTCTCTGGTCAGCATATCGGTGAAAAGCTCATCAAGCCCGTCTGGGATTTCATCCAGCCGTTGACGTACGGCGTGGATTTTGCCCTTGGCGAACGCATCATTTAGCGATCGAACTACAAGTATAACCCAGAGAAATACACCGGATGCTCGGGCGCACACTTCTTTTCTAATCTCTTGGAGCATTTTTGACTTGCCCCCTTTCAATTTCGTCTCAACGTACTTCCGCATGTCGCCTTGATGCTCCTGCTGGTACTCCAAGACCCACTCAATGCCACGTTCAATATTGAGTTGTGGATAGTGTCGGCTTGCCAGACAGATTCTCAAATGAACATCGCATGCATTCAAAGAGTGCCCCAAGTGCTCGAGGAACGGTATCATGTCCTCCATCTCGGCTTGGTCGCATTCGTCCAGAGCATCAATAAAGAAGAACACGTAGCGGTTGTTCAGCAATCGGATGAGTGATAACAGCTGATGTTTCAAGTCTCGGATTGTCCAATTTATGCCGTCATCTTGACTTAGCATCTTCGCTGCGAAGCTAAAGTAGGGCTGTTTGGCACTCGATGGAACGGCAGTAGACGAGAGAAGCTGATGCAAGAGTGAGCGATACATACCCACAGTGGACCTCTCCAAGTCCACCCCTTGGGCATGGAAAAAGAAAGAGGAGATGATTGTGTCTTTTCCAGTTTGCTTTGCCTTTGAAAGAAGGTGTTTCATGAGCGTCGACTTCCCGGCTCCGGGCTTCCCTTTGATCCAGAAAAATCCTCCGTGACTTTTTAAATCCTCCCCGCTCATCCATGTTTCATATTCTGGTCGTTCTAATACCCAAGTGCATGTCGTATTGAGGGGATCCATAATCTCGTCCACTCGATACTCGGCTTGGGGGAAAGTTAACAGATCAAGGCACGCCTTTTCCCGTTCGTTACTGGAGTCTTCAGAAGTCTCTGCGGGTCTTTTTCGCGGATTTAACTGGGAGGCAATTATATCTGCAGGGTAATCAATTGACGCTCAGTGAAGTACACAGCTAAAAGAACCTAATGGAAGCTATGAACACAATAGTTGCTTACATACCCTGGGCCAGGCCCGCTGATGATGTCACATTCGAAATGGGATTCTGATCCAGGAGAGCACGCATGCAAGCCGCTGCACTCGCAGCTGCGTAGTATTGCCAAGTATCATTCTTATGGCTATCAGCGTAGTCGCTTACTCCTTTGATCAGGATGCAAGGGATATTGTCCCATACGCCAGCCCCTTCCATCTCAAAACCAAGAACTTCCTCGCGCTTGGAAATCTTGTCTCGATCCTTGGCAGAGCACAGCACAGTATCTCCAGAGGCAAGCCGGCCAATATGGATATACGGAGTCCCATCAGAGTCCACACGACGGCGGTCCACGACACTTGGGTCCCCGCTGGCATCACTCATACACAGACAGCGTACGCGATGCTTGTATTCAGCTTTAAATAGGATATCGCTTTTAATACCAGGATATGGCACATCCTTGCTACCTTGTATAGTCTGAAGATGCCCCTGTTGGTCTTTGGAGAGGTCGCCATGACGCGACTCTAAGCGGGTCATGAATGATCGGATCTGCAGACTCGCTCGCCCTAGATTGGACTCTAACGTATTCTTGCGCACAAATCGGTGCGAAAGTCTTTTCCCCAAATCATATTGAATAATCGCGCTGCTAATTATCACATCGCCGAGGAAAACATCTCTCCTGCGTTGTGTTGGACCCACGTCCGTCCTGTAAGGCACTCCTCCACAGATCCCTATTAGAAGGGTCAGTTCGATGCCCGGATAGCTTTGTTTGATATTACTGGCCACGCTGGATGATTCGGCTTTCCCACAACCACCCATGTGGGCCAGAACCACATTGTAACAGCCAATGCGGCCCAGCGTATAGTGATTGGGATCATTTCGTACAGGCCCGTATTTTTCATAGACAGTTCTATCGTAGACCGTGTCAAACAGCGGTATCGCCACTTCTGCCTCCAGGGGAAGCGGGCATATAATTGCGATTGTAAAATGAGCACGACTGAGGTGGTGGAAAGCTTCTGCTGGCATTCTGTGGATATAGTATGGGCAGTACAGGTGATGAAAGAAAAAAACAAGGTGCTATTCCGGAGCCAGTCGGTAGTGGCAGGTTCGGTTGTTTTATATACGCCAGCGCATGCAACTATGCCCTATATGGAGAAGGCGCAGCAGCGAGTTAGTCTATTAGCGCGGCTCTGGATTGCGCCTTGCCCCCAGGCTAATCTTATCGTCGGAATTTGACTGGCTGCTTCTGATTACAGAAGCTGGGGTGTCTTCCTGCCTTGCGACCACGATGAATGACAACCTGCACATTTGTGCCTGACAGAGGCCCTCGGAGTACGATGTTGCATGAACAGAATCATATTGTTGGAGAATGTTACTTATTATCAGCCGTATTCAACTGTTGCTATGGATCAAACAAGTACATACGACCACAGGGTGTGGAAAACAGGGCTTCCCGTCCGCTCAGCCGTACTTAAGCCACACGCCGGGAGGTTAGTAGTTGGGTGGGTGACCACCAGCGAATCCCTTCTGTTGTATGTTTTTGTTTCCATTTTTTGGTTCAATGTTTGAATGGACGACGGACTGTAGGTGAAATCACGTTGTTTCTATTGATGTGGTCGGCAGAAGAAGCAATAAGGGGTATCACACAGGGGCCGCCTCAATGCACCTGGGACGGCCATATCGGTCTAAAGTACATCCCAAATCTTATATATAACATTTACAACTCCTCAAGTATTCTATGCGCCGAAAACCTTGGAGCAGCTCGCTTACATACAGGAAAAAAAAAAAAAAAAAAAAAAAAAAAAAAAAAAAAAAAAAAAAAAAAAAAAGAAGAAGAAAAGAAAAGAAAGGTTAAATAGACCCATCCAAGAAATGCAACCCCCTAGGATTCTCCTATCTTATCCACCCACCTCGAATCTGCCGAGGCCCCAAGTAGAAACTTGAAAAAGTTCAAATATGCGAGTCCCGTATATGTGACCGGAATATAATAAGCTCCCCGTCGAATCCACGACATTGTGCACCGCGCAGCCCAGTCAGCCGACACAATCGCCTTTCCCATGCGGGAATCGAACGCTGCAGGGACAATATGTCGATATATTACCTTGTCTGACTTGTACAGGGCACGAGCGTAGGGTAAGAATGCTCTCTTTGACGCAGTGTATCGTACCATCTCAGGCCCACCCCAGGCAGGATGAAGCTCTGCTTCGCTGCCAACGTACCAGATTTCAGGTAGAACCTTGGTTCTCTGAGAGTGTGCGGACTTTTGTTGCATGAACAGCTCAATCAAACGGACTGATGAAATGCAATTTGAGTCCATGGCCTCTGGACCCTTGGTTCCATGGGCGAGAATGATGATGTCTGCCTCTTGAAGGATGGTACCGACACGCGAGATGTCGCCGTTGGTCCAGTCTTTGCCGAATTGCAACTTTTGTATGCTTTTGACCCCATCGGCGAGTAATTGCTTCTCCATCGCTTGTCCAAACGCCCCCGATCCACCCGTCATGACCACCGTCTTGTTCTTCAGCGAGTATGCAGTACCCGCAACCCAGTCGAATAGCTTCACCATAGACCCCATATACCGATCTGGGTAGATATGGTGCAAGGAGTGGTACTCCGGTCCCACAAATGCCCAGCTATGATCTTTCGGTACTTTGTCAAGTGCGATATGATTGGAGTCCTGGCCGTTACTAATGATAACAAAAAGAGAGCGAACGGTTTGTACGACGAGGACTATTGAAAGGGCCTTCGAATCGAGACGTTTGATATAACAATTCAGGATGGTAGCAAGGATCCAGCCGATGATGCTTCCGAGCAACTGACATATAAGCTCGAGAGGAAGAGCAATCAAGGCATTTGGTTTGGCGTATCGCTGATTGAATTGAAGAGATCGGGGGTAGTATAGGTGATGGTACTGATGACAGCGAGAAAGAAAGCGCAGGATTCGCCAGCGAGATCTCGACCATTTGTGTAGGAGAAAGTGAACGATGTCAAAGAATATAGTACCAAATATATAGAGGTAAGAAGCAGAAAAGATCAGATTAAGCATCGCCATTATGTGCTTGCAGGTGTGACGATGTTTGTAGTTGTCAAGATTCTTGAAAAGAGCACTGTGGAGCAAGAAAATCTACGTCCAGTCCTCCTGGAGCATGTCTGTCTCTTTAATGACACAGCACAGCAGTCGCCCCTATTTCTTTTTTTCTCTTCCAATTTAGGGCTCTGCATATACTTTCCGCCGTTTATGTTGTTCTCCTGGATATTCTTTGTTTCAGGGTGCACCAAAGTAACATCCTGCCGAGGTCAAATACGAATACGGAAGATAGGGCTCTCTCTCAGCTGAGCACTAGCCACTTAGGACCCGTAAATGATAGCCTGGAGCAGGGACCACATTGCCAAAGTGGATATACACAGCCATCTTTGACTAATATTGTGGCTGCCTGAGCAGCATCGTATGGGTTTGCTTGTGCCCCCGTACCTGAATTGCGTCTTTAAGATGCTAGTGCCTCGCTTCATGGTCCTTGCGCTTTTTTTGGACCCTGACAGATGGTGCCATGCTAAGGTTCTGACACCGGTTTTTATTGCTTAAACAAGGTGCCGGATGCTTTGAGGTGCTCCAGCTCAGAAAAATAAACTCCAACCCCATGTTTCATTTTCGTCTTCATGGCCGTGTTATTTCCTCCATACCTGCAGTTGTGAGGTGGGCCATCCAACCCATCACCGATTGCCAACTCACACCGATTAGCTTATAATAGATTAAGAAGGCCAAGGCCTTTAGTGTGTGCATCATAAACGGGCTTCATTCTCGGTAAATCCAAGGAGAAAAGGAAATCCGTCAAAAGGTGTGAGACAAGTGATACTCTAATATTCATAGAATCTGTTTGATTGGATTGCAGAAATACTTCTACCTTCAACTGCCCAAAGCAGTAAAGAAGACGGCGAGGCTGATTTCGTGACCCACTTGTAGTTCATCAAACCCTGACAAGGTTGCTGCCGCTGTCTTAGATCCAGCTAAGGCCCATGGATGACATATTTTACTCTATGTAAGTGGGTAGAAGTGAAGTGTTACATGTCCATGGAACGCATATTTGGCACTTCTGGTATAATTACAGGTGCGTTGGTCTACAATAATGAATTGTAAGAATGAATTGTGACCGTGCCACATTACAATCCCAGTCCTAGGCCAGGTGTTAACTTCCGAGCAATCATTGCTCAAGGTTACAAAAATAGAGTAGCATGCCGACGCCTCAAAAGGGTAAAGCCGCCAAGAATGGATGCCCTCCAAATGCTTGGTACGTTTGAGAACGACCACGAATGAAGTGTGCTGGGCACCCGCCCGCGACAGGTTCAGGAGTTAGCGGGGCAGATTTAGACTGGAACAACAAAACTTATCTAGATAGGTTTAGAAACACCGTGACTCAGAATTAACTCAACCATGTGATACTCTAAAGCAAATGCTAGTCAAGCAAAAATAAATGTATGAATCAACTCCAACCTCTACAGGGGATACGAAATGGTACTATCGAGGAAAAAGTGACAAACAGTAAATAAATTAATAAAATAAAATAATAAGAAATCTAATCCTCTTCATTCTGGAGCTTTTCTTAATACCTCGGAGATGCCTGAAAAATATTTTAAAATATGATAAGCAGAATTAGGAAACAATTCCTAATATAAGTAAGTGATTCGAAGTCATGGCGGATCTTCTAATCCGAATTATCTGATTACACGATAAAGCTTCCTCTTGAATTTGCCATACTAAACTCCGAACCTACTGTATTCAAGATCTTAAAGCTGTTTTCTGCTTTGCTGTTCCATCCCGATTTTCTAAACGCGAGTAGACGCATCTTTCGAACTCGGTTAGCACTTCAATAGCACTTTGATCTCCGGTCGGTAAGAGCTGGGAAAGATATATCCCAGCAACCCCTTTCTTAATGTCGATCCACTATGGTATGTTAGTCAAGTACGACAGGTTACTTATAGGTCTCAGATAACCAACCCAGTAGCAATTTGGTTTCCCCGACCATGAGAGCGAATTTACTTCTCGACGCTGCGGGATCCTTGCTTTATTCAGCAGACCACCGATCCCAAAATCCACCGGTATGTCATGTGGGATAGCATTCCATATGGCATTGCGCGGCGCCAACGAATAATCTTCCGGTTGTTCAAGGCCAGAAGCACTCTCTGGATGAGGTTGGAACATCTCTTCAATGGTCTCAGGACGCAGAAATTGTGCCGTAAGTAAACCTTGACAAATCTTAAGCATTTCGTTCACGGTTGTGTATAAACTACCCCCTTCTACATCTTCCACAATGGGGTCGAGGAAGGTCGGATTCTTCTCTTCTCTCTGCTCTAGGTAGAATGTCGCATCCTTGAAGTCATTTTGGAGAATCAACGGTGCCAATGACAAAATCGATCTGCAATCCAGGATATACTGGCGACGAACGATTTCTTGATTTACATGAAAGAGGTATAAGTATCGCACCAGACTTAGCATCAGGACAATCCATCAGGCCGGCATTTATAGCATATGCCAGTTTGGAGGCAATGAGAACCGCCGAACCAGTTGAAGTAATCCTCGACTCCGAAGAAGATCACAAAGTGGCAGGGTTCGCGATCTGACCCAAGTAGGAAACCTGCTTTCCCTGAATGGATTAGATTGCCATAACCCCATGTATCACTTCCCGGTTAGCCTCGTACTCCACAAAATGCCACATGTTTCAATGTTGCTTTTCCGTTATTAGATACTCATTGATAAAGTGAGACAAACGGGTAACGCCGTTGCCTTGGGGTACTCCACCCATCTCGAAATTTTTGCCTATTTCGGTCCGTTCGCGATGATCGTGGTTCTAGCGAAAGGGTGATTCGGCGGTTTGGCGGAGAATTTTCGGCCGCCCCACCCGCTTTCAGAGACATTGCATACACACATATACAGACTGGCAGAATCGAGGCTTTTAGGACTTAGGATATCCATATATCAAAGTTCTGAAAATATCAAGGTTCCAAACTATATTTAGTCCCATTAGCATCCTTCAACCACTTTTGTACCCCTCCTGTATCTGCACTCTGCAGAGACCAGAGCTTACGATTTATCATAGATCACCCTCCAGTGCTATAGTAGCCAGATGATGATTGTTTGCTTCGCGCTCCTACAATGGTGGCGTGGGTGGAGCCATATAGGTGAGCAGTATTGCTTAATACCCCTGATGACAGTATGAAGCGCACTTTCATGACTGGTTCTTCACAGTCACTCACCTTGTCCTCCCTTCTTGTTCGAATTCTGTCCGGTCACATACACTCAGATCAAAATGGAGATTATTCTAATTTCACCGGAGTTAGAATCATGGAGCCCGCTTTCCCATTAGTAACGGGGTGATCTATTCTCTGCAGCTCTTCTTAGCAAGTATGTTTAATCTAAAAACTGTACTTCTTTTAACTAGGGTATCATTAATATAGATGTTACTGATAATGGGATGGGAAGCGATAGCCTACTATTATAGAGGACTTACTGGCTGGCAATATGCTTATCGTCCGACATGACGGACGGCATCGGAAAACAACTGAAGATTTGGTCTTGTCGAATAGAAGTCGTGCAGCTTTGGAGACTCCGTTGAATTTCGTGTATGTGATAGGTAGTCTTGGACTGGATACATTGGGCGATGTCTACTATATACTATGAAATTTCACACGGTGTAATCAGTTCATGCAACCCAAGCATTCGAACGGGTGATAAGGTAAGCCAAATTTGATTATTGCTGTTGCAGTCTAAGTCTAATAGTGTATAGCTCTATCTGTACAACTGTTGAAGAAAGAGAAAGTATACAGCGGAACAGAATCGAAATCAACAAAAAAGGGGTGTCCAGTGAGTGTCCAAGAAGTACATCTCAGGACAGTCAGCTGGGAAACGAGCGACACGAAGAGAAAAGTAATATAGACAATCTTCTCAAGACCGTACAATGAACAATGAACAGTGAAATGGTAAGAAATTGTAATTGGAAATATATGATGTTGAAGGGTAGAAGGAGTCCCGAGCTGCCATCACGCAGCTGGGATGACACGACGTACACAGATCACTTAGCCACCATCTTGCCCTTTGGCACACGAGCCAACCAATAGATACCCACCGCCGCAACAATGTTGAAGAAGATGTACACCCACATCAAGCCAAAGTTGCGCCAGGCATCCGAGAAGTAACTAACCACTGAAGCAAGGAAGGTATCCGTGCTGCTCATAGTGCAGAATTGGCAGTCTGATGTGGCTGATGGGTTCAACAGGTAACCCCCATTAGCGCTGATATACGATGACATGTAATCCTGACACGTCTCGTTTCCAGGGGTGTTGAATGACAAATACTCGACAGCTTCGCATGTCACGGTAGTCCCGGAAAGGCCTGTTGAGAGCATGGCAGATACCAAATATGTGAATGGGGACACCCGGTACATGAAGATCCAAAATCCAGGCATGTTGGATGGAGTCGCAAGAACACCACAGAAGATCAAGCAAAGGGAGAATAGCAACGTCGCGATATTACCTCCTGTCTCTGCTAGCTCGATTCCAGCAATCACCATGTGGGCGAAGGTCGACGTAAAGAGAAGGAAGACCCAAATAAGCAGGAACATGAGACCAGCCCGTTCATTAACGGCATCAGTGGGCTTCGCGTTGTTGTATAAACCGATCGGGTAGTACCAACAGACGAACATAAGAACGGCCATCAGGGTATTCCACGGGAGTTCCACGAAAATGTTGGCCGTCATGAATGCCTGCCAGGAATAGGTCTTGGATGGGCGTTCTCGGACTTCGTAGAGTGATCTTTGAGTGACAAAGTGTGGCATGATCTGTTGGCACAGATTACCGAAGATAGTCATCAACATGAACACACTGAACATCTGGTTCTGCATGCCCTGAATGGAATTAGGAGCGTGGAAGAACGAAAATCCAATGTAGAGGGCGGACAGAACACAGAGAATTGTCTTCGACCAGATGTAACTTGGCGTGCGGTAATATTGGGCAAAGACACGGAGCAAGCATTCATAAAGCTGGACACCAAATCCTGCTGCGTATTCCTTGAAAGCTTCGGGGTCAGAGTTGTCCTCGGGTTTGGTAGATAGTGTCGATTTCAGTTCTGCAAGGTGCTCCTTGACTTTCGTATGCTCAGGACTTTCTTTCCATACTTTTGGCCAGTCTATATCTGTATGTGAACCTGGTGCTGCTCCAATAACATCAAGCATCCACTCTGCCGGGTTTTCTCCCTCGGACAATGGATGGGCGCCGTTGCGTTCAAAGTAGCTGGACAGTGTGTTGGAATTTTCGCCAATTTCACCAAAATAAATCGTCTTACCGCCACGCGCCAAAAAGAGCAATCGGTCAAAGCGCTGGAACAACATGGCAGAAGGCTGGTGGATGGTGCAAAGAATGGCTTGTCCATGTTTAGTAAGTGTATCAATAAGGTCGAGGATTGACCATGAAGTTTGACTGTCAAGACCAGAAGTAGGTTCATCCAAGAAAAGCAACAACTGCGGCTTGGCAGCAAGTTCGACACCAATCGTCAATCGCTTGCGTTGCTCCACGTTCAATCCCTCTCCGGGCACACCAACGATCGCATCCGCGTAAGGCTCCATGCCCAGGAGTTTGATCACCTCCTCAACGTAGTCCAGTTTCTCCTGTCGGCTAACATGGGCCGGCTGACGCAGCAGAGCACTGAATCGGAGAGCCTCGCGAACGGTAGAAGTAGGTAGATGCAGATCTTGTTGTTGTACATATCCGGTTTTGCGTTGGAAGGACTGGTCGCGTGGCCGTCCATCGACAAGCATCTCTCCCGTAACAACACCCATTGTGACACGCGTGGCCAGGACATCAAGCAATGTTGTCTTACCGGCTCCCGACACACCCATCAGGGCGGTGCAAGTCCCGGGCTTCACCCAGCCGTCGACATGATCCAAGATGCGTCTAGGTTCACCCTTGATCTTGATGTCGTAACACACATCTTGCCAATGGAAGATAGCCGTTTGCTTCTGAATGCGAACTTCCGAGTCCTGGGCGGGAGCGTCGCCTTTGACAGCTCCGCCAGGGGTAGCTGAAGATTCCATGTCGGCTTCGCCAAGCTTTGGCTGGTGGCCGCGGCGGAACAAGAGGACTTCACCCTTGGACTTTGCCTCGGAGATATATTCGGTGCTAGCAAGGTAGACAAAACAGAAGAATACCATGAAGGCGATCAAGATTCCGAAGTTGCGCCATTCATGTCCTTTAGTGTATTCGAAACTTTGTTTCAGGTAGGAAGTTCCATCCACGATCGCCGATCCGGCCGTGGAACCGACTGTGGAGCAAATCCTGTAGTCCAAGGATATGGAGTCATATCCATCGCCAGAAGGAACAATGCTGGAGCATGTAAAATGGCGACCAGAAAACTCATTGACCATGAAACTTTCAAAGGAGTAGGCGATCGGGTTGATATAGTTCATCCAACGGGACCAGCCAAGCATATTGCGAGTGGGAATCACAAAACCTGTGTAAATGACCATTCCCAGGATTAAAAGAGCCGCAGGCACAAGTGCTTGCGAGAGAGATCGTGAGGTGGCGGCCATAGTTCTGAAAATCATGGACATGGTATATGTAGTGGCAACTGAAAAGATCCAAAATGTCCACCAGGCACCAGCAGTGCGACGCAAGTTTGTCATAAAGTACAAGGGAAGGTTGAACGTGATTGAGTTGAGGAGCTTATAAGGTGTATCGCACAGCATGGAAGCCACGGCTTCCGTAAAAGGATGATAAAATGCATATCTTGCCTGCTTTTCGACAATCGGACGTTGAGCATAGAGTGTCAAAATTTCGAGGGCACTGGAGAAGGCATTCAAGAGAACTGCATAGAACAACAGAGCTCCACGGGAGTAAAAGCTGGCCGTTGTATCCGGGAGGTTGTAGAAAACCGACGCCACAATCAAGGCAATAATAAAGTTACCAACCAAGGCACTGACAGTTAAACTGGAGTCTCCCTTGAGACGTTGGAATCCACGAACAGTGCACAGGGAGATCTGCTCCCACACTGAGATAGTGTAGGGAGATTTGACGCGTTGATTCTTCGACTGCATGGCCTTCCGGGCGTCCACGAAAGCATCATAGGAAGAGCCGTGGATCGGGTACTGCTGCTCAAACTCTTCAATTTCCCTGAGAAGTGCAGCTCTGGCACTGCTTTGTTTCCAAGCTGCTGCGAATTCATCTGGAGTACGAGGGACACGGTTCTCAAAGCCAGGGCGGACCAAGCGCTCCGATGGGCTGGTGAGAGATGTTAAAAAGTCGGCAGTGGTTTGACGCTCAGGGCACTCGAATCCCATATCCACAAAGAACTGCTTCGCCTCCGTGGTTCGTCCGAAATAGATTTGCCGTCCTTCGTAGAGTACAGTCACCTTGTCGAACACATCGTATGCACTCTGAGACGCCTGATAGATAGCGACACAAGCAGTGGTTCCGGAGTACTTGCTCATGAGATTAAGGTTCTTGCAGAATTCAAGGGCATTGGCGCTATCAAGACCTCTAGTGCTGTTATCCCAGCACTGGAGTGGTGCCTGACTGAGGGTTGCCTCTGCGATACTGACACGCTTCCTCTCACCACCACTGACTCCGCGAATGAAGTCATTTCCTACCCGAGTATTGATCGTATGGGAAAGTCCAAGCATGGCCATGACCACGTCTCTCATATGCTCCGCATATTGGTGCCGGTTGACGCCCTCAAGGCGATTCCTAGGGGCCCTTGCGAGGGCCGCAAACTTCAGTGTATCACCAACGGAAAGTTGAGGGAAGTGGACATCGGTCTCGGCGTTGTAGATAGCTTCACCCCGGAAAGACTTTTGCATCTCTTTTGCGGGTATACCTGAACGTTGACAACCAATGTTAGCAGACATGCGGTCAAGGAATAACGGTGATCGAGATACATACCCTGGTAGTTGAGCACAGAGTCTTCAGACATTTCAATACCGTTCATCTCTCCGGCAATTGTCTTGAGGAACGTGGAACAACCACTACCAGGTCTTCCAAGCACAACAACCATCTCCCCACTTTTCACCAAACCGTCGAATTCACGAAGAATCTGGATCTTTTGCATCTTCATTCCGACTAGTCGGCGAGCCAGTGTGCCCAGTTCGAGGAGTGAATTCAGGACGTCTTTCTGGTAGTCGGTCGGCGACCCGAATCCATGAACATTCAAATTCCTGAAAGCAACACCAGCTGTACGGTCAGGATATCGCTCGGGGTCACGAGATCTGATGGCGAGAAGCATCTTCATCCAGTCCTTGGGCTTGAAATTGGGGCTGTGAGGGTTGAGCGTCGATTCCGGATCGTCGACTGCAAAGGGATTATCGAGGGTGCCTTTGGTAGAAAACCGAGTTGATTGGCGCGTGAGCTGTCGAGCAAGGTCGCCCACCCGAGCTTCTATCTTCTCCTCCTTCCCTTGCAAAGTTTCGTCATCTTCGCTTCTCTGCTCCGACTTCTCGGTGTATGCGCTCCCGGGGGGTCCATGGACTGCATTGTCCAAGTCTGGGCTGCCCTGCATTTGTGGCAGGTTATGGCTGACCACCGCCTGTGCCCGGGAGGAGTTGGGATTTGTCGTGGCGACGAACGACGACATGGTGGCTTGATTTCGGATTTACGCTGCTTTCGTCATGCACAAAAAGCAAGCACCGACCGTTGAGCCCTGCGGTGCTCTAGGGATGAACCAGGCAGTAGGTGTTGATAAAGAATTCGAAACTGCGCCAGTCCACCAAGTCGAGTGATTTAGAAATAATCTTTCAATTTTCAGCGAGATGGAGACGGACTAAGGGGCCAGCAGATAGTGGAGGTTATATAACAACTATAAGTAACTCCTGGGCTGTGTGTAAGACGGGGGTCCACAATGCTGGAACTGGAAGCAATAGGCCTAGTCTTTCGGTAAACGAAAGTTCCAGGGACCCGCTCGCGGAGTTCCCGATCTCCATTGTTGCAATGACAGACAGAAGATTCGCCATGGTTTTTAGCCATATGATCTGCCTAGCGTGCACAGGGAACCTCCGGGGACCCGAATCAGATTGTTAGGCGGCTTATGCGACCCCCTATCATATCCGCTGGGCTGGAGGTAACGGTTTCCACCCGAGAGTTAGAAGGCTAATTCTGATTAATAATTTCTCCTCTCTATCCTCTTTTGGGTATTGCAGTTGTGCTGAAACTCCGGATTCCGAACCAACCAGCATGACTGCGGACCCAGCTTTCGGGGAACGGGAGTGTCCCTAGTTGGGGCGCGCCTGGCGGTCGGGCGAATTCACAACTGCTGGGCTTTCCATGGATGGCCCAAGGGCGATCTTCGCTTATCGCTGAATACACGTGGAATGATCCGGATCACGGTTGTAGTTGCACCCGTGAGAGGACTTCGGATAAGGAGTACTAAGCTGTTGCTGGTGTCTTGTCTCTAGGGTGGAGATCAGCCAGCCATAAGACCGCGACTCGACGCTGTTTGCATCTGCACCATTCTTCCTGTCAGCTGAAGTGTTCATCTTCACATTTTCCGATTGCACCATCATGATGTAAATAGATAGATCAGACGCGATTGTCACGTTCCCTGCATGCTCTTCATGCTCGGTTGAGTGCACGGTGTGTGTCTGGCCACCGAGAGAATACTAAGGAGAAGATGGATGGAGAGGATCGGCAGCGTGAGAAGACGCAATCGCTTTTGGTATTGTTACCCATTCATTACCGTTATTTGTGACAGTTTGCAACGAACTTCCGGCATCCGGGGACGCCAAGATGGCTTCTTTTGGTTTAGCCGCTGTTTATCTTCGATACCCATTGGCCAACCGCATATCATTGAAAAATGTGCATTGTTATCTAATCAACATCTGTACAAGCACAAACAATCCGTGACACCAAGTGGACATCCTCTGATCGATTGTCCGCCACACGATTCACCATCACTGCTCGGATAGGGCGAATGGGCCCCTTCCCATGCTCCTAAACTCGGGTCCAAGACTTCCCGAGCAGAACGTTGTGTGTGCGTGTATCAGATCGGTTTGAAGGCGATCTCTAGTCTGTTTCCCAAACAATCGTCTTGTCCACAAGAAAAATGCGTTGTCCTTGTCCATCCTACAGTGGAGGCAAAATGAAACCCTCATCAACCTAACACCCCCCTCATCCAGGGTCTAGACTAAGAAGCATCCGCTTAAACAAAGGGAGTGATCTTCGTCGGTTACTTGAAGATCTGAAGAATAATTCCTAAAAGGGGCTCTCACTCAACATAATTTCCCCTCTACGTCCCTTATCAACCCGATTTCCCAGGCCAAGCTAAATCCCCCCTTGCTCCACTATCCCTGGTGGATTTCTATCATGTCCAAGTCCGACAATGAATGGACCATCCAATACCAGCAGAGGCATGGACTCTTCTATCCCTAGTAACCCCATGTCTAGCCAACAAGATTCGTTTCCTTTAGATCCAGGTAAGGAAGATGGCAGAAAGAGCACACGAAGAAAGGTGCGGGTCCACCACCATATACCAAAACTGTCATCACGCTAATTAAAAAGTAATTAGGCTTGTGATACCTGTCAGCGCAGAAAGATTAAATGCGATCTCTCCACCAAACCCAAGTGCTCGCAATGCGAGAAGATGGGAATCGCTTGCACTCGGAATCTGCAGAGATACCAGGCAAACTTAAGAAGGTCCGGCTAGTCACCACTTTACAACGAATTGATCGCAACGAATATGGGCTGACTAGCTCGGTAAAGGCAGGCGATGATCAATCATCTGGAAGGAAGTCTTGAGCGCATGGAGTCTCGTCTGCAGGGTCTTGGTTTTACCGTAGGCGAAAATGATACCATAATCGGTCCTTCATCATCAGAGGGAGTTGGTGATATCTCACCGTTGAGGTTGTCATTAAGTCCCACGGATCGTAGTCCTCGGGTTGAGGACGTCGATGATACAGATTGGGGCAACATCTACACAAGCCCGCCTCCAGGGTCGATCCGTTCATCAGCGAGCAGATCCCCAAGCCCTCATATGCCAAACCTATTTGGGCAATCAAGTCAACCACAAGCGGCAGTACCATGCTTTAACGTTCCGAGATATCTCGGAGGTATATTGAACTCTGGCTGTAAGTTAAACCAAGGGCCACCTATCACCTCCTCCTGGTCTAATCTCAATCAGGCTTCTCCATGATTTCACAAGAGGGCTTAGAATGGATAGCGCAGAAGACTGGTGGCGAATCAATGGACCATTTAACACGCCTCGTCCTAACGGAGGAGCGTGACGGTTTCATAGCCGACTATCCACTCCACTGCATATCACCCAGGAGATTATTCTGTCCTCTCCCACCTCAGGAGCATATCATACGTCTTGTCGAACGGTATTTGGAGGACTTCAATGTCACATTTCCCTTGTTCAGACGGTCGGACCTTTTACTCCTCTTTGAAAGAGCGCATCTTGATATGCGCTATCAAAGTCCAGGCCAGTGGGCTATCATGAATGCTGTTTTGGCAGTTGCCTACATGCTTCCTGACAATGGGGTTTCTAAGCAGCCGGATCATCAGAAAAGCTGGCTTCTTCTGAAGAATGCTCTGGAGGCTGTCAACGAGCTTTATTTGGGTCCGCCCGATCTTCGGGGTCTTCAGGGTCTTTTAGTAATGGTATGCTCCTAGTATTTGATATTCTTGGAAAATTGACGTTGATGGTCATATAGGTTGTTCTCTTTATGGCGGCATCGGCTGCACGGCCTTGCAGTTTTCTAATATCCGTCGCTATCCATATTAGCGACCAACTGGGTTTGGGTACGACCGAAGACATCTCGATCTTTACCGAAGAGGAGAAACAGGAGCGGCAGACGGTTTTTTGGCTTGCTTACTGCCTCGATAGGGAGTATGCACCTATGTCTTTCCACAATCACCCCATACATGTCAGCTGACTCAGACAGAATCTCCTTCCGATTCGGTGAACCACCAGTACAAAATGACGAAGCCATCAGCGCAGCTCTACCATTGAATGCACCAAATTGTCTCGTCTACTCCATGCCAACAAACGACCGGGCAGGGACCTTCAGCGCCTTCGCATCAGCCTGCAAACTTGCACAGATCAGAGGCGAGATCTACCAACGCCTCTACTCCGCTTCGGCTACGGATAGGCCGTTCCATCAGATCCTCGCCTCAGTCGGAGATTTGGATAGGAAACTACAAGCATGGAAGGATAGTCTCCCGTCTGAGTTTCAGCCCGAATCACCTACACTCTTCCATTCCCCTCCAGTATCCTTGATACTACTACACATGCACCACACATACCACAACTGCATGATCGCCATTCATTCTCTAATTGCCGCCCGAGGCATCAATTCTGCCCAAGATCTCTCAGACCATCCTGGGTATACCATCAACCCGGATTCTCTATCGAATCCCCGGGTTCTACTTTCAGCATCCCTGACCTCCAAAGCTGCCCGTGCTTCGATTGGCTTGATGAAGTATCTCCCGAAGGATGACATCTCCCTTGGGTAAGTTGGGCTTCGCTACCCCAACAACAGTTTACTGACATTAGCAAAGGTTAACGATGTATTTTCCCACCGTTGCACTAAGAACACTGGCCTCGAGTATTGTTCGCAATCCCCGCGATACAGGCCAGATCTATAATATGAGGATTCTCGATCAGGCAGAAGCATTTCTATCGTCGACGTGTTCGGACACTACTAGCGAAGGGATGAAGCGATTGGTGAAGAATTGCGCCGAGTTTCGCTCGCTCGCTGAGAGGGCAATGAAGGAATGCTATTAAAGGCGGTTACTTTGCCAATTGCCCGCGGTCGCATATAGCTATCAGTATACTGTTAATGATACCCGGTTGAGATCACAGATAGAAGGGATTATTAGCATAGGAACAGAGAAGCTTTCCCGAACCCTACAAGCAGCCGGGGTTACAGGAGCACATAAAGAGTAAATGCAAATTAGAAAAAGGAGGGGAGAAATCAGACATGAAAAAAAAAAAAAAGAAAGAAAGAAAGAAAGAAAGAAGAGGAGGAGGAAGAGAGAAAAAATGAAGCATAAGAAGCAAAAGAAAAGAAAGGATTAATTAATTCATCAATTCAATTAGTTTCCAACACGGAGAATATTGTGCAGGAAGAAAAAAGAAATGACAAGAGTGGGATTCGAACCCACGCCATCTTACGATGATCAGGAAGCTGTGAAGCTGGGTATTAAGGTGGACCTTAACCTGACGCCTTGGACCAACTCGGCCATCTTGCCTTGGGATGTTGAATGGGTGAGATTTAGAGCATTATCAAGGAAGAATTAGTGTAATCTCCGCGTTGTTGTTTTCCGTGGATGCGGAAGCAGTATGTCTCTAGGGGTAGGACAACAACATCCATAATTCTATTTATGGTTGCAGTAAACAAGAAAGTAGTCTAATCTCACTTGTAATTCGTTTTATAGTCAGTGATTCATCATATTCACCACAGCGGGATCCAACATTTCATCATTCTGGTTGCAAGTCGAATCGGGCATGATATCCTTGAGCATAGGTATATATATAACTAACCCATGAGTACTAGTAAACTGAAGTCCTACTAGATGCACTCATTCGGCATCATCCATCCTCATAACGTGATCAGAGAATAAAATAAACCAAATGAGATAGTTCATCATGGTTCTTGTAATTCTTTATGATATTGAACTTCGTAGTATTTCTGCTACTACCCTGATGCACGTGTCAAGCACTGAATGATATTATGGTATTGGTAGTACCATACGAGACCAAATCTGCCCAATAATGGTATACTGAATCGACCAAAAAAAGCTAGCGCAATACTACATACAGCACAGAACAACGATACAGTAGGAATGCACTGCACTGACAACGCGATAATATAGATATCCTCCATATCTCAGAATTCCGATGATACAGCAACCAAGAGGAGTAAGGTTTGACAAGATCTCTCTGTATCTGATCTACTTCTTTTCTATCCGCAGCAATTCCACGTCTGCACGATCGCAACAACGCCATTACCAAACCTAACTACAACTACACTGTAACAAACCCCGATTGTTTACTTTTACTGCCCGTCCTCCACCCCCAAAGGCCCCCTCCCCACCTCCTCAACATTCCTCCTCTTCTGCTCCACCGGCTGACTCGGATACGAATTAATCTGCGCATCCGCGGGAGTCTGTTCCTCGCCCTCATGCGCCTCGCTAGTGGATCCCCGCTGGGCGGAAATAGGCGACTGCACGGATCGGGTATCGGCAGAAGGACTGGCTGGGTATGCTTGTCTGTGGGATGTAGGTAGTATCGTGGCCTTGAACGCGTTCACAAGAGGGTTGTGAACCTCCTGAGTGATTATCATTGGTTGAATAGGAGTAATAATCAAACAAAGAGTATTGATTTCGCTATGCCACTAATCCGAGGTATAGTCCTTCACGATACGACCATTTTCCATCTCAATAACTCGATCTGCCCCCGTCACACTATCAGGCCGGTGCGATACATGGAGAACCGTATATCGACCGAACACATCAGCGATAACCTTCTGCATCAGCGCATCAGTGACAGCGTCCGTGCCACTCGTTGCTTCATCTAGAATCAATATGCCGCCACTATCGTGAGCATCACTGTCGCGACTCCATTTCCGCACCAGCGCGACTGCCAGCGCAAACAGTCTTTGCTCGCCCTGCGACAGGGATGTCGATGTCAATTCCGCATCTAGCCCCCCACGCGATGTCACAAGAGAAAGTAGGTTAGCCTTCTCTAATGCTGAAAGCAAAATCGAGTCTGTAGATCGAGAAGTCGGATCCAGGTTGAAGCGGATAGATCCAGGGAGTAGAAAAGGGTCCTGGGGAATGGCGATAATGCGGGATCGGAGTACATCTAGTGGAACGGTGGAGATGTCTATCCAGTCAATTGTAATCGTGCCGCTCTGGGTATCGATGAGTCGAAGAAGGGCCGAGACCAGTGTGCTCTTCCCGCTTGGATCAATGTCAGTGTAAGGTACAGGTCATGTGTTTGCAGTACTTACCTGCCAGTCCGGCCACGTATAACCACCTTTTCCCCAGGATTTATAATCAGATTGATATTGTCCAATGCACGTGTGACACCACTGTTGGTTCGTTAGTGAATACTTCTAACGCTGGCCGGAGGGTACGCACTCATAGGAGGCAGAAAGAGACCTGATTTCAATATTCCCATCAACAGGCCAAGTCGTTGAAGGGACCACTGGTTTCTGGGGTTGATGCTCAGTGGGTGTTTTCATCTCAAAAGATCTTGTCCGTGCAATTGCACCAAGGGATGTTTCCAGGCCCGTCCAACTGGTCACAACTTCCTGCAGGGTCTGGCTGAACGCCATGATTGCAGTCAAAGAAACTCCCAGTTTTCCCGGATCGGTCGAGCTTCGGAACGAGATTGCCAGTGCAATTAGTATCACAGCCAAGCAAGCAACAAGAAGATCAAGAACAACGTTGAGCCATCGCTGGATGCAATAGAGAAGGTAGTAAGGCTTTTGCGAATCGTCAAGCCGGCGTAAGCACTCTGCTACAAATGACCGTTGCCATCCAAGGCCGCGAATTGTAGAGATACCGTCAAGAGTTTCCACGAACATTGTATACAATGGGCTTTTGGCTTCCAGATCGAGAAACCGGAGCTGTCTGGACGTCCGCAGATAGACTTTCTGGGCGCAGTACAATACTAGTAAGCACGGAATAATTGTCAGCGCCATGTAGCTGGAGCCCAGCGAGATTAAGGCAACCTGGGCGAAGCATTGTGCGATACCTGGGAAATATTAGTGTTGGGTTGCATCTAAATTAACCGAACCTACTCAGAACCGTGCCAAACGCCATCGTGGGCAGTACAGCGTCGACAAGTGTCATGTCCTGGCTGAACCTGTTGAGGATGACTCCGGAATCAACCTCGGCGAAGAAATGCATCGGCGCATTTATTACGGTTTGGACAAGAATCTTGTGTAGTCCCAGCCCTGACGTGATGACAATCTTGATCATGATTTGCCTGTGGTTGGTTAGCGTAGCGTACAGGCAAAGTATGTTAAGAGCCGACCATATCATTAGTCCCTGCGAGCCTGAGGCGGCCACAGCAAGTAGGATGTAAACACCAATAAACTGGGCAGCCTTCTTTCCATTGTCATCCGTAAACAACTCCAACCATATTTCTACAAACCCATTAGCCGAATCAAACCCACGGTCAGGAATGCACTTACGAGGGAACACAGAGGAGAATGTGTGTACAATAATAATTGTGCAGGCAACCAACGTGTGACGCCATCCTATCGCCTTCAGGTAGTAGGTGTAGACTGCAGTATCACCCATACGGCGGGATATATCAGCTATGTCGTCGACAGTCAGTGTTTCAACTTTCTTTGTAGACGTCTCCTCTCCGTTTTCAGTGAGGGCAGTCGGCGTCTCTGGAGCAGCATCCGTCGTGTCCGGATTTACATGCGAGGCGAAGCCTAAGCTCCTCCTGGAACCTTGCTTTTCGATCCGTCCACTAGAATTTAGTACGACAACATTATCTGCGAAGCGCAGATGCTGGTCTAAACAATAATTTAGTTCTAACTGCACACATTATCGCAGAACAAATACTGACCTGAATGGGTTGCCATCATTACACCAACACCTATTCGCCTGCATATTCCATTATCGACAAATAGAGCCTCTGCGACATACTGTGCGGTTTTGTTGTCAACGGCACTTAGTGCATCGTCTAGCACAAGAAGATTCTTCCTCGAGTAGATAGCCCGAGCCAGTGCCTATAGTTTTGTTAGTGACGTGACAGTAATATGTCTGGGGTGATGTACCAGACGCTGCTTCTGTCCTCCACTCAGCTTGAGAGCCCCGCTACCAACCATAGACTGATCACGCTCTGGCATTCGAGATATGTCCTCTTCTAAAGCACATGCCCTTAGTACCTCACCATACCAAGTATGGTCTATCTCAGCATAACCACAGATGTTATTGCGAATAGAGGTGTTTTGGAGCCAGGGAACTTGACTGCAATAGGCAGCATCCGGCCGCGTTCGTGTAACCGTTCCTTGGCTACATGATAGCTCCCCTACGGCCGCCTTTAACAGGGTCGACTTCCCAGACCCAACCGGACCAGTAATCATTGTTACTGTACCCGTCTTGATGGCTAGATTGATACCCTCAAGGGAGAACGCGGACCCAGTAACTGGACGGATATAAGCGTCCGTCATGGTAAGAACAACATGGTCGGAAACCTTTGGTGCCAAGACCTTCAGTTCGACCGCCGATCCATTTCTGGTAGAAAGGTCTGACTCTGTCTCCAGGCCTCTCTCAGCCGGTGAGTGGTCTGTGGGAGAAGTGAGGAATTTGTGAATTCGGTCAAAGGCACCCAACGCGGCAGTTATTGCTGGGATTGATGCCAGTAACTGTAGTGCCGGGCTTGTGATAAGGCTAATGATTGCAAGGGACGTGAATGCTTGTACTGTCGACAGTGTCTCTGAATGATCGATTTTCGCGCGTATGACGAAAGCTGCAAATGTGACGAGAGAGGCACACATCTGAGGCAAACTTGCTTCATGTTGTCAGCCAACTTGGTTCAACGCCGGCCTAGTGTGAGTTACTTACCAACCACGTTCAGCCACACGATCAACCATCGGAAGTCCTTAGATAAATCTAGTTCACGCTCTCGTTGCGCCTGAAGGGTATTGGCGAGCACTTCAGATAAACCAAGCATCTTGACGCTCTTCATTGATTTCAGCGCCGAGGAGATTATGCTAACTCGCCGTTGTATTGCACCAACCCAGACTTTCTGCCTGGCAGGCATGAATGTGGCCATATACATTTGAACCGATGTGCATACTATGGTGATTTAGTGAAAGAAATAGGTCGGGTGAAGAAGACCTACCCAGGATTACGAGGATCGGGGCCACACAAACAGCAGCGAGCTGCCGCTCTAGTAGCCAAATACCGATCGCGATCTCCACCACGCGGGCCCACAGCTCGCTAGCTTGCTCTAGAGACCGCGCGATCATGTCAATGTCAGTACTCATTAGCGTAACCGCAGCCGATTCATCGCGAGTTCCATCTGGTAGGACCATCGTGTGATCGTAGATCAAGGCAATTGCTGCGCCACGGAACATCGTGATCATTCGAAATAATTGGTGCTTGTAATGCACCGTTGATATCTAACTCCGTCAGTTCTGTCTGAGAAGTTAAGTAGGTAATGTGATTGCATACTGCGATCCCACCATAAATGAGCGCCGCTGCCCCAATCAATCCGTAGCCTTCATTACGGGTTAGCTGCGTATCTGGTCTGTGTAGCTGCTCCATTGCACGCTGAATGAAGAACGTCTGAGCATAGCTGAATCCAATGAGGCAGAGCCTGGGGAAAATAGTACGGAGAACTGCCCAACGCAGACTGATAAAGGTCGCAAAAATCAGACTACGTGTTTGGCTGGACTGGTACTTTTCCCAGGCTTTTCCAATCTTTCGCCTCAGACCTTCCGACTTTAGGTCGCTGTCCGTCGGGAACAAATCCTCGAGCGTCAGGAGCTTCCGAAAACCTATAACGAATAGACGGTTGAGCCACCAGAAAACGGTGCGAGCAAATAATCCACTGGTAGACTCGGGCGGAATTGCGAGAAGCGGTTCTTTGAGATAGCTGCGTTTGTTTTGGGCTTCTAGGGCCAGCAGAAGAAGCTTCAGAGCAGCAGTTGCTGCAGAGAGAGCTCCAAGGGAGGACGGGTAATGTCGGATAAATAATGTGCGCACTTGCACAGCATCGAAGAGGGATGAAAAGAGGAGGTAGATGCCCAATAGCGACGATGGGCGCACTGAGCGATTGTGCTCGATGGTTGATAGAATAGCTATCGATAGAGCGTCCACCAGCGACACGGCGACAGCAGGAATGGCAGTCCGGACTAAGTCATAGCGTGCCCATTCAACCACCGAGGCAATCTGCAGAGCAAGGAGACAAGCTGCGACGGTCTTCATTTGGTCAGGTACGGCTTCTGGCAGAAGTCCGCTGTTTCTATAGGGGGGCAACTGACCAGTTTTCGCCAATGGGCGTTGTTTGCAACAGTTTTGACATTCTCTGGATAGAGCGACCAGATACGCCATGGAACCAGGAGGAGAAAGATGGCGGATGGGCCAATGGAGAGGATACTCTGCTCGAAGAGCAGAGTGAAGTCAAATGTTGCTGGACACGCGACGACCGGTCCGAACGAGTCATCTGCAGCGGGGGAGCAGCTACCCGCCATGGTGATGTGAGGAGGGAAGCATACAGATATGGTAGATGAAGCAGATGGAAGTATGTTAAAAACGCAACCTTGGCGACAGCGAGAGAGAGAAATAATGCACAGTGATGAGGATTTGAGGAGAAGAAATTGGAGGGCAAGGGGCGCGATAAGATTGAGGTTGTAATGGCTCGTGACTGACCAGGGTCCCTGGTTTGGTGCGTCAGCGCATGGCAGCCTGGAGGCGGCCTGAAGCGCTCGCTCCCTTTGTCCCCTATTATGCTTACGCTTTGTTGTTAACAATCGCCCACTAGATGAGCTTGAATGTAAGAAGCTTTCAGTTCCTGTCACATGAATAATTGCATCCGAGTTCTACTTTGGTTGAGATATGCGACCGGAATTTGCCTACATGACAAAAACCTTCCAGAGTTATCTCGGGATTCCCAACTTGGGTGAAGCCGAGAGGTCAGCGCGCCCTAATCGCGAAGATGTCGTTCATAGTGTGTCTACTCCGCAATCTATCAAATGGAAGCCCAGAGCTTGAGATGTGCGACTTCTAGCCACCCGTTTATTTCATTACAGCACGTCATTTACTATGCCCAACGATTATCTACCAAATCCTTAACCACTGTCTCATTCAACCCGGTATGGCTCCGGCATCGAACAAGCACCTTGGCACGTAGCTTCTTCCTTTAGAGGAAACTCACTATGGCCGACAGTATCTTTCACTTCGGAAATATGAATGGGACTACTTCCAGTATCTCGAACAGCCCTCCATAACGGCTCCGGGTCCCTGCACTGATGGGCATGTCCAATTCCGTCGATAACGAGGATTCGTTTCCCATCTTTATTTATCGCTGGATGAGGTGGCTCAATAGTACCATCTGCTGCACATATTATGGACTTATCATCGTTAGTATTCTCGAACTCTACCGCGCCCAGAAGGATCACTCAACTTACCTGGGCAATATAATCAAAACAATGAGCCCAGTGCACTGCGTCTTCATGCTCATCACCTGAGTGTGATGGCGAGGTCGAAGCACCATGGTGCTGAGAGGTTTCAGGGAAAATCAGCCCCCGAAGAACAGTTAGGCAATGAAGCTGATGGAACATGGAGATCCCGTAGTCGGTAATGGTGTTGTGATCAGTCCGGACCTTCAGAATACCGCCGTTTTCGGGGAGAAGAAGAGATTCCCATGAGCGATTTGTATCATGAGGTAGAGAGCCATCGGATTTAGCACCCAGTAACGGAGTCAATGATTGGAATTTCCGGATGATTGGAGGTGTAGATCGAGGCTCGCTTGGGCAAACATGTATGTGAAACTTCTGTGAGAGGCTGGCTAAGCTGCCGGTTGATGTGTATATGATACCAAGAGTTGTGAAAAGGAGGAAGATAAGTGTTGCTAGTATGCTATAGAGAAAGCGTGCTTGTGTGGGCATGTTGGGGTTTTTTTCTTTTTTTTGGATCTCCAGTTGTTAGGGAGGGCAAGGGGGAGACCTTCCAACTACAAAAATTGCTCAAGTCAGACATACCAAGTAAGATGCAGTGGGTGAGGATCCCCCAGAAATCAAACCTCACCCGTGTGTCGTGATGGCATCGGGTGAAACGCACAGGTTGACTCGTGCATGGTGCGGTTACATCGCAGAATCCCTATTCTGGGAGCGCACATTGTGTCCCCCTAGAAGGACCAATTGATCATGACATGTCAGCTACAAAACTGGGATGCATACAAGGGGGCATGCATCGCCATTATATTTCCGGGGGGTAATTGACCAATCAATAACTATACAGTGTCTTATCAAATGCTTGGTGGCGCCTGCAGGGATGGAAGATCCAGCATGCTTAGGCTAACGCTTGACAACTCACACGCCATTTACAGCCTAACCCCACTCTCATCCTTCCGCGGATAAGCAGCCGATCATGAACATGATACTACCATCCAAGTACTCGACCACGCTAGCTATGATCATCCAATGACCCCACTGTCCGAGCCATCATCCGGATTGGACTTGTACCAACCAAACAACTCCTTGAATCGATGCGACATGACCCGGGCCTCTGCTTCGGGGGGTTTTCTAATGGCTGCAAACTCATCCACATCCACCGAGTTCTCCTCCTGCCAGCGCAAGATGGCGTCAAAATCACGGCATTTGTGATTCACGTTAAAGTCAGGGAAGGCGTTCAGCTGCGCATCCGCCCAGTAATGGGTGTAGATGTCGACATTAGCGTTGCACATCAAGTTCTGGAGCAGCAGGTAGGTGCAGTGGGAGATATGCGTCCGATGCATGTCAGAGGGCGGAGTCCCCGGCGGCCACTTCTTTCCATAGTAGTGGTCAAAGTACGCTTCACGCCGCAGCCAATCCAGACAATGGATCTGGTGGAAGACATCCAGTCGCCCAATGTACGCCTCGGACCCAAAGCCAAAGCTCTCGGGCCATTTGGCTGCCTGCTCAGGATCCCTTCCCAGCTTGGCCACGTCATCACGACTGATGGCGATGGGGTTAATGTTCGCCAGTCGGTTCCAGGCTGCGTCTACCTCGGGGCTAGGGGGTTGGCGGTAGATGGGAAGGGGGTCTGGCTCCAGCAGCGTCGCATTCATTTTCTTGCTGATGAGGGGTATCTCAAGGCGATCGAACACAGGAGCTGCAACTGGTCAGCAATCTGAGATGACGGTCATAGTCGAGTTACACTCACAGTACTCGGAGGTCTTTCGTAAGAGATGGTTTGGGTCGCCCGTGCCCCGAACGATGCTGACAGTCATGGCAAAGAGAAATAGTGACAGTGCAAAAACAGTAGCATTCAGCCAGAGGAGCAACTGAAGGCGTCTATTGGAGTGTTGAGGCCGTTGGGGTGCTTGTTTCAAGAGAGATACATCGTCCTCGCTTTGCGTATCCCCAGAGACGCTGTAGACCACATCGTCGTTGTCTCTGGTCCCCAGCGGCTCGTATGATGGAGATGCAGCAGGCTTCATTTTCACCGTCGTCTGTCAGATTTGAGGGAGAGAAATTGGCAAAAGATTAGAGTTGTTTTTCGGTGCAAGGAAGGTCAAATATCCTTCCTCCTTTAATGTGGTCAGCTGAACTGCGCAACACCCCCGTGGTATTATCAGGATGCATCAATGGTCCGTCAAGTATGCATTAGTGCTTTTGAACTGCCGCCACCGCACATGCCAACCAACTACCTTCGTTGAGGGAATTGCTACGTTCTTTCCTGATTAAAACAGGCGCAGATACTTGCTGCTGTCACAGTCACACTGGTGTAAGCGGATACTACACCTTGGCTGTGTAGCTGTTTCACCCCGCTTGATCACGGGCGACGACCGGGGAGATGCAAGCAGCACGACCGATGACCGAAGTCCACATAAATAGGCCCCTTCTTCCTGCCATTCCGATTGTTGAGGCATCTTTTGTTCTACCTTCAAGTCCCCAACAGATTTCCGGAAACCCACCTAGTCCACAATGAAGTATTCGCTCCTCCTCTCAGCTATCTACGGGCTGTTGTTGAGCCCCATGGCCACGTCTGCCCCAACAGCGAAGGGTATGCAACCCCAGGGAACTCGAAACTGATAGAGGATATTATGCAACTGACACACGTCAGCAGCAGTGACCCTTCGCGTCAGGTCGGAGGACTTCCATGCTCTTCGGGAGAGAGCAGGCAACGAAGCCACCGCGTTGTATGCTTATATTGTCGCCGACACCGAGATCGACGGCAAAGAGAAGCGCGATGACGAGGCCACTGCGCTATATGCGTACATTGCTGCCGACTCGGAGCTGGACAGAAAACGTGATGACGAAGCCACTGCGCTATATGCGTATATTGCGGCCGACTCGGAACTTGACAGAAAGCGTGATGACGAGGCTACTGCATTGTATGCATACATTGCAGCTGACAGCGAGTAAGGCGGACAAACTAAGCTTCGGGACAGCTGCTGCGCTAGAGCACATGGTACTGGTCTATTAATCAAGCGCTGCATTGCTTCTTGCGTAACGCTGAGATGATGTGTCATATAATGGTCGTCTATGTTCCCTCTCACTGGGTGCGGTACATGTGTCAGTCAATTGATATAATTTCTTGGGATTATTTGACCTACCTATAAGAACCTGCTTCATCCCAAGATCTATTATCCCCACAGAATGTTCCATCTCGCCCACTTGCTCCTCTGAATGGGTACATTATCAGGGTCATTGCGACACTCAAGCAGAGCCTGCTCCAGCGGTATCTCGTAACTCGATACCGTTTCTGTCTTCTTCCAGAACTTATAGCCCAGATAGAAAGCCAGTACGAGCGGAATATCCCTACCCCTAGTTAGTACAACGACATCCATTGACACAGGATGCAACTCACAAGTACGACGAAACAAAACTCGAAGCATCCCAATTGCCATGAGTAAACACCGTGAATCCACCCGTGAACAAAACAATCACACACATCACCAGAGCAAACCAGGATGTATACACTGCTTTCATCAGCCACAATCCCTCCCGGAAAAAGTATTGAACTACTCACCAGACCACCAATGATGCCACGGCATCTCCGCCGTATCCAATCCCTGCGCCTTAAACCCCCTCATCAACCTGATATGATTCAGCGCAATCGTGCCCCACGAAATCAACACCCCCGCCGCCGTCAAATCCAACAACCAATTAAACACGGTATAAGCCTCGTTCTGGCACGTAAGGTACGCTAACGCGGACACAGCAATCTGCGCCACAGCACAAGCATACGGTACACCATGCCTTGTCGTGCGCAGGAACACCGCCGGGGCGTGGCCCTTTAGCGCGAGACCGTACAACGTGCGCGTGCCAGCCAAAATACTCTGATTAGATGCCGACCACGCAGACGTTAACACAACGGCATTAATAATCGACGGTACTACTTTGATCCCTGCATCGGATGCAGCAATCACGAATGGACTCTGCGCTGCCGTACCGGATTCACTGCCCAATCGGGGATCGTTACTAGGAACTATCATCCCCACGATCAGCACAGCGAGAAAGTAGAAGATAGTAACGCGCGCGAAGACGCGTTTACATGCGCGGGGAATGTTCTGTCGCGGGTTCGCCATCTCCGCTGCTGCGATGGTTAGACTTTCCACCCCAGAGAAAGAGTATACGGCATTTGTTGTGACGGCCCAGAAACCGAGGAATCGGCCCCACGGTCCCGAGGCGATATATTCGACAAACGGGCCGGGGTCTTTCCAGTAATGAAACCCGAGACGCGGAGTACCCGAGACGCCGCCGAGGTCGATCACCAAGCCCATGAGGATGATGCCGATGATGAGGAGGATCTTCAGGATGGCGAAGACAAACTCTACTTCTCCGTAGACTCGGATGAAGAGCAGCGAGACGATTGCCGAGATGACGATCAGGATCGTCACCCAGATAGCGGGGTTGAGGGTGTCATTCCAGTACTGGATTAGGACGACAGCCGCGGAGATCTCGCTGGGCACGGACATGAAGCAACCGTAGACGACGTTCCAACCTATCGCGAAACCGAGAGCCGGATCGACGAGCAGCTCGACGTGCCGGACAAAAGAGCCGGTCACGGGCATCAGGGCTGACACTTCACCTAGGGCGATTTGCACAGCGCAGACCACCAGGCCGATCAGTAGATAGCCGAGTAGGGCGCCGAGCGGGCCACCAGTCTGGATGGAGCTGCCTAAACCAAGGAAGAGGCCGGTTCCCTGGTGGATTATTCAGTACGTAGTACGAATATTGACATTTCAAATTGTTGCAAAGAAAGGGGGATGGCCTACAATGGCACCCGCGATGGCTATCATCTGGGTATGGCGTTCTTGCAACCCCTTGCGTAGATTCTGAGCCTCTTCATCGTGGACGATACGCGGTGTGCGGTCACCGACTTTGGGGAGGGCAGGCCCTGGTTCGAGGGTGGGCGAGATATAGACATCTGGGTCCTTTTGGGTGTTATGGATATTATCCATGGTGGGTTCTCAAAATTGAGGCCGATGTGATGAGAAAAAGCAAACATTCCACGATAAGCTGAGTGGTGGGGGAAATGGCGATCACTTTATGCTGGCGATACCGCAGCAGGTTGAATTGGTGTGATTGGGTCGATAAAGCACACCAGGCGATGGCGACATTTCGGCGCCGCATGGGATCTTTCCTATCACTCACCGATTGTTGATAATAATTAGTTCTGTGGTCTTTGGTCTGCCGCTATGGTGTTTTTGGCATTATGTGGATCTGATACTAGCCACTATGACTAACAAGCAATAAATGTTATCGGGAATCCCGTCGCCCCATCACCCTATATCGTCAGTCTTGGCAGCATGCAACGTTTTCTTTTTCCGACCAGCAGATCCTGCACGCCGTCAGAAACTTCAGGAAGCTGCGTAATCGGAGAAGCAATTGCTAATTGCAACCCAGGATGAGCCATTGCATCTGATTGCGGTCGCGCGAATGGGGTTTCCAACTCTAGATAAGGATTGTCAAAGCCAAGCCCCTCCAATGCGATAGGGCTCCTATGAAATGCCACTGATTCTAATCTCACGGAAAGCCGGAGTTTGTATTCCGGAGCAGTGCAACAAGAAGGCGTCCGTGTAACTTGTTGCAGATTCTGTCACGGTCATCAGGATGAGCACGAATTGCCAAGCCATGCAGGCTAAAAATAACTTGACGATGAAATGACAGCAGAAACTAGCATCATGGAAGTGATCCTCACGAGCAATGAATTTTATTCCAAATAACCAAATAACAGACAAGCTCGGTCTTTTGTTTAGCATCAAATCTAAGCCATTATACATCATACGCCATAAATCAATGAACATCAAATACCCTTCCGACCGCCCGAACAACCGTTACTCCAGAGGGGTTTGTCACGTCCCGGACATTTCAAGATCGATAGTAGTCTTCTAATTATTCCCCATGCTTTCTTTTCCTCACTCGAGGGCGAGCCCAAGATCTCCGTCATCCCCCGCTAGATCTTCCACGGCCATCTCGGCCTCAGCGGCATCAGCGGCCTGTTTCATGGCGATCTGCTGCTCCTGCTCCTCTGGTGATAGGGCCGCGAAAGCCGCTGTGTTGGCATCCCAATCCGCCACACATTGCTTATTCCAGTTGCACTGTTCAACTTCGCCGTAGAGAGGGTGTTTGAAGCGAGGATGGGTGTTGGGCCACCCCGACGCGTGGTAGTGGTGCTTGACCAGCGCCGATCGCGCATTGTGGTTACCCGAGTCCGAGTGACCCTGGCCTGCAGCAAAGGCCTCCACTGTGAGCACTAGGATACCACCCACTAATTTTGACTCGGGGATGTCGTGGAACGTCTTCCAAGTCACTTCCTGGCCAGTGCGGGCGCTCATCTCGGCCAGTACAGCTTCCGTAAAGGCGGACGGACCGGTTCCACTGATGATGTCGTCGAAGTCAAGCTCAAGGTCGGAGATGGGCTTGCCCTGCTTGACAGAGTGATCGTGTAACCAGTCGAGGATACGATTCACCAGTCGCATCATGACTGGTTGGCGTGGTTTGCTGATAAAGGTCCATTGACAGAAGGATTGTGACTTGGGACCCAGGATAGCATGATCGTTAAAGTCGGGTTCGTCAATCTCGACACCAATCACCAGGTCCATGTCCGCTTCGTTGAAGCGTTCGGGTATGAAGCGATCTAATGGCCGCAGGGCTTCGACGTCGATATCAGCGTATACTCCACCGTCCACGTACATTACGAGGTAGCGAAGTAGATCGGCCTTGATAATCTTCGCGGTCAGGGAGCGGTAGGTCTCGACAATGTCCGGCCGATTGAGGCCGTCAGGCCCAAAATTTGTCTCAACATAATGTAGGTCATTTTGATCGGTCAGCACCTCATAGCGGTATCCTGGGTTAATGGAGGTCCAGGTACGGGCCACGTTCAGGTCACGCTCTTCAAACTCGAAGGGATTGACCTTCCATGACTGCCATATCTTGCGGGGGAAGAGCCTGCACTTGCTCTGACGCGCGAGGCCCCCGTGAAACTCGGCGAAGGTGCCTGTAAGCGAGAGATAGAAAACTAGACAGAAGACTGCCAGGAAGAGCGGCACCACCCGGCGAACCTGTCGTGGAAGACAGACACCGGACATGGCGGGCATGGCAGGCATGGCAGGTATGGGAGTCTTCAACTGCATTGTGACGGACTGGCCCAACTGACCCATGAGGGGGATGAGAGACGAGGGGTTCGGCGGACGAGCGAAAAAAACACACGCTGCTGAGGGCAAGAATGTTTATGAGCCAGAGCGAGCCGGTCTGACCAGATCAGCTCTCCCCGCAACGCGCGGCCAAAAACCAGCGCCATTCGGACCTGGCCAGGGCAATTCAGGGCATTGCACCTCGAAGCTATATTACGGGCTCCACCCACCTGCGTGACGCTAATGCTCTTAGCTTCACGAGGGCCCGGCTGAGAGGAGCCCGCTCGGTGTGCCTGTCGAGCGATTGGGTCGAGACATATCGCACCCATGTCGATCGCATTTGCCAGAGCCCGGGGTTGCTCAATGCTACCTCGGGTCTTGGTCTGCTAGCTCTGTCCGGATGGGAAATGAGTCCGACGCATGTGCTTCTGGCCAAGACACGATAAGCTGACTACTGCTCTGCAATCTGTCGATCCGACAGCCTAGCTCGGGATTTTGGGCATTCTGAATGTCACCAGTCTTTCCCTCAAATATCGCCCCTCATCTTCAGCCAGCGAGACTCCGTCTTGACGACGCGTTTTGCCCGACTTGTTTTTCACTATGCCCGTCCGCACCCTCTCGCCAGATCGTGAAAAGTCCATTCTGCCCCTCTCGGTGGATCTCCGGAGCAAAGCCCGCTGGCTCAGTGTGCTCCTACCGTCTTTCCTGTCCTGGGGTGGGAGCAGCACTTCGTCAACGGGGAAAGCCCGGCGGACAGCCTACTTAGACGGGCTGCGCGGGTTTGCAGCCTTCCTGGTGTACTGGGGACATCATGAATTATGGGCACACGATGGCATGGGCGCTGAGCGGATCTTTGAAAATGCGTATGGTTATGAGAAGCAACACTTCCTGGTCGCGTTTCCCGGAATTCGCACCTTCTTTTCCGGTGGGCACTTTGCGGTCAGTGTTTTTTTCGTGCTATCGGGCTATGTGCTATCCGCCAAACCGCTGGCGCTGATCCAGGCGGGTGAATACCTTCAGCTGGGCGACAATCTGTCCTCCGCGCTGTTCCGGCGATGGCTGCGTCTTCACCTTCCTGTTATCGCCACCACGTTCATCTATCTCACCTTCCTTCACCTCTTCCATGTCCGCGCAACTCCAGAGTTAAAAGGCACCTACGGTGAAGAAGTGTGGAACTGGTATATCGAGTTCAAGAACTTCAGCTTCATTTTCCGCGGTGGTGGTGAGCCATGGTTCACCTACAACTTCCACTCGTGGTCCATTCCCGTCGAATTCCGCGGATCCATCATTGTCTATACGGCTTTGCTGGCCTTTTCCCGCCTTCGCCGGAACATGCGTCTGGCTGGTGAGGCCGGACTGATCTTCTATTTTCTCTACATTGCCGATGGCTGGTTCGGAGCGCTGTTTATCTCCGGCATGCTGCTTTGCGACCTGGACCTGCTTGCGGCACGCGACAACCTTCCGGACATTTTCTTGATGCTTGGGCCGTTCCAGGAGGGGATCATCTACTTCCTTTTTGCAGTCAGCATCTACCTGGGCGGCGTGCCATCTCGCACGTGGGACCTGCAGGCGCTGCGGGAATCCCCGGGGTGGTACTACCTGTCCTTCTTGAAGCCCCAGGCGGTGTTTGACTACAAGTGGTTTTATTTGTTTTGGGCGTCCACCTTCATCGTGACGGCAATTGGGCGGATCGGTTGGCTGAAGAGATTTTTCGAGCTACGCTTCAACCAGTATCTGGGGCGGATATCCTTCGCCTTCTATCTAGTGCATGGACCGGTGTTGTGGGTGCTTGGGGATCGGCTGTATGCTGCGGTGGGTTGGGTGCGCGATTCGCATGCCACCAATTGTCCCGGGTGGATCGATCGCTTCCCGCTCCCCCGCACGGGGCCTCTGGGGTTGGAGGTCAGTTTTCTGGCTACTCATTTGATTCTGCTGCCGGTGACTTTTTGGTTGGCGGAGATCGTAACCAAATTGATTGATGAGCCGAGTGTGCGATTGGCCCAGTGGCTGTATCGCCGAGTGACGCGTAGTTGATGCTGCAGTTGCCAGGCATCTCCGAAATGAATGTCTCAGTTTTGCTTCTTCTGTTGGGTGATTTGGTGTAGTCGCCTTTTCTCACTAGTGTGCCGTAAGCTCATCTTAGACCCATCTGCCATTTGCCTTCCTGGTGGATTCGTTGGTCCCTGAGAGGCCCAAGCGACAGGGAGATACCGGTGGGGTTGCCGCTTCGGGACGAGAGACACAGTCCGGCTCGCCACTAAAAAGCAATAGTTCCAGCCCGAGCCCTGGCCGGCATCCAGTGGCTTCTAGACGGCTGCAACTAGCGCATCCTGAACTGACCGTGTTATTGTGTACCTTCTTATCACATGTTGCATCCCGAGTGAAAACAGCAATACGTCCGGATCGGCACGCCACTCACAGGCGGGGGATGCCGTCTTTCCTGTCTCTCTCTATGCTGTAAGCTGAAAGCCTAGCTCGGATGCAACCCTAATTAATCGCGATATCGCAGTCTCCCATCATGCAGACATTAACGGCGGGCGCGATGGTCCCTCGACCAACACCCCTCCCCTCCCCTCCGCTTCACAACCATGCTCTCCCGAATACTGCGCTTCGTGCCTTTAGTGGCGCTCCTCATCCTCCTCCTCAGTACATTTTACTATCTCTATCGGGCCATTCACGTCGACACCCATCCTGATCTCGACCTAGGCCTTGAGACCGCCACCACCACCGACCTCAAAACCCTTCCCGACAGCACCGTTAGCCAACTCGTTGCCGACTCTCACCATGAGATAACATCCAACTCGACCCCGGAAGGCCGATACTTCCGCATCGACTTCCGCTCCCGACGCGGTATCAACCCCAGCATCATCCCGCACCCCTCCAAGCCCAACACCTGGATCATCACCGCGCAGCTTCATGAACCCGGTCGTCGCGACAAAGACAGCGCCTGGTTCGTCGAACTTGTCTGTGATGCCGTCTTCCAAGACAAAGGCCGCACTCTCCGCTGTATCGACTATCCGTTTATCCTCCCCATTGCTGCAACCGAGGGCAACAACGCCCTCTGCTCCGGAAGCCTCGCCTTCTTCGCCCTTAGCATCGGTCCACATGATGCCCGCGTCTTCTACGGCCCAGACGCCCCGTACACCATCTACGGTTCCAACTCCGCCGTGACCTGCTTTGGCCAGTGGATTCTCGACTTCCGACTCCTAGTCGACTGGCCTGCCTCCGACACCATCACCGACTATGGCTTCCGTCGCGCCACGGAGCTCCAGCGCCCTACAACGGCCCCGTACTTCGCCGTCGAGAAGAACTGGTTCCTCTTCTGGGACCGAGCCGGCAACGCCTACGTTCACTACGATGTGGCACCCACAAGAGCATTCGCTGCCTTGACTCTAGACGGATCCGTCGGCTCTGATCTCGCTCCAGCAGCAGCGAATGCAGACGTAGCCTGCCTTCAGAAATACCTACCGCATATGCAAGACCCCGACCACGAATCTATCCACCAAGCTACCAACTCCCTAGCTGTGACCCTGTGTATGCGTGGAGACCCGAGCTGCCAACCGGATGACTCGAACACAGTCATTTTGACGATCTTCCAGCATAAGCGATTCGTGGGGTTCCATAGTAGCTACGAACCGTACGTCATGCTGTTCTGGCAAAGGGCGCCGTTTGAGATCTACGGGATTTCGGATAAGCCTTTGTGGATTCACGGACGGGGGATGATGGACGAGGGGAATCAGACGGAGATGTTGTATGTGACGTCAATCGGGTGGAAAACTGCTGGGCAGAAGTATCATGGGTATCTTGATGATGTGATGTTCTTGGCGTTTGGAATAGAAGATGCGGATACAGCGGGGGTGGATGTGGTTGCGGGGGATTTGGTGGCTGGAGTGGGGAGATGTTGATCTCTTATCTTACTCAGATTACATTATAGAATGGGGGTAGATTGCGATGTGATGTCCTATGATGGCATTTCTTATGATTACTATGTTGAATGTGATGTTGTACGATAACAACTCCCCCCCTTCCATTTCCATCTTCCCTCGGTAACACAATTTATCGTGTGATCAGACCCCCAATGCAACCACAGCTTAAATTAACTTGGCAACCTCCGAACCCAAACAGTCCGACCAATATGTCGGGATACATATTAGGCACACATTAGCGTGTCGCTCAGGCCGCTTATCTACCTGTCTCGGTCAGCACTAAGCTGGTTCTGGGCCGTGGAGCTCGTGCAGGTCAGGTGGTCATTGGTAATTTTAGCTAATGCAGTGGTCTGATTGCTTAATTAAATTGGAAATGAAGCTTTCACATGCTATGTGAGGCTTACTTTGTTGTTCTTTTCCCGAGGAAAATGGAGTTGTTTGTTCCTTGCCCCAGGGTCTTTTGTTGGAGGTGGCTTATAACCCCGCTTTTAGGTTTTATTAATCTGGTTCTAAGTTTAGCCGTGGGGAGACGGTTGAGATTGTTGCTTGGCACGATAATTGAGACATTGATCTGGAACGGACTTTGCGCGCTGATTTGATTGCATATTATGTGATTGGGTTCGGATTGCGCAATAAGATTTGATGTGGGACAGTGACCGTTGGCGTTTAACTTGGACAATGTCTGAGTGAGTCAATTCTATGTTGAGACATTTCCCTCCGTCTATCCTCGGGAGAAACACAACTTGTCATTTTTGGTTCATCATTTGGCTTGTGGACATTTTGTCGGGTTGGTGATTTGGAACGCAGTACTGGCGCTATGGAAGTGGAAAATAACCAATGGCCTCCATTGGTCGATATGGAGGGTATGTCTAGTGTCTGGGATGGGTTGGATACTCCCTGCTATGTCTACATTTTCCCCGAAACTCCTTAAGTAAACACTTATATCATTTCTATCTCGGCGGACCATAGCTCTTTAGTGATCTTCGTTCCTACTGCTACTACCAGTACCGTTGTTCCCGGTATTTGACCGAGCTACAAACTACACAGCCCAGATCTCTTGATTTATGGCCAGACTTATTATACTCTCAATATTGTGCTCAAATGACATGTACCGGTAATACTTATATTACTACGGGGTACATGTTCACTGGCGTTGCGAACCATCATTTAGTGATACGTAATATGCATCTCCCTGGGCGCCGATTCAACACAACTTCAAGGCCACGTCGCTGTTGTATCTTTCAAGAGCAGGCTGTTTTGTGCGCATGCTAGATGTACGCAGACCAAAAGCCTTGAGGCACTGATGCAGATACTCTATATTCTGTCTGGGTAGCTCGACCAGTAGCCTAGTATGAGTAATTGGCATATAGTCTGCATCTTGGTATGCTTCTGGCTCTTAGTGAGTGATGGAAGTAACAAATTTGGTTACTACAACATGATGCACGCGTGTTCTTCTTGATGACGTTTAGAGTCCATAGAATGTACAGTCGACTATACATCGACCCTACTTCCAATATTCCATCTTGTGACATGCACGTAATTTTCTGGAACACCCATATTAATGGCTCCCAAGTTGTTATATATATTGCTTGACGTGCCAACCGCTGAACCAAAAAGAATATAACGCGTCCACCTGATCAGCCTGCAGAGGGACCTGATCCACCCATGCTTTCAGACTTAACGTCCTCTTGTAGTTCCGCTTCAAGCACTGTCATCATCTCACCGTCATACTCACATTCGATATTGAGATCAAATTTGAGTCTGCCTTCTGGAATATTTTCTGGCAAGAGACAATCGTCAGGGTAGTAGCCCCGGATCTCCACCTTCCTGGGCTGAATGGGACATTTGGTGGGGAAGTTCCCATACTTGGACAAATCAGCGATAACAGCTGAGTATTTGTCCATGAACTCGCAAAGTGGTTGTTGTGTCTGGTTCAGGATTGGCTGCCAGTCTCCATTTCTGTTTCTGTTGTATCCTTGCAACGGAGCAGTACATGTGTCATTGAGGGGTTTGTCAATGGTAATTTGACAATTTATCTTCATAAGATCGTCCTCATCGTCGACGCTATGCATGGTTATTATTCGGATCGAAACAGGACATCCAGAATGAAACTTACTCCAGGTCGCAGAATGATGGCCCAAAATACGGAGGATTTGCTGTGAGCTCAACATCTAGAAGATCTATGACATTTCTCGAGTCGTCGTTGGAACAGGTTTGCGCCAATGAGGTTGTAATAAACAAAGCAATTATAAAGATCTCGGAAGGAATAGATAGCAAGTAAGGGCTAGGAAACATTTTGAGGATGGGTAGTGGAGTACTGACCGAATGATGTAGCGAGTCCTATATATACGTGTCTGGTAAAAGTTCTATGATATCATGCTAGTCATCACACGAGCGGTATACGAATCCACGAGTGTGCTTTTGCTTTTCTGTATTGGCTTGGCCATGATCATCGCCATCAGATGACTACTCAATATTAGCAATGTTGCAAACAAACATAGTAAACAGGACGTGTTTATTGGTTTCGTCATACCGATCATGGCATATCAACGATGCAGCACCAGCATTTAGCTATGTGAACCTAATAATATTTTCTATAATTCTATATATTAGTCTAAGATACTTCGGGTTTCTAAATACAGAATCCGTGAATGTTGCAGAAAAGGAGGCACAGAAGAAGCAATGCGGGCACGAAAGACTATTGAACATTAAATATAGGAGTGTGCATGTACATCCCTCATTTTCATCAATCTGAACTTCCAATTGTTAGAAGATTCCTGTAAAGCTGACCAGAGCAACTCAATGTCCCCCTAAGAGGATTGCTATTGATCAGGTGAAGTGGATAATATACTTTCCCCTACACCCTTACGCCCTCGGCTAGCAGATCGAACAAGGAGATCGACAGATGATCAGCTGAATCGAGCAGCATTCACTCAGCTACCCATTTGGTACATGAGCCTGAATGACAACAATACTAGTCAGTAACCTGATCTGAAGCTCTCCAAAAGTCATCTCGCTGCTTTCGCGATACTCATCATAATCGCCTGGCAACGGCTTCAATAATTACCCCAAGGATGTGGAATTTTCAGAGTAACCCAATGATTAAGGGCCAACTTAAATAGACTTTGTTTCTGCACATATTAGTAGAGTGCTCGTTGGCCCCATAGAGGGCGATGCTCACAACAAGGGGTCGAACCGAGAAGACTCTATCGGAGTACCCGCGCTTTACGATGTATTGGATGTGTTTCGAATAAAGGGCTCGCTGAGCCTTGGATTACCCCAAGAAACTTGATGCGAGACAATGAGATTTGTCAATTAATGTGCATTGAATCATCTGACTGAGTTATTATTCGGAAGTAGCATTGGGGCTAACGTGACCACGGTATTAGGCCTAGTGGGAATGGTGCCGTTCAATGGCCTTTATTGTAATCTCTCAATTGCATCCGACTAGTTGTCGGGTGAATAAACATCAATGTCAGGAATATCTATTGATTGGCCCATGGTGGACTTCATATGCTTGACGCTCCTAGCTCTACTAGTACCAGTACATCTCTTCGATGCCAAAGTCATTTACAAGGCAACGTAACGAGAATTCTTGAATAACCGGACGAATATATTCTACCACTGAATGAATGATAAGATGCAGTTTACAAGCTTTCACTTTCTTATTATAGTGTACATGCTTGCAAGCAGCACCGGCATTTTCACGGATCAAGATCTGAAGTGCAGCAATGATTATGCTTTCCGAGCCATGAGGAGAATGCTGCGCGTTTCTAATTCCAGCTTAATGTCCCGCCAGTTCTCCCCGGACTTGGTAATACTCCGCCAGTTCTCTTCACCCTCAATCATGTCTTGCATTAGCTTATCAACGATGTCACCAGCACCGCCCTCTCTTACTGAAGCAGCATGAGGATGTGCCCTTCGCCATTCATGAACAGAACTCCATGTCCGCAACAATGCCTCCAGACCACCAAGTGTATCTGAAATCTGCATCCGAATACTTTCAACGGTCCTCAATGCATGAGGTGTCCCAGAGGGATCACTCTCTAATCTCGTGTGATCAGTCCAGTTAGAGAAGTCGCAGCATTCAACGGGACGCATACGATCATCCCAGATCCCCTTCCCTGGTTGCGGCCAGTAGGACGCCAGATCCTGAGAAGAGAACTTTCTTAATACGTGGCTAGCATGTGCGTGTCCGACCACAGCATAATTCCCCCAGTTCCAAAAAGCAACTGTTCCTCCAGGGCGAACAATTCGCGCCATTTCTTTCCATACCAGGTCAGGGTCAAACCAATGCGCTGCCTGGCAGGCTATTACCAGGTCAACGGTACCTGCCTGAACGAAGGGGAGAGATTCTGCCCAGAACTGGCGGTATTGGACATTCCTGCATCTCGTCTGTGCTCTGGCCTCCTTCAACATGCTCTCGGAGGGATCAACACCAATTATCATCCCGAAGTGGCTGGCTAGACCGCGGGATGCAGCACCATTACCACAGCCCAGGTCAATACACAAGTCTCGTGGAGCTTGATGATAGGCCATAATAGTGTCAAAAATATGTTTTGGGGGTGGTGGGCGACATGCCGCATATGCAGAGCAGTCGTAGTTGTCATCCCTGGGTTAGGCAAACTGTGAGTATATTGAACGTCTTAATATGAGTCTACTTACGAGAAGCTGGCCATTGGTCTGATGCAGGTAGTCTATGGATTTTCGCACCAGGGTTGAGGTTGAAATGCTGCTTCCATACAGTATCGGCCACTTCTTGAAATGTTCGAAAGATATGTTGTGTTCTGAGATTCGGGTTTCTCAGTCTATCGACATGCCACGGATGCGCGATCGTTTTCAGTGCAGTATTTCCTCACTCCCAACGTTGTCAACTGCCCTTCACAGAGTTGGAATATAGTTTAGCTAATGACATATTTGGCTCCGAAGTCCGGGTGTTTCTTGTCATATTACCACCCATAACTCATGTAGAGAGCGTCCTATGGAATCATCACCTCCGTCACCGATCATACCGTGGTGTTCCACCTACTCACCTTATATTCGAATACTACCGTAACGAATTCACAATTAGCTTTCAATTATAGCATTGAGCTTGGAAATACCGCGGTCATCCACTTTCAGGTGGAGGGTTTCATCCAATTCCGAGAAATGTTACATTCCAGCGTCGTCGCCAGGAACATTAATGGGAACATCCGTAGGGTTCATTCATGGTTTCGGCAGTCATTAACCACGTATTCGATATGAAACCATTGAAATAATACAAGTCGCTATTTCAAATTCCATATTTTGTACCGCTTAATAGTCTGCATCGCATCCAGCCCAGGGAGGCTGTTTCTGTTGCCAAGGCAGTTGCTGAGATTGAGCAAAATGCCAGCTTACCGGGGAGAATTTTCTCCAACGATGCAAACGACCGAGTGGAGAGACCGTATCACACGCAACTCGACTGAATACAAAGTTACAACGCACATCACCGAGACAGCAGACCGTGTAATCGATACATCGCTCTATCGGCGACAGGCTCTCTTTGAGACTACTAGGCGAGTTCTGGCAAGTGCAGTGAACGAGGGCCTGGCCAGCGCAACTATAGTGAGGTCTATACATCCAAACTTGGTGTTGTGTCTACGTGACCCAGCTGGAATTGGAGAGTCTTGGATCAAATGTGGTCTCCGAAATTCCGCATTTGTTGAGAACAACGATCGGAAGGTTACTGGATTTCTACGTGCGGATGATCTACTTCCTCCAGTGCTCACTCAAGCAGTCGAAGGGGAAGTATCAGAAGAATTAGACCCAGGTGCCATTTGCCGCATTGTCTGCCTTTGGCAACATGAACAATTTCCAAGTGCCGCCGTAGATACACTTGTGACGGAGGTCCGAAATTCTGCCGACAATCAAGGTGAGCCTCTAAGGCATATTTTGAAGGCCCAATGCTAATATGAGATAGAAAAATGGCTGGAGATAGCCAGTGCTCAGCCGAAGCTACATCTCAAGTCTCCTTTGTGTGATTGGGAGCAATCCGTCGTGCTTGGACATCCAACGCATCCGGTGAGCTTTCCCACTACCTTTATCGATCCTGATTGCCTTAGTGTTAACGCTAGGAAGCTACACCGGGCATGTCTTGCCCAGCCGCCTTTGAAGCCCATAACACCTGACGAAATTCCCGAGCTGCTGGAACCAGAGATATCATTTCTGTCTTTGCGACGATCAGAAATGAGAGCCTTCGGGCCATACACGAGTTTACTGAAACCTCTCCTGCAGCAATTAGGGATTCCTAGCCCAGAGTCACCAGAAAGAGTCGTAGTACCGTGTTTCACCCGTCAGCTTCCGAGCATCCTGCCGCTCTTTCCTGATGCACGCCACATTGGCGCTGTTAGGAGATGCTGTCGTGCGCAGATTTCAATGCGCACTATATCATTTCTCCCTGAAGTGGGGTCCCCTTTGCATCTTAAGCTTTCGCTAAATTGTCAGATCACATCGGGCCCGAGGACTATTACACCATGGACTGCTGCTCTGAGTCCAGCACTTAGCACGGCGCTGAGGGCCTTACTGCCACAAGACTTATGGATCTTTGAAGATGCCGCTTCTATCACAGGCGGCCAGGATGATTTTGACAAAGCACGCCATTTAACATGCATTATACGCAAAAGTCCGGAAATGCAAGCGGAAGAGCTTGGAGAGATCATTATCCCAGTTGCTGGATTATTTCAGAAGCCATATAAGGATAATCGAACATACATGGAGATCATGTTCGGTCTCGACGATCTCCAGAAAAAGCAAACATGGCTTAGAAAGTACTGTCCTCACCCGCCTCGAGCCTGGTTTAGCTCGCTTCTTTATCTAACAGAAATCTTTTTTAAATAGATATCTTGCGAAGTTATTCTCTTTGCTTCTGCCGCCCTTGGTCCGTCATGGAATCGGCCTCGAAGCGCATGCTCAGAACATTTGCGTCCGCATTAATACTACATCAAAAGAAGTTACTGGATTTGCTGTGCGAGACTTTGGAGGAGCAAGAATACATCGACCTACATTCTCCCGAAATTGTATTGAACTCGGTACAATTCCTCCTGGCGCTAGCACTTTTGTGGATGATATGCAAAAGGTGTGGCACAAGGTATACCATGCTCTAATCCAGATGCATGTTGGCCATCTTTTATATATGCTAGGCTTGGAATCCCATGGAGGGTGGCCCATTGTTCGAGAGGAGCTCGGAAGAGCCCTGGTCTCTTTGGGCGATCCAGATGCCAAGGCAGTGCATGACCATTTTATGAATAAGACCATGGCTTTCAAGTGTTTCATGGAAATGCGACTCAGAAATATCTATCGTGATGTAAGTCTATTTCGTGATACTTCAGAGGCATATGCGTCGAGTTTGGTTCCGGCTAATCGCGTATAGTACTATGAAAGAGAGCTGCCGAATGTTCTCCTTCGGGATGTGCAGTCAGAAGATGACCCTACTAGCAAAGCAGAAGTTTAAAACGCCTACTGAACCGGCAAGTGGCCTTTCGGACCTCCGCTTTGCCGCATTCAACCCGTATAAATGACTTTAGGAACATGGGACACAATATTGTGCATGCACATTGTTCTTCGCTCATAAATGAAAGTAGCTCACTGTTTTTATTTTACTACAAAGCCGAGCAGTGTAGCTTTATGCGCCCCATAGTAATTGAATTCCTAAGAGCAGGAGCTTAGCCTTTATCTACGTTATATAACAGCAAAGAGCGCGCTGGTCTCATGAAAAGCCAGTGCCCAACAGGAGATCGAATCAGATTTGTAGAGGACCTATCGAAGCACCCAACGCTTTATAATGCATTGTGTGTGTTTTAAAATATAGTACTGGCTGTGTATAGTTATGATTAATTTATTTCCGATCTTGGAAGCTAGCCATGCACCGTCACGAGGACCACCCCGCCGGGGTCCTGCGCCGCGAAACGCAGGAACATTCTGGGACAACCAGATCTCGCAGAATGAGTCCCGATGTCATAAAGACTTCCTCAAATGAAGCTTTTCCGCAAATTCCGAGCGAGCCTTCTGTGATGCGATTGGAAGTATGAGGTAGATCGCGAGGCAAACGTATAGAGCGATCGTGCTGTCGATCTCGGAACAGTGAACTGTGGATCTGAATGATGAGATAAACCTGAAGAAATAGGTTCATCCTGTGCTATAACATATTAACCTATATGTTACCGCAGGTAATAACTATACTGGTTTTTCTCCTTCATGTCTCAGCTTACGTCCATGTCCATGCGCATTGCTAGCAATCATACGAACGCGATAGCTGGATGTTCAGCTGCCAACATGTTAGGTTCCACGCGAGTCTGCCAGATTGCCGACAACTGAATAGCCTATATGAGCTTAATACTCCAACTGACTCCAATTCACGAAAGAGAAGCCCACGGAGACTCTCCGGAGCCGTCCTGTTTCACGTATCCGCTGCCAAGCATCCCCTCTCCATCGGCATCGCTGGCCGCTTCAGCATGTATCCGTGGTGTCCCATGGGGTCTTCTGGGCATTTCATCATACTTGCAGTAATTGCTGCCTGTCATCTAGCACCCCTATCTCATTATTTCTCACTGACTCAGGTCAAATTCAGGTAGCGTCGAAATAGACTTAATGAACTCTGATATAGCCTCACAGTGGAGCACCGGTTTGGCAGGCCGCCGGGCGGTGAAGAGCCGAGACCCTGGCATCGATCAAGATGAAACCCCAGTTCCATTAACCAGGGGAAATGCCCCATCAGGGTCTCACTCTCATCGAGAACAATGGCACCAGAAAGGCTTAGGTCACGCCCTTAATTCCCACAATAGCGCTCCTGTCGGAACCAGTAGTCCGTCTCACCAGCCCTATATATCCCAGCAAGTCCCCCGATATTTGCATCAGCAGCAACACATACATTGCAGACAGCTTACCAACTATCGCCCGTCATGCGTGGCTTTTTCGCTCTTTCTCTGCTCTCTGCGGCGCTGGGCGCCTCTGCTGCTCTCACTGAGTCTAGCCTCAAGACCCACGTCGACGTGCTGGCACTCGACAGCTCCTTCAACCCCATCGAGGCGGCCTACTGGACTGACTACGTTCACCATCGTCGCACTCCCTTCGCTGTCTCCCCGGATGGAAAGACTGCCTATCTCGCCTACCTGGATGCCAGCGGGTCTGACGTCCACGTTACCGAGCTGGACCCGACTACCTTTGAGGCTACGGGAACCACCGTCACTGTCAGCGGTGGACAGGAAGGTAGGCCACATACAACCCTATCTCAGCTGTAACTCCACTAACAACTTCAGCCGGTGGCCTCGTCGCCCACAACGACGGCTTTGCCCTGTTGACCAACGAGGCCATGCCCTCCGGCACCACCAACGCTCCTCCCAGCGACACCCCTGTCCCCGTCCTCCACCGCTACACCAACGGCAAGCAAACATGGAAGACCTGGCTCGGTGGTCCCGGCGTCCACTCCTCCGACGGTCTCTCTGCCTCCCCCGACCTGAACGGTGACCTGGTCTACTCCGAGTCTGCCGGCCTCTACGGCGCCTACTTCGTCGTGACCGACTACTCTGGAGACGCCTCCGGCCACTACGGCGACAGCATCGAATACGTTGCCGACAACGGCACCCTCGTGATTATCTCCGGCGCCTCCAGCTCATGGGGCTGCAGTCACAACACCGGTATCGCCTTCGAGGCCGCTGACGAGCCTCCCTACGCCAGTATCTGCGCCGAAGACCAGGGCGCCATCTGGCTAAACACCAAGACCCAGGGCATGACCAACGACGGTGTCAAAATCTCCAACGAGAACACCACCAACGGCGCCTCCGGTGAAGCCATGGGCGGTATGGGCGGCAGCTACAGCGGCCTCGCTCGTTTCGCTGATAGCACTCGCTATATCTTCACCTGGGTCTCGCGCGGCGCTGTCGACGTGACCGAGAACACCTGGATGGGCGACGGTTACACCCACGTCAGTAACCGTACCAACCCCCGCAATGTCGCCCTCGCCCTGTTCACCGACAAGTACACCAAGGTCGGCAAGCAGGCTACCTCCACCGTCGGTGCCGAGGACGGCGATAGCCAGGTCACCTGGGTGACCTCGGGGTCGAACGACTGCTCCAACGCCCACGTCGCCACCTTCGGTAACTCCTCGGCCCTCATCACTTGGGAGGAGATTTCCGATCCCCTCTGTGAATACATCGCCATGGGCTGCCGTGGACAGTTCGCCGGAACTTACTTCCAGCAGGTTGATTCCGATGGTAACAAGGTCGGCGATGCCTTCAAGAGCACCGATGTCTATGTGTCGGGAGATATGGTCACCATGTCGGATGGCCGTATCTGCTGGCCGTATGTCAACATGGACTGGGATCTTTCCGAGGTCGTCTGGTCTGCTGATAGCTCCAAGTACACTAAGAAGATGAGCTTCGCTTGCATTGGAGGTAGCGATAGCTCCAACTCTACTACCACTGCCTCTGCTACTGCCAAGGCTAGCACCTCTGCTTCTGTCGCTATCGTGAGCAGCGCTTCTGCGGCTGTGACACACGTTGCTGCTGGCGCGGCTAGTGCGTCGGTTGAGACTGTTTCGGAGACTCCTGTTGCCCCCAGCAGCGTCGCCGCTGTGGCTGCGGAAGCTACCTCGGCTGTTGTCTCTGCCCAGGTGCCCAGCTGGACTGTGGGTGGAGAGTCCCGTCCTTCTACCTTCCAGACTCAGGTGCAGGTGCCTACCCAGGCTGCTCAGGCTGGATCTAACTGGGGAATCAACAAGGGATTTGGCCAGGGATTCGGTCAGGAATCTGGCCAGGGTGAGGAGGAGCACGAGGGACACTGCCAGTTTTAAGTCATGGGCAGGTTGAGTGCGTGTGATGAGTGGTGACGGATGATCTTTCATAGTACTAGACATCATCAATAGTGTAATCACACAGCTCTTCCCTTGTTCATCATGGTCGTAAATTGTCAAACAGCGTATCATCATAGACAATGAAGAAATCAGATGGTGTTGACCTCAACAGCTAGACTACTGACCCCCAATGAAAGCGAATCGCTCCAACACCTGCTCCCTCACCTCCCTCACAATACTCTCCGCGTCCTTAACCTCATGAACCAACCCAATCGACGCCCCCGCATACGTCGCCAACCTACCCTCCGGTCCCCATGCCTGATCCCCCTGCTTCGCCGCCTCATCATGTAGCACCTTCAACTCCTCAAATCCCTTCCCAGCCAGATGCTCCACCCACGACCGATTAATAACCGTTCTGGGCATATACTCCTCGGGCCACCCAAACGTCCCGCGGAGGTGATTATACAACAACGTCTTCGTAGTCCCCACCGCTCCATCCTCCGCTCTCACAACCTCCTGCTGATACCCACGCGCGATCCTCGTCTCACTCGCAGCCAGGAACCTCGTCCCCATGACCACCCCAGACGCACCAAGACACAGCGCCGCCGCCGCGCCCCGCCCATCAGCTATCCCGCCTGCGGCAAACAGAGGGATCTGACTCCCCGCCATCGCATCAGCCACCTCCGGTAAGAGCGAAATCAAACCTATTGCATCTTTAGCTCTGCCGTGCCCACCTGCTTCCGCTCCCTGAACGACAACCACATCGGGCTTCTCTGCCGATTTCAAGATACTCCTCGCCTCGGACAACGTCCCGATCTGGATCCAGATCTGAGTTCCCGGTGACGCGGCACGAATCGCTCGGGACCAGGTATCTAGATCTGCTTGGCCGTTAGGTGGGGCGTAGAGCCATACCGCGCAGGGCTTGTATTTCTGGATGGTTTCGACGGCAGTGTCGAGGTCGTCGGCCCAGAGGAGGAAGCCCACGCCGATGGGCAGATGGGAGGATGGTGTTGTTTTGAGGGCAGATGACGATATTAAAGATGATGCTTGCTCTAGATCTGCGGCTACGTTTTGGATGGCATTGTTGACGAAGCCAAGGCCCCCGGCCCGCGATACTGCCACGGCTAGGGCGGGGCCGGACATGACGCGCATGGGAGCGCTCACGATTAGGGGGCTGGTGGTCCATGGGTAGAGGCGGGAGAGGGTGGGTGCGAGGTTTTGGAGTCGGGGCATTTTGTGTATGGTTGTGATTATGATTTTGGTTGTTTTTGGGGTATAGATGGATATAGATGCATTAAATGATTGATGAGGATGGAGAAGAAGATGATGAAAAAAGTAGTGGAGGGGATGAGATGACGTGAGATGGGATGGGATTATGGGGTTTAGAGGGTGGGGCTAATCCGGGTTCCGTTGATTGCCGAGCGCGTATTGCGGGTGTTGCGGAGGTACGGCGGTTAATAACAGCCATGGGGCAAATACATTTTTTTCTTTTTTCTTTTTTTTTTTTTTTTTTTTAGTCTTTACTACTGGCAGAATTAATATGAAGTTGATTTAATTAAATTTTATTTATTTAATATAGTTATTTAAAAAACCTGATGGCCGCTATCAACAGCTGTAGCGGAGGGAAGCAGTCCGCAGTGCAGATTACTCTACCGTCCTTATAGGACAATGATGGATATGGCCTATCTTTTGCTAAAATGTGGTAAATATTGGTCCATATGGATGGAATCCCATCCAATATACAGTTTCCCTAGCTCGCTAACAAACACTCAGTCAGAAAAACGCCCTTTCCACTCATAACCATGCTCCCCAGTTCATTCCACCAACAACACCAGTCTCAACCCAAATGATATCCCTCTACTCCCTCCCCTCTCCTCTGCTTTTATACTCCTCCTCACTAACAGCCTCATGCCACACCGTCTTCCCCAGTCCAACAACAAAATGCGTCATCACACTCTCCTCATCCGCACCATGCCAATGCGTCGTCCCCGCCGGTGCCCACACAACATCTCCCGTGTTCAAACGCCGAGGGACCCCTCCCTTATCGCAGATCCATCCATTGCCCGCAACCACTTTGATCATCTGTCCGTTCTCGTGGGTGTGCCAGTATGTGCGTGCGCAGGGAGTAAAAGTGACATTGGCGATGGAGGCGTCGCTGGCGAAGTGGATCGGGTCAAGGTAGACGTCTCCTGTGAAGGTGGCGGTGGGTTTGGCGCTTTTGGCGTCTGGCTTGTGGGCGGAGGGGATGATCATTGATTCAGGCATAGTTTTGTGTATGATTTCTTGAAGCTTTATGGGGGGTTTGTAGGTGTTAGGTGTTGTGTAACTAGCAGAGTTGGGATGTGATAGGCTTCAGGACGTAGGGTTGAAATGGATGTAGTGAAATGATATTATTGCTGGTGAAAAAAGACGAGCATATTTGTTGTCTTTTATTGAATTTTTATACTCGACTACCCTAATGTGTATATACTGAAGTCTGGGTGAACATGTCAGCTGGTTCCCGTGGGGCTGCAGGCTGACGGTAGATCCACATTTATCTCCGGGCCCTTCATAGGAGGGAGTGTCAGCAAGTCCGTTTTATCAATGAATCGTCGGCTGCCTTCCAGATCCCGCTCAGCCTGCATTATAGTGGGGAAATGGTGGTTCTCCGCAAATATCATTGCAAGTGGGTGCTCAGGTCATCCCTTTAGCATCTCCAGTTATCTCCGAGAGGATGGCTGTCATCCAGTCAGTGGCATGACGAGTTTAGCTATCGTGCTATTTCTTGCTTCTAATATGGCATCCGGTGTGTCAGGAGCACGTTTCTATGGAGATATCTCCGACTTTTACTGGCTTCCTGAAGCCTTATATCAGATGCACAGGCGATCTGCTCCAGGGGCTGGCAATCAACCAGACTTGTTCCCCCAAGCAGAAGTATCCGGAGACATTCGAAGCATGTCCGGCTGCAAAAATTGACTAAAGTCAAGTCCCTGCAAGGTTGGCACATCAGCCACCAGCCCCTCCAGCCAGGATACTTCGTCAGAGGTTGCCATTTGTTGAAGCGACGACTCTGTGGCTGGTGACTGCTGATATTCTTGGAGTACTGTACTCAGCAACCTAGTGTCCGCACGTCTACGCCGTTCATACAGAAGAATGAGTAAACATGCTGTGTTATACGCTTCCCTCATGGTTTCCGTATCGTAGGTAGAGGCCACCACCCTCAACGTTTGCATAGCTTCAGGCAGTAACTCGAGTGCCGGGCTGGTGTCCATCTCGAGGATGATACTGATCATTTGGAACGGCACATTAGGTACATGGTGCCATGGAGAGCAGTCGGCAACCATTTCACGTGCTGCACATAGACTGCGTTTGAGTAGGTCAAGGACTTTAGTCATTGTGGTTGGCGATGCGGTGAGGTTAGTTAACCGGAGACGTCGGAGTAGACAAAGAACCAGATTGCATTGGCATAGAAGAGAGGGTGGTTTGGTGTGAGTGCGGTTCAACGTCTGATGCAATAGCTCTTCTATTTCCTGGTCTGGACGTTGGGTCTCCGGTCCCAGGCTGGCGGTTACAGGTAGAAGACCGAGAAGCTCTGTCGTGAAATCACCAGGTCGCGATGATGGCAGTCCCAGCGCGTCACTGCCCAGTGGAACTCGGGAAAGGCCCAGATCGTAGGAGATCCAGAGATTCAGATGCTGAGCGACGCCAATGAGCCTTCGCCGGGTATCAAGATCACGATCGTCATCTGCCGTTAATTGATTGAGTCTGGAAGCTTCGATCAAATGCATCAAGGTCGAGCTTGCCACCCATGCCGGATATGGAGGGGCAGTCATGCGCAGATAAATCACGCGCAGGGTCCATACAGTCACCAGGTGCAGTGAGGGACGAACACTGCCGACATGAGTCTCGGAGATTGAGCGAGCCAATTCGACCAAGTGAGACTCGGTGATGTTGATGTTGGTCCCAGAGAAAAGGCATCCGAGAGCGGCAACCCCAGCCAGGACGCCATCATATGTACTTTCCACCGCGTTGGGCTGCCAGCGGTTGTCCATGCGGCGGAAGAATTCACTAGAATCGATAAAACCATAGCAGGGATCCACCTTGGAGAAATAGACATTCGCCAGAGTCCTCATCTGCATCAACGAGAGGATCTCGACAATGGGAAAGGCTGCGACGGGGGCGAGTCCGGCGGGGGACTTGCGCCTGCCCACATTCCAGCCAAAGAGATTCAATTTGGGTGCATTTGCTGGGTCAACTTTGAGGCCGATCTTTCTCACAAAGGCTGCTCCCGAATTGACCTCAAGGGTCTCAGTGAAGCGGCCCATCTGCCGGGGACTCGATTCGACAATGGGTTCATTCTGGTCGCGGATGTTGGTTCCCCGGTCGGCGGGTTTGCTTCTCACGCGTCGCGGAGCCTGATAGTGACACTCATAGCCCCAACTCGTGCACGTCGAGCAGGGGGATTCACCATTACATTTCCTTTTGCGCTCGCGACAAGGTTCACAGGCGAGTCGCGCCCGTTTGCGCTTCGAGGCAGTCGTATCGCTCATTATGGATAGGTATATCGATCGCAGACGAGGAATAATGATTTGGAAGGTGGGAAGCGAAGACGAGCCAAGGGCCATCGGTCGGGCGGCACTCGGTTTTCCGTCTGCTCCCGACCGGCAATGACACAATAAGCAACACCCAAACGTCAATGTTCTGATGGAAGAAGTATATTCTTTGAGGCAATTCTTATTATCGAGGCACAATATATACAGTAATCTAGCTTAACATGTATGTAAATAGTGGATAAGGTTAAACATCCGGGCCAAAGGTCTGTAGGATCGCAAAGACAGGACAGCTGCAGCAGATCCAACTCTCCCCATTCGCCCGCTAGAGAATCTTCGTTGATCCCTAAAGTGATTGTGCTTACCACCATATCCCCACTCTCGACCCAGGTAATGCTTCAGGCCTTATTTCTCGGTGGTAGCCATCCAGCGCACTCGCCTGGAGTCACTAACGGCATGCCCAGCTTGAACTCGGCCACGAAACTATCAACTCTAGGGCTTGTCATGCCCAATGTCAAGTGTCACAGTGGTGATAAGTATATAACCCTGTTTCTCTTACCCCGCAAACCCTCAGAGTCCGCTGCAGCACTCACCGGCTGGTCTTCTTGCCTTCCCCTCTCAACCTGGGTCCATATGCTCGAAATAGGAACGGAATAGGGATCATAACTGCCGACAGACATCCCAGCAGTGTTCCCGCCCACTGCACCCCGAGGTTCGCGAACATCTGCTTCGAAAAAAGTGGGAACCCTGCCGCAACGCTGGATCGAAGAATGATGTTTGCAGCCACAGTCGAAGCAGCCCTACACAGAGTCAGTATCACGTCCACTGTCGCCATGTTTCAGGCCACACCTACACGGGAAGAAATGAATCAACTAAATAGTTGAAGCATGGTAGAAATATGGAGAGAATTCCAAACCCGATAAGCACTCCTGCTGCAGTTGGAGCCATCCAGTGAACGCTGGCAGTAAAGCCAGTCCAACTGAACCTGTGGCACTATTCAGTACCGAATCAAGTGGATAAAGTGACCTGACTCACCAGAAGATACCAATCGTGAACACTGGAGCACCAACTACAACAGAGTTCAAGCGCCATTCTGGGATGGGAACGTTGTTGTTGGCAGCTAACTTCTTCACGTAGGCAGAGTGCTGTGAGAGAACGAATCCGCAGGCAGCCATCTGCCCAATAATGAGGCCAATAAATGGAAGACCATTAACCCCAGGGCCCATGCCATGGACGGACTCAAAAACATAAGGGTAAGCTTCAAGCAGGGCATACACAATGCCGTAAATGAAGGACATATAAAGGGAAATAACCAAAACAATAGGCTCAGTTACGAGCATCCGCAGTGGACGGGTAAAGTACTTCTGAATTAGCTGCTGTATGTCCACCTCGACTTCCTCCTGCTTTGCATGAATGCCCCAATTACCAGTTTGCTGCCGAAGGTTGGCCGCTTTCGACACAAGAAGGCAAGACGCGTAAGTCTCCTTCAGAAATAATATGCAGATACCACCCCAAGCAAAGCCCACTATAGCCGGAATGTACAGGGTCCAACGCCATCCGAGCGAACTCGAAGCAATGAAGCCTCCAATGAAAGGGGCACTCAACGGACCCAAGAAAACGAGGATTGCATACAGCGAAATGGCAGCTCCGCGGTGCGAATTGTTCCAAATGTCCGACAGCACAGCGGGAACCACCGCGAGTGGACTGGCCCCGAACATTCCCGCAAAGAAGCGACATATTATCAGCGTTTGGATGTCTTTCGCGACGGCAGATGCAATGGTGAATACAGCACCCCCGAATATGCCTAGTGTCAATGGCCATCGTCTTCCAAACAGCTCCGAAGCGGGGGCCCAGATGACAGGACCAGCTGCGAAACCTAACACGAAGAGCGATGTACCCAGTATCCCAACTTCGGATCCTACATTGAAAGACTTGGCTGCAGCAGCAGAGCCAGGTGCAAAGACTCCACTGGCGAAAGATGGGATAAATGTGCCAAAGCATGCGATCGTCGATATGAGTATTCTAAGAGAGAAGGCGTAAGTGTGAGTCCGGAAACTGGAGGAATGGCGTACTTGGTAAAGAGAGGCCAATTCAAGGGGTGCTGAGGATCGTCCGGGCCATCGAAATCGACGACATAGTCTTCCCTATTCGGCAGGGGAGGAGGAAAGTCTTTGCCCTGTCCCATGGACAGAAGTTGTCCAGGGTATTTTTCCACATCAGCCTAGTAGGTATCAACCGTCAGTTACAATTGATACAAAAAGGCATCAAGCAGTTTGTGGTAAGCTTCACCTTCAATGCTTGGGAAAATTGGCTGCTGGTTTCACTATCTTGTGGGTTACTCATAGTGATAATGGCCACCGAAGAGACTGACCCGGTGACATGGAATGGCCTTCACAGCGATTAGAATTAGCTCAGTTGTTTTAATTCAAAGAAAATTCTTCATTTCTATATTAGTTGTGACTGTTTCTTAAACAGACACTCCATAGGACTACAGTCTCTTCCGCCAATGGGAAGTAATCCGCGGAGTTAGCGGGTATTGCGGGAAGATAGTGACCCAGCAGTAACCGTCCACAACTGACTCTCGCGAAATAATTCACTAAGTTGAACATTCATTGCTACTGTCATCGGGGATAATGGTGGCATATTGTCTCACAATGTTGGCATAGAGCCACCAGATCCTCACTACACCCAACCACATTGGTACTTCAAGGCGGGTTCGGCACTGCTACATGGTGGGTGCTTTCCGTGTTGCTCACCAGTTGTTAACTTACAAAATCCACAGCGAAAGCCTCATATACCTCAGGCAATATGATATATACATTTGTGTCTATGTTTACAGCGTGATCTGCCTTGTCGAATCTGATGCCCAGCAAGCATCCCCGGACTGACCCGCCGAAGTGACCCGTCGGCTAGACCCGAGGTTCTCAGCAACCAATCTAATCCACGCAGCAGCCCTCCGAAAGACGTCAGATCTTCATCCTGCAGCTTTGTTCAGATGACTCACTTTCGCTCCGTTGAGATGAAATAGACCACCGATTCGATATCAGTGAAACTTTGAGGTCCAAGTTAGTGTGTCTCTCTTCAGGAACTCACAAGTTCCGTACATTACCATCTCCAATGCCTGCCTCAATAACCGCCCGCAGCACTGTGTCCGAAGATGTGATCAGCCTAGCCAGCACCATGCCTCGCTTGACAGCCATGTCCATAGTCTCGAGTCCAGCTGAGAACCATGCAGCACGGAATTCGACTTGGTAAGCTTCCAATGCCCCCTGAAGTACTCTCGAAACCTAGATGTTTACTAGCATTTTTCAGGAAATCCACCGTCATCGTGGCCGCCTCCTTTGTCATCATCTTCACCTGCTGTGGTCTCAATTTCGCATGGGGTGTTTATCAAGCCCTGTATGAGAGCCTGGCACGGAGGCCCGGAACACCTTTTACCGGAGCATCGCCGGCAGAGATCGACCTGATTGGTACCATCTCGGTGTCCCTGATGACCATCGGAGGGCCTTTTGCGGTCGCTTGGGCAAAGCGCTTCTCGCCTCGTGTGGTCTCCTTTGCGGGCGGCTTTGTCTTCGGGCTTTCTCTCATTCTGGCCAGCTTCGGCACGAAGTTGTGGCATTTCGAGCTGACGCAAGGGCTGCTGAACGGCATTGGTACCTGCCTGTGCTACATGATACCAGTCACCATTGCCCCCACGTGGTTTACCCATCACCGAGGCCTAGCTATGGGCATCATCTTATCAGGCACTGGTGTGGGTGGTCTGGTGTGGGCGCCCGCGTTGACTGCGTGCGTTAACGCCCTCGGATTTCGCAACACTCTGCGCTTGACTGGTGGTCTGTCGTTCGCGCTGGTCGCGGTCGCTAGCGGTGCAATGGCCTGGGAGCCAGCCAGCCAGCGTCGTATCGCAATCGAAAATGCCTCGAGAACCAGTCGTGTGGATGGTATTCTCAATGTGCCACTGGTGGACTGGCGTGTTGCCCGGACGCGTCGCTTCATGGCACAGGCACTAGGCGCGATATTCCAGGCGGCTGCATATTACACCCCGGTCTTCTTCTATGCCTCATACGCCCAATCCCTTGGATACAGTACCACAGCCAGCTCCAACTTTATTGCCCTTAGTAATGCTTGTAACGCAGTGGGCAAGATCATCATCGGCCATGTCGCGGATCGCCTTGGTCGGTTAAATGCTCTTCTGCTCACCACTTGTCTCAGTGCCATCGCTACCGTTGCCTTCTGGTTACCATCCACTTTGACCGGTCAGACGACGCAGTCGCAGGGTCTATTTATCACGTTCACCATTCTCTATGGCACCTTCGCCAGTGCGTATGTATCACTCTTCCCGACCAGTCTTGTCGAGCTGTTCGGGGTACAGAATTTTGCCTCCGTCAACGGTGTTTTGTACATGGTTCGTGGCATGGCCACCATGGTCGGTACCCCGGTTGGTGGTGTCTTGGTCAGAAGTGCGGCCAATGCCCTCACCCCGAAGGCGTACGAGAACATGTCGGTACTGGTCAGTGGCCTGCTGTTTGCTGCCACAGCTGCAATAGTCTGGGTGCGCTTGGAGGCAATGATTGGGCCCGATGGACATCTGCTCTGGAAATGGCGACAGTAGCAGCTGTAGTCTGTGCGTATCTTTTGGGTTCCTAGAAACCATAAGGCCACCCCGGAGTTGCGACAGCGCTCGGGGGTAATCCAAACTGTATGTATTGGAACCCATGATGTATTATCTTAACCACCATCTCCACTCCAATGAACTTGATGTTTTCTGAAAATTCGTTCCATTTGTGGATGGCCTCGTCGTGGTTATTCAGTATGACTTGGGCGCACGGTATCTATGGCCGCTTATTGAAGGGAGGCACTATTGCCACACCGGCCAGGCTGCCTTCACACCAGCTTTCGCTCATGCCACATCATCCGCCTACCTCCGCAGGCAAAGTGTGTTCCCTAAAGAGTAAGGCTCGCCTGTTAGTACAGGCAGAACCCTCCCGATGATCTTGATATAGAGATGTTGAACTGCTGCCTCGGGCGCAGATAACTTAAAGTGGCAGGCGAGAAGGATTCTACTTGCACTAGAATAAGGCTGTTACCTCATTAAGAGCGTGCTTTACGTTCTAAGGTAGGCGGCAGGTTGTAGCATGAGTAAAGGCTGGTGTGGAGGCAGCTTGGCCGGTGTGGCAGTAGGGCCTCCCTTATTTGATAGCCAATGTAGCATCGCTTGAACTTCAGCACTAAGTACCGAGATAGGCTTCCACGTGGGTAGAACAATTGCTGCAGGAACTGTTATTCTGGAAGGTCCAAACGACTCCAACTACTCCACCTTGGCAGGAATGCCCGATATCGCTCGGCAAGTTCGGCTTATCACCCGATGACCTGATAACGATAAGATTTGGAGATGCAATTGATTCGAGTTGATGCAACATCGAATTACTGGAAAGATCAATAATCACAAGTCAAGCCAATAATCGGAGCTTGCCGCCTGTTTCCGATGACACCGATTAGCTCCAACAGTCTGGGCAGGGACGGTATATATGCAGCCGATGGGCAGCCCTCAGCCCCTGTTCGTCACAAACCTTTGAGCAGACTCGTCTTCTGATCATGGTACGCTCTTTACAACTCGGAGTGGCGGCCCTTGGGCTGCTTGGTGCAGTGTCCGCTCAATTAGTGTCAACTGGCTTGTCCGTCACGCTCGACCATATCGATTACTTTGTCTCTCCTTACTCAGCGGGGAATGTGACGGTGTCGGCGGCCTTCCTGAAGGACGTCCCCAGTGTCAATGGCTTCTACCCTGTGACTGTTGTCCAAGAGGAGACAGCTGAGGTATCATCGTTGCCCTCTCTTTTCTCTACATGGACGGATGTGGATGATGTGTTTACACCCGCTTTCCTGGGTGCAGTCTTAATCCGTGGCTACAAACCCGACAATGTCACTACAACCTTCAATACTTCCCGCTCCAGTGTCCTCGTGCCTTTGGAGTCCAGGGTTGTCCCATCAGGCCCGTACTTCCTCGAACAGGCTACTGGGAAGCTTTATCCAGTCTACCGTTTATATAGCGACTTTGCAGGAGCCTTTACGCAACCACTGCTCCAGAAGCCAGACGGTACATTCCAGCCTTTGTCGGCCCAAGTGGCCGGTCTGGTCTCATCCACAGTGGGTGTACCCTCTCGCATCTACTATACTCCCAGCTCTGAGAAACCGTTGGCCGGGGCCCGCGTCGGCGTAAAGGATATTTACAGCCTCGCTGGCGTGCGCCAGAGCAACGGCAATCGGGCATGGTACAACTTGTACGGAGAGAACAACGTCACTGGCACCGCTGTTTCGCGTCTGATCGACGCAGGCGCCATTATTGTCGGACTACAGAAGCCCTCGCAGTTTGCAAATGGCGAAACGGCTACAGCTGACTGGGTCGACCTTCACTCACCCTTCAACCCACGTGGAGATGGATACCAGGATCCTTCTTCCTCCTCGTCAGGCGCTGGTGCTTCCATCGGCTCTTACGAATGGTTAGATCTGGCTCTTGGTAGTGATACCGGTGGTTCTATCCGCAATCCAGCCGAGGTCCAGGGAGTCTACGGTTCCCGCCCATCTCATGGTCTCGTCGAACTCGACCATGTCATGTCCATGTCTCCGGTGCTCGATACTGCGGGAGTCCTGACAAGGGACCCTTACCTCTGGGACCGAGCCAACCAAGCCCTCTACAGCACTAACTACACCTCGTTTAATGGCAAATCAGTCCGCTATCCCAGCAAGCTGTACACTATCGATTTCCCGACGACCAATGACTCTGCGGCAGACGCATTGCTGGCTGGATTCCAAAAGCGCCTGGCCGCATTCTTGAATACGACAGCCACCCCGCTGGACCTACCTGCCGACTGGTCGTCACAGCCGCCGTCCGGCGCACCCGCCAATGTCTCGCTTGAGACATTGCTTAATCTGACCTACCCAATGCTCATCACCAAGCAGCAGATCCCTCTGGTTAGGGATCCTTTCTATGCCGACTATGCAGGTACGTATGGCCCAAGCCTCTCACTCACAACATTGACTAATACACAAACAGCAAAGCACGACGGCCGAGTCCCCTTCGTCGACCCCGTCCCTCTTTCCCGGTGGAACTGGTCTATGGCATATCCTGACTCCGCACTGGATGAAGCCATCCACAACAAGACGCTCTTCATGGACTGGATCGCTGAGAACTATCTCACTCCGATCTCCGACCCCGAGCAGTGCTCTTCGTCGCTTATTGTCTATGTGGGCACCGATGGCTCCCAGACAGCGCGTAATGTCTACCGCTCGCTGCCTGGCGCACCATCAGGCTATAGCAAGTTCCTCATCTCCAATATGGCCAGTGTGCCGGACTTTGTCATTCCCGTTGGAGAGATTGCGGCCTACAGCACCATTACACAGCACCAGGAGAAATTTCCCGTCGCCATTGACGTTCTGGCTGCGAAGGGGTGTGATGGGCTACTTGTTAGGCTGGCTCAGGATTTGTTGGAGGCTGGAATTATTAGTGCCCCGTTATCCGGGGGGACGTTGACTGGTGGACCGGTCTTGTTTTGACGCTTAGTGCTTATCTTCGAAGGGATAACGACGAGGACGGCTACAAAGCTTATGCCACAGACGATATGATGTTTGATGATATTTGTCAGGTTATAGATGAGAATTTGGATATTGTATATAGTGTCAAAAACATAGACAAAACTACTGCATATCGATTTATCCTCAGAACAGGTGAATTGATTATGCTCTTCATGCTGCTCCAACGGCAAACGACTGCATCGGGCCGATGCGGGTCCAGGATCATCCTTATCAACTCCAGTCAGCACTAGCAATTGACATGTCTCTCCAGATCGGCTAGAACCGCCTTTTGGCAAAACACGCGTGCTATCGTGATTGTAGCGCAATTGCTGCCTAGCTGTTGCTAAAATCTGAACCCCAGAATCTCCCTCTCCTGCTTTCTCTTTTTCTCTCTTCGAAACGATACTCCACACCCCACGCCCAGATGCGTTTTCTCAGCAGTGCAGCCCTATTCGGCCTGGCATATGCCTCCACCCAGGCCGTACTCCAGCCAGAGGAGCCGTCCGACTTCCGCACATTCCACAGCCCATATTCCCCGCACCACTCAATCCGCATCCGCCAGCAGAATGAATCGCTCTGCGCTGCCCATTCCGCCCAATACACCGGCTGGCTCGACATTGGCCATAAGCATCTCTTCTTCTGGTACTTCGAAAGCCAAAATGACCCTGCTAATGATCCCCTCACTCTGTGGATGACCGGAGGACCAGGCGGTTCCAGCATGATCGGTCTTTTCGAAGAGGTTGGACCATGTTTGATCAATGAGTATGGCAATGGCACTTATTACAACCCTTGGGGATGGTCCCGAAACTCGTCTCTACTATTTGTTGATCAGCCAGTCGATGTGGGGTTTTCGTACGTTGATGAAGGCGAAGAACTGCCAGGTGACTCGCATCAAGCTGCAATTGACATGCATCGGTTCTTGCAGTTGTTTGTTTCCGAGGTGTTTCCGCATTTGCAGTCCCTTCCCTTTCATCTTTCGGGGGAGTCGTATGCCGTGAGTGTCTTCTCCAGGTTATCTTAGCAAAGACTAATAGTATATATAGGGTCACTATGTCCCTTACCTCGGCAGCCAAATCGTTCAACAGAATAAGCTCTATCCCAATGAGCCCCAGGTCCTTTTGCACTCATGTCTCGTAGGCAACGGCTACTACTCGCCTCGCGACACTGCCTACGGCTACTGGGAAACACTCTGCACCACTAACCCTGGCGTACCCGAACCGGTCTTCAACAAGACCAGATGCGACATCATGGCTGCCAACATGCCGCGATGCATGGAGGTCTTCGACATATGCAACCGGAACCCTGATCCAGCCATTTGCCATGCTGCGTCGGAAGTATGCTACGAGGGCATAATCGGATGGTATGATGACGAGTCTGGGGAGGGTGGTCGGAATCGATTTGACAGTGAGCATTCACCCATCCCAGTCATATCCTATCAGCGGAGCTATGGTATTTTACTTATACGCAACAGTAACTGCACCCTGCGCCATTGACGGCGTCTGCTACATCGAAGCGGCTCGTATCGAGCGATACCTGAACACGCCCGCAGTTTGGGCTGCTTTATCACCACCTAAGGAAATCAAAGAATACAAGGTCACCTCCGAAAATGTGCCGCGCGCATTCGATCGCACTTCGGACGAGATGACGCCTGCGTCGGAGCAAATTGCTTATCTGCTTGCGAATCAGGTACATTTCCTCGCGTATCAGGGAAATCTCGATTTGGCGTGTAATACGGCGGGTAATCTGCGCTGGGCGCATTCTCTGCCGTGGAGGGGTCAGGTCGAATTTACCTCCAAGCCACTGCAGTCATGGAGTTGGGTGGATGTGATATCCGGAAAGAGCGGAGTGGCTGGAACGACGAAGGAGGTGAGGGTGAAGGTTAGTGAGAGTACGGATAAGGAGTCGAGGTTTGCGCTGGTTACAGTTGATGGGGCAGGACATTTTGTGAGTACTCTCTTCGCTTTGTGGGATGCAGGTATGCGGCTTGCTAATGATGGTATTTTAATAAATACAGCTTCCCCAAGACAGACCCGATGTGGCGTTGGATATGATGGTGCGGTGGATCTATGGCGCATCGTTCACTGAGTGATGCAACATTCGGCTTTGAGGCCTAGAATATAGCAAAGCGCCAGATTTCTTTCCTGTCCACCGGAGTACTACGTAAATAAAACAAACCGCACAAGCTTAAAGTCGCTCCCTAACCAGCTCCCTCCGCGTAATTTAAAACCACAATCTATACGCTAGTCTCAGACTATTATAGCCATAGCAGAACCCGAACATATTTGTCATATCACTCTAATGATTTCTATGATGTAAGCAAGTCCCTACGATTACTAACTACCTGAGAAGTACCAAAATTAACACCCATTTTCGGCCCCTCCTGACTCAACATTTCTTTTTCTTCATTGTCCAGTCAGAGCTTGCCACGCACCCTGCCTCATTATGGATTCTGCAAGTGCTGACCCAGCCCGGTGGCAGTGTTTTCTGCAGGGCAAGATCATCTCATTGGTTGCGTATAATCGATGAGTCCACGAGTCCGTTGATCTCCCACTACTTGAATTAGAGACTGATGTCACATATGACCAGTCGAATACCTGGTTTCAGTGGTAGTCGGCATATGATATGTTCTCTCGCAGCTGTAATATCACAAGCTCAATTGCCGAATGGCTGATTCCACAATATATCCAAAACAGAAAGCGTAGGAAAGATATTCGAGTGACTTTGATCACTGGGGCTGAAGACAATGGCTGTCCTTGCTTACGATATAAGCAACGCACACATAATAACTAGTCTTCGATTTCGGAATAGCCTTTGCCATCAAGTTAAAATAGTGAGTCTTGGGCATGTAACTGAGCCAATTATGTCGAGTTAATTAGGAATAGGGACGCGCATCTCGTATTACAAAGCGTAGGTGAATTAGCCGCTGAAGAAAGACAGAGAGGCCTAGCCGGGATTTGCAGCATGCGTCCCCGTTAGCATCGATCGTGGCCGCGATCACCATAGTAATATTCCGCTAAGATCATGCATCACCTGCCCAGGTCATCGATGGGGAATACTCTCCACCTGAGCATCGGTCATAACCGATCGCTAACCTTCATAAGTTACTGGACAAACTAGATTTTGAACGGCATAATAGATACGGCATGAGCCTGTCGTATAAGCTGTAATATCTACAAAATAGCTCGGGCAAAGTGTGTTGATATATAGGCAACCCCAACTAAATTGTGAGACCGGTAGGGTAAGGCTGAGCTAGCACTGCGAGATCCCTACTCATGCTACCCTTACCGATCGCTGATGCAGGTGACGCTTGTGGCGATTCGTCAGGGGCTGCTGTGTAACATGAAAACAAAGCAACCCAGATATATTACTGTAACCTACTACATATGACCTGGAGGCCGTACCTGGGTTAGATAAACTGTTTAACCCCTCCGACGCGATCTTACTATGTCTTTGTTTCTCATTAAACATAGCCCTCATTCACGATGTTAAATTACTTCAAGATAGCCGCGAACATTGTGTTCCGGTTTCTCAAAGCAATCTTCGATCTTGTCTTGTTCATTGTCTACATTGTTCAACTCTCCATTCGTGACTTGATATCAACTGTGCGTTATAAATGGCCATCCTCATTACTAGACATCTGAACTTATTTGCAGATAAATAGGTCACGAATCCTTTCCTTCCCAATCGTCCAGTCGGGAATGTTATACCCTGTGGATACCCAGGCCATGGAGGGGTTTGGCCAGAGTACACGGCCCCTAAGCGGGGAGAAGATTCCCGCTCGCCTTGTCCAGGGTAATCGTTAATCCCCCATATCTTTCACATATACTCGCTGACCCTTATTTTTGCATAGACTTAACGCTTTAGCTAATCACGGTATGTCAGCCTTCTTTACTGATTTAAACAGTCTTTACTGAGTAACATAACAAAGGGATCCTGCCGAACAATGGAAAACGTATTACCTACGCACAATTATCGCATGCGATCCAACATGCATACAACCTTGCACCAACTCTAGCAAGTCAGCTTACCTCTGCAGCTAAGCAGCTGGATCAAGGTCGAGGCTGGATTGATCTCCCCGATCTCAACGTCTTGAACGTACGTATACATGGGAATCTCGCTTTTCCTGCCTTGCTTTTCTCTCACTGTCAAATATATCTCTTTTCGGCGAGCTTCTTCTAACGCAAGAACTAATATATTGGATTTCAGGTTGTCCAACATGACGCCTCATTTACTCGTCCCGATATCGCATTTTGCCCGGACCAAAGCATCCCGCACACCGACCTGATTAATAGATTACTCGACCACGCGTCAGATGGGAAACACCTGTCACTGACAGACTTTTCCTACTACTCTGGTCTTCGCCGTGCGGAGTGCAGGCGGAGTAATGGCCAGTATACACTATCGGGGAGTTTTATCCACAAGATGATCGGTAATAAGTCTGCTCTCCATTGTACATACGGCTATACTAATTTAATCTTGCAGGATCTGGAACCAGTGCCCTCATGTATTCAATCTTCGGTGGGGATATTGAAGCACTACGGGCGTGGCTTGTGGACGAGCGTTTCCCAGATGGTTGGGAGCCGAAGAATAGGGAGGCTCTCGGTCATACAATTGCCGTAGGTTCATTCTTGCTTTACTGTTCTTTTTTCGCCCGGTAATTCTGACATGGCTTATAGCAAGCATTGACTACTTCTCTTGCCGTTGAATTCAGTATCGATGAGAAGCAAGCGTTGCGGGAAGGAGATGCCTTTTACCTCGAGTGAAACATGTGTACAGCTGGCTAACAGATTACTTCCTCTCTTGTCTGCTTATTATTTTCTTCTTTTTTGTTCCTGAGTATCGATCAGGGAAGAATGTATAACCATTTGCAAATGAGCGAGTTCTCAATATATCAAACTATACACTTAAGTGATTGTGGTGTTGGATGACACTTAGAATAGGACTAGTATGCCGCCCACCAAATAGGGTGGTAGTTCAACTCCAACGCAGTTGCCAATACATCCTTTAGATAAACAGCACCATGCACTGATGTGCATACTACAGGCAAATTCGAAGTACTTGACTATACCCTACATGGACAATATTCCTCACGACAGCTTCGCACTAGGCCCGCCCTTACCACGACGAGCATTTACCGGCTTCAAAACTTTATACCAGTTATCCTCAACCACCAGATGACTTTTCCCCTTCTGCGCCTCCTCCCACTCTCGCTCCACGCGACGGAATCGCTCCATTTCCTCGCGCAACCAAGCCGCACACGGTTCCACCACAGCCTTGACCTCCTGAAACGGCATCAGATGGCCTAAGCCAGGTAATGTAACCTCTTTGACCCTCCCCTCAGGCAACCCCCCACTCCCACCTACCCCAGTTCCACACCGCTTGATCGCAAGGCGCATCTCATCGAGATTTAAATAGGTCGATCCGCCAACGACCCAGAGGCAGGAGGGGCGAAGAGTGGGGAGACGGAAGAAGGTACTGCGAGGTTCGGGACGGTAGAGGGGGATGAAGGCAGCCACGGGATCTAAATCGGCATGGGAGTCGCGAGAGATCTCAATCACCCCAGTGGTCGGGTTGCGGGCGCTGAAATTCTGTCGAATTTGGCCAAGGAGGTCATGATGCTTGGTGGTGGTTAGAGTGACAGGAGTAGTATTGTTGTTGTCAGTGGTGGATGTGCCAAACTTCGCCTTCACCGCCTCCACGTCCGGGTACAGCCGCGTCGGTAAATCCCGGAAGCCGTACTCCGCCATCCGTTCCACACATCGGGGATCCCATCCGTGCATAAACTTGCGGTTGGCTTGCACGGCTGCCTCGCGGCTGGGCCATACGTCTGAGCGGCGGAGAGTGTAGTTCGCTGCCCCCGGAGGGTCGCTGCCGAACCCCATAGCTGGTGGGCTCAGCTGAATGACAGGGTCCACGAGGAGGATGGTTGTGAATAAGCGCGGGTGGAGAAAGGCCAGGTTCGTGCTGAAAGGGATGGTCAGTGCTCGCTGCTGCTGGTATATCTGGCGGTCGAAGAGTCTATTCTGGCACGTACATGATGTTGCCGCCCATGCTGTGGCCGATTCCTACGAGTGGACGGGGCATCTGCTCGCGGAAGTGGTTGATCATCAGGAACAGGTCCCGCGCATGATCCATCCAGGAGCCTGCGTGTGGAGAAGAGATGATTTGTCTTAGAATTGGCATCATTTGGAGACAAGATAGCTGCTTTTGAGGGGTGGGTTACATACAGTCCATGCTGAGTTTATCCTCATTCAAGACCCCACTGGTGTTCATACTGGCGCAGTCGGCCACCCAGATGTTGCGAATATGGAAACCGGTGGCTTGGTTAAGCAGCTCATCCCAGAGTGGCTCATACAATTCCTGAATTTTCCAATTCGTATAATTAGACCTGTGTGCACCTGACAAATAGGTGCCAGTAAGACCGTGTTACCTTGGGAAGTGCAGCTCCGTGAGCAGCGATGATAGTGATGGCATCGGCGGGAACGGGTTCGGGCTGGTTCTTGGGAGTATACTGCTTGACATGGAGTTTCAGTATGTCTTCCTGGTGAACAGTACTCCCGGGATATTCTCGGATATGGCAGCCGGGAACGGCATGCTCCGTGACGTTGAACTTTTCGCTCGACATTATTAGGTGTGGCTTGTGGGGAAGGGGAGAAATGGAGTTTGCTAGGTCTGAGAGCAGCAAACTACATACGACTGACCTATATACCCTGTCAGGAACAAACGACCAGCTGTCAGCACTTGTCCTGAAAGGGCAATCCCCGTGGGGCTGAATGCAGGCATTCCCCAGTTAGCCTATGAGCTAACTGGATAGATTGTACGCTACTTCTGTCGGATATAATGATCTGGACACGGGTAAGCCTACCGACTACTGCCTTTCGTCCTGGAGCCCACGCCCAGTGCTTGGAGACATACCTATGCATCATGCCCTTCGCTGAATTGTACACCCACAATTTGTGCCCGACTGGATATCCAGCTGAACCTGGAATGGTTGATGCAGCTGATCTAAGTCGTGCATATACGCGATATGGATGGTAAGACTCGATGAAAGGAGCTATCGATGGTAAAATGGCTGCGTTGACTTTGACTAGTGCTCGAGACAGAGACAAGAAATTAAATACTGGAGAAAAAGGTAGCATACGATCTAAGAACCGGGCGTATTACATGTGCAGCGATTTACGATACGAAAATTGTGCGAATAAGATATTCTTGTTCAAGTTTGTTTGAAAGGTTACATACTAGACCACCATTGAATGTAGCTATGAAGTTCCCTTCCGAGTGTCAAGCTACCCACCCGCCTTATAAGGCCCGCCCCCTCCCTGAACTGCTAATGCTAGTCCATGAGCTCAAAATTCTGATCTGGCATTCTGGTAAAGCAATCATCCACAGATGAAGACACCAATTAGAAGTAAATGAGCCGGAAATAACCGAAGGGAATACTGAAGACCTCGTGATGAATGTTGACAGTTTCAACTCCAAGCCGCGAATCAAGAGCTGTTGGAGTCATCTTCACATCCTCCCTCCCTTGGGTAAACAAGTGAGATAACATTAAAACGGGGATGAAAAAAATTAAAAGTAAAAACATAAGAGAAATAAAAAATAAAAAGACTCAACAGACCACTGCCACAGGACTGGTTTAAAAGGCAGCATGTCCCAGTGGCTGAGCAAACGCTAATCTACATCCTCAACATAGACAACCGCTTTATGAAGGATACCCTTATAAAAGGGATCCTTAAGATCTCCGCAACAATACATGGCGGGAAACTCCAAGAAGAGAATTTGGCGGTCATCAAAACAATGTTCCTTCTCAGCCCCTCCATAATCCTCGGCCAATTCTATCTCCGCCGAAGGATGATGAAAGGCATGGCCCAAAGTATTGAGAGTCTTAAACTCCAGACGCTCAAGGTTGCATGAAATTTTCACCGAAAGTTCAGCGGCTGACCTGAAGACCTTCTGCATGTCAAGGAAGGCTCTATCCAGATCACATTTGACCGTACTTCTGAGGAGCGATTTCACTAGCTCTTGGCCCAAGACTTCCTCGCATATTTTGTCAGCCACGGAGTCTCGATGAGCGATCATGTCATATCCGAGCTTATGATCTGGGTGGGAGAAACGAGTAGTCCATAAGCGCCAAAGCTGGGCGGCCGCTGGTTCAGCTACCGGGAAGTTCAGCTATCGTGGCAGAGCAAAGGATGTCAAATGGGGAACCTGAATTCTTACATTCACGCATTTTCTCAAAAAGCTCCAATATCTGTGCTCCAAAATCGGATGCGTTTGCTGCCAAATTCCCTTTATCATCCCCATCATTCACAGGCCTAGGGTTCGGAACAAGGTACCAGAAGGGATTCGTGAAGAACCTGGAAATGCATTCTTTGACAAGCAAAAGATGAACTAAGTGTGTTAGACAATCATTTTGCGATTCTCGGGGAAGTCTAGATACAATAGTATCGAAGTCATTCTGAATGCAGTAGCCATAAAGGCTAGAGATGAGGTCTCTTTTCTGCTCCACAGAAAGTTTGGTATGCTTGCGTTCGGCATGCTTACGTGCCCAGTCAAGAGCCAATCCAAAGGGTCGCTGAATCTCTGTTGGCCACTCTTTCGGATACGCATGCTGGTAGTCAATGGCTAGAGGTTTGTGTACATTGTGCCAATTGAAGCTCTTTTCCCCGCATTCGTTCTTGACATCCTCAACATTGACCTGCGGGTTTGGCCCTTTTTCCGGCAGGGTCATTGCTTCTTCTTCTTCTTCTTCTTCTTCTTCTTCTTCTTCTTCTTCTTCTTCTTCTTCTTCTTCTTCTTCTTCTTCTTCTTCTTCTTCTTCTTCTTCTTCTTCTTCTTCTTCTTCTTCTAGGTTCTGAGGTTTATCCGCGATCTCTGATACCGGGTCAACGCCTGTCAACGTTGTAGTTGACTCCGTCTTCGTTCTTCGAACTGGGCTGCTGCTTCGGCTCCTTATACGGGGCTCTCTGGTTTCTTTCCGTCCGGAGGTAGACTGACAGGTACCTGGAGCATCGTCCTAGATACCGAAATATTAGCCCAACGTGTTACGATGGTCAAGGGACAGCTAGATGGAGATTCAAACATTTGCTGCTGTTCCCTTTTTGGAAGATGTTGACTTTTTGTTCGGCATGGTTAGAGGAGGGTAAACGAGCTGCTGCCACGGGGGGAAAGTGGCAAGGGATTTGAACAGAAAAAATAACAGAAGTGGTCAGTCAGAGAGGGTAAGAGGAGGCTACATATAAGTCAGGTCTTTTGGGGTACGTTGAAAGGATTCTTTGTCCGTCTTCTTTATTGTAGAGCGAGGTTCAGCTTACCAGCATCCTCTGCGGGAGTCAATTACTGTTAGGCGTGACAAAGCTACCGTGCCATCCGTTTTACACACATCATTGTACAACGTACACCCTCGGAGCCCTGAAAAAGTACCATGCAGAAATTGCTAGTAATTACCACAAAGCAAAGCTAGCCCAGTACACATTTGAAACCGACGGGATCTTTGGTCGAAAATGAAGAATGAAAATAAAAACCAAATCATAGTTTTCGGTATTGGTTTCTTCTCATGTTTTCTTCCAAGGCTTAATAGGCTTCATCACTCTCTACCTGAATTTAGACAGTGTTTTCGCTTGCATTCGGGTTGGTACGAACGGTGGCCACCGGAGAGCTGCGGCCGTAATAGGAAAAAGGAGACGAGGGAAAAACGAAGGTAATAATGGGAAAGCAGAGCCACCACCGCTTCAAACCTTGTCACTGTTCCGGTGAAACATGCAGTCGAGCCAGGAAGGCTATTAGGGTCCTGGAAAGTAAATCATCGCTAGTACAGTGCTACCCCTGCCTCTGGTGAATAATTCTTCGCTCCAGAGAATTTAAGGCAGAAGTAATTCCTAGACCAAGTGTGATATTAATATCCTATACCTTAAAGTGACATTATTGACATCTCTCAATTCAATCACCTTCCCCCAGTTCACCATGCAAGCCCCCAAAGCTGTTATTTCCGTGGACTATGGTACCACCGGTTCAGGGATGTATCTTCTAATGGAGTTCATTCACACGGCCAAGTGACTAATGGTGGTTATATAGCCGTCGGATACCGATTCGTCAATTTCCATGAGCCGGAGATTCCCCAAAACACACAGACAGTGAGCAATTGGCCAGGTCACTGCAACTCGACTGAGAGGAGCGGGAAAGTACCATCAAAGTTTGCCTACGGGGCTGAAAACAATGTGGACCGTGATAGTTGGGGTTTTGAGGTGTCGGAAGACATGACATCCTGCTCATGGACTAAACTTGTCTTAGAGGCCGACGCAAATGGACTTGAACTTGGTCAGGGTGACCTTGGAGATGATGTCTTTCACGTTCCTGGAGGGAAGCAGGCAGACTCCGTCGTCCGCGACTATCTACGACGGCTTCATGACCATATTTGGTCTCAGGAGCCTTTCAAGTCTATTGGGAATTTAGAGGTTGAGTATATCTTCACTGTTCCAGCCTCGTTCTCGAGAGGGGCCCAGCTCGCGATGGTTGCTGCTGCGAAGGATGCTGGGTTTAGTGAGGGTAATATCAACCTTCTCACGGAGTCTGAAGCCGTGGCGGGATACGTGTTTGAGCGAGGCCTCCTCAAGGACATAAAGGTGAGTGCCACTGGCACCCAAACGTTTAAGATATGTCCAATATGACTAATAAGTGGTGGGACAAATAGGCAGGTGAAAAGGTCATGATAGTTGATCTTGGAGGCGGAACCTCCGTAAGAGTGCCCCTCCACCTCCCCCTCCCCCCCAATTTTTCCAATAGCTAACAATTCCGTCTCAAAGGATGTGAGCTCATATGTGGCACTCCGAGCTCAGAATGGCTTGCAACTACAACAGTTGTCGGCCCCCCAAAGTATTGTCTGGTTCTCCTAACTTACCGCCACGTGTACTAATGCGTACTAGGTCGCAATATCGGGGGGATCAACATCGATAGAAACTTCTCTTCTCTTCTAACCGATCGATTTGATCCGGAATTCGGCACCCTTCCTTCTAATCGAACTGGGCCGTCCAGTCGGCTGATGAGAGAGTTCGCACGCCACAAGAGAGACATTACTGACGGCGACAGAAATGGAGAACAATTTCGAATTCGACTGCCCATGGGTATCGTCGACCCTAATCCGCTACATTATGACGTTGACTACAGCGAAATCATCATCTCAATGGACGACTGGAGGGCCGTTTTCAACCCCGTCCTGAAAGAGATACTAGAATTTATCCGGGACATGTACAACGCTGCCGGCGGTGTCCAGGTGAGTAGGAAGTCGGCTCTGGAAAGAGGATAACTGACTGACATATATTCGTCCCAGTACATGGTATTCGCAGGGGGAGTGGTGAATCTTCCTTGGGTCCAGGAATACTTTCGGAAACTCCTTGTTGCAGAACACATTTCTGTGATTTTTAGTCCAAACCCGTGTGTTCACCTAGAGACCTTTTATTTGTGACATGGATGGTTAAACTGACTCCTGGAAGAGAAATGGCCGTCGCAAGAGGAGGCGTCTGGTATGCCACCCAGAACACCCCTCTTTTGGTCGAGTGCCCTCGACACTATGGCGTCGCTAAACCGGGTGACAACACAATCAACTGGGTGCTACACAAAGTACTATTTATCTTCCTTACATCTCTACGGTTGGTTCGAATACATTACACTAACAGTCAATCGACTCTAGGGGCAGCGATACGCGACTGGTCACACCACCCAAGTGCAATTACGCCATGTATACAAGGCAACAGATCCCAAATCTGTCCTGATTGCCGTGTGTGGGTACAACGGACCTTGCAGCCCAATTTCTACTTCCGATGGTAAGTTGATCTGGCTTAACGAAAAGCTGACCCCTTGTTGATTGATAGCCTAGATGTGGAAAACCTTGGCATGTTCCTGCTTGATCTCTCAAAGTTGAATTTGGCTCAGTTCTGGCATCGGGAAGATGACCATGGGAGGATCGAGTATTCCATCAAGTTCACGTTGGAGATCGAATGCGATGTTAGCAGGGGTGTGCTTTATATCAGGGCGCTCAGGCCAGATGGTTGTCTGATCGGAGAGGAGATGGAGCTGCCGGCCAAGCTCACGTCCTACTGATTGGCCTTTCTATCACGTTTCTCTCTATTTTTACTCTATTTTCCTACGTCTGAATGGCTTATGTGCCTGTTAATGATTGCCTTTCGGTCATATTTTCATCTCCATTCTCAAACGCAGACTGTCTGTTCTTTTTCTTTCGTTTTCTTACCGCTGCCGTTCTTTTTCTAAAGGGGTTTTGCTAGATCCAATGATAAACTAGTCAGTGCATTCTACAGTTTCAATACATATCCCTTGGCTGTGATGAAGCCATCCGCAACGATGCGATACTGTATCTATGACGGTATGCTACGTATTAGTAGGTTTGAAGCAGCACAAAGTAAAAACCTCCACCACACGGAAATAGGGCTCATGCAAAAAAGGAAAAAGGAGAAGCAAAAGAAAGAAAAAGCCAGCAAAGAGGGTCTAGGCTCTCCGTATGAAGGCAGCCAAGTGTCGGTATCTTACAACGCAATACTAAACGCAATACTAAACGGAGAGAAATTGTGACGGCAAGGCAATGGGTCGAGAGAAGGGATACCAATATGTTGCTTCACAACGCAGAGGTATTGAGTGAAAAACCAATTTGGTGTAGTTAATTGGCTACTGTCCTTTGACTTATGGAGGGCATGTTCCCGAACGTTTTAGTTCCCTCAGTCATCGGGCCATCTATTACCAAAGTTCCTGATGAGAAGAAGTTGACATATCATCTTACCCCGCCAGATGGGGATCCGTAAGAGGTTTGTTTTCATTACATACCTACTGGTTGGCTTCTTGTGCGACGTCGCGTAACTTGAGACACGGGAAGATAGTCAATCCGCATAGCCACATCCTCCATCAAGATTTGGTGAAGTTTCAGCTCTCGTGTCGGTAAAATATAACTTAATTCGCGCAAACCTCGTGGGAAGACACTTCATCGCCTCTGAAAACTGATGAGCCATGCTATGGAGAACAGTCGGCGGGTATGTGAAGGACTAGGGCTATCTCTTTTCCTGGAGGTTGAAGTTGACGGTCTATTACTCCTTATACTACCGAATTTCAAGATGTGGAAACTAGAGAAGAGTCATCTGTGCCGTGATATTTCGCTCTACTGATCGGCTGCAAACGCCGGGGAATAAGCCCGGGTGAAGGGTGGAAGGCCTAGCTACTTCGCACATAGTGAACCGTTTAAACTCGGAAACTAAAAGTATTACCGGGACGGATGAGTACGAGAGTAGAATACACAAGTTGTTTGCTTCTGCTCTTCGGAGTTTCGTAGAAAAGAAGGTTTAGAATTAGCACCATCGGTCGCCAAAGGCCAAAGCTGAAAGCCGGTGGGCCTGGGGAGTGATACCGGGGCCTACTCGTAAGGTTCCTGTCTGTGCTCATCGCTCATAGTCCGAAACCATGCACTGAGGTTGATGGTAAAGCCCGGGCCTGGCTCGTGGTCCATTTAGCTGGTCATCAAACCGGGGAGGTCTTGATCGACCCGCGAAAAATGCAGTACTTTCTTTTCACCATTAAAATTGCAGATCTACCGGATGTGGCTTTTCGCGGGTTGTACAAGAATATTAACATCTGATGCTTTGTTTGCTAACATTAGGCAACAAACCCTATTAACCGGTGCGCGGGATATTGGTGCCCAAGCAGCGTGCAATGAAGCTTAGGAGTAGTGCATCTCTGCGGAAAGAATGGGTGCTCGTGGGTTTCTTAGTCCAGGCCTTTTAGTTAGGTTTTTTCATGAGTTTCCGCTAACTCTGGTCAACAAGAAAAGGCACCCCACTCTTGGTATCATGCGGGATTGTCCTCTGAGGTTATGCTCCCAACTCCGAACTTCTTACCGTACGGCATCTGTGTCCCCAACCTTATGGCGTACTTGACAATTTGCTCTTGAGGCAGCGTTCAAGTTTTGTTGGTGAGGTATAGTGACAAGGCGCGCAGCAGTCAGATTTGCCATACACCCCCTAAATCGCCAGAACGACCCGTCGAATCTTAGCATCGAAGCCATTGGGTCATACCAGCTATATCCTACCGCAGTATGATGGATTTTTGGTGGACACTTTGAAACGTAAATCTATACCGCATACCATCGAGCACATCACGGCATGTACTCCCGTAGCTTCCCGGTCGGAGATACTGTGTAGCTTGACCTCAGTGTGGCACTATTATTCCTCCCATTTCCAAGCAGCGCGAGCCATGGATTGTACCATGTTCAACACAGTACCTGCTATACAAAATTATCAAGATGGCTCGACTGACTCTTCGAAAAAGCCTCCAATCCGTGCCTTACGAGATGCCAAACCCCCACCTATCAAAGTGGGGGTATCCATTCCTGGATAGAAAGATTCACATAAAAGGCCAGATACTCGGTCAGTCAAGTAGCTGAATATCAGTGGGTGGACTAACTATTGTCAGAAGACACATTTCTGAAGTCACTCAGCTCTCAGTCCCTTCTTTCATACTCCAGGAATCAGCAAGCCATCAGTAGGTGTTCCCACGATGGATACGGGTCCTTTCTATGGCAAGATCTAACCCGATTGCAGTGCCTCCCCCCGATACCAACGAGATTTCTGCCCTTCTCCACGCTTACGGCAACGCTCTGAAAAGCCGAAATGTGGACGAAGCAGTCGCTCTTTACACGGAAGACGGGGTCATCATGCCGCCGCACTTCTCGGCCAGTACAGGCACTGAGGCTCTACGCGATTCATACACACGCATTTTTGCAACCATTCAGCTCGTTATCACCTTTCAAATTGAAGAGATCGTTGTTATGTCTCCGGAGTGGGCTTTTGCCAGGACGACGGCTGAAGGAACGAAAACGATACTTGCCACCCAGGAGTCTGAGCCACATGCGAATCAGGAATTGTTCATCTTGAGGAGGGAGCATGGGAAGTGGCTGATCGCTAGATATGCCTTTTCTAGCATGAAGCCGTTGGTGCAGAATGGAATTCGACGGAGTTAGATTTTTGGGTTGGCTGTTGATGTGTCGGATATGGATGATGATACTTTTGATGGGCTTGTAAATTATAGCTTTGCAACGACAAAAAAGTGAAGGAAAGTAAACACGCGTTTACATAAGAGAGCCGTTTCTTGTGATTGTCGGTCAATACTTCTATGTTCGGGGCAGCAATGAGAATCTGGGCTTTATTCTTTTAGCCGGCCTGGGGTCTTTTGAGGACGAGCCATCTTTCCTTTACCTCCATTCCAAGTAAAAGTAGAACAGTGTCTCTACCTGGCCCGCTTGTGTCTAGTTGAAGGCTTCCGAGTACTAAGCAGTTGTATGGATGTTCTAAAATATTATTACTAATACCAGGTGACATATTTCATAGCGTAGTCAGTCACATCATGGTGCTGCTTTAGTAACATCGCCCCTTTGATCCGACCGCGATCGACTATATATATAGCAGTAGCTAAGGAAGGGTCAGCAGGACCTCAACGCGACAACCTATATTGCATTACCTACTTGAAACCGACAGCAGAAATTGAAAATATTGAACCTGCATCTTGAATGACTCATGGGTTATTCAGCTTTGTGGTTATAACAGGCGAGGCAGGTGAACGACACGACTAGATACTGCGAATTTGCTATAGGTTGAGCAGTTGGAATATAAAATCAAAACAGGGAGGTTCTCCCATCGCAACCCCCGATGGTCTAGTTGGTTATGGCGTTCGGCTGTAATGGGTATTATTGTAACCGAAAAATCACCAGTTCGATTCTGGTTCGGGGGATTCCATTTTTTTTCATTCAATTTTTCTTTGTCGCGCAGCAGTCCTTATTAGTTAAGCTATTTTTACCCGCATCTGCCCTCAACTGACTACTTCAAAAATGACAATGACTCCAAGCATTGCCTCATAACCATCGGTAACTCCAAGATCAGACTCTGCCATGCTTGTCTCTTCTTCCCCCCCAACACAATAGCAGTCACCAACACTCCCACCGAAGTGGCACAACATGCAAAATTAAACAGTCCCCGTTTAACTCTCGGCTGCACTACACTTTGGATCTGCTTCCGAAAAGCTGCTGGGTTATTGGTGTTCGGGAAGGGCTCATCGGGGGTATCTTTACCCAGAAACTATAGCCCACAACATTAACTGACACACCCTTCCAAATCTCTGAAATATCACGCCAAGCTTGACGTACCTCACACAAAGGACCCCACCCATCTTCAACTTCCCACATCAAGAGCCTCTCCTTCGGCACAAGCCCTCGAATCATCAACCCATGTTCCTGATACACCCTTTTCCCATGTTTCATCAGCCCCTCCTTGGTCGTCCGCCCCCGAAACATGGCGGGATATCCAATCGTGTAGTATAACCTCCAAAGCCAGTACGCATCCGCCGTGAAAATGCGCAAAAACCAGGCCATCCACTGGCTCTCACCCTCTGCGACCAAGGTGTTCATGGCGCTGCGATGCCAGGCATCCACGTCCCGCCGCGTATTCAAAATCACCTTAGCCTCTGGAAACGCCTGGATCATTTCCACGCCGAACATGGCGGCTGCTGTGTCCACCACTGCATCGCAATGCCCCAGCAGGCAATCGAACTCATCGCGAGTGATCGGGGCGTCGCCTGCCCCTTGCACGCCGGAATATTTTCGCTCTGCTAGCTGCGCCCAGCCCTGGGCATATGGTGGGTCGTCGAAGACAATGTCCCAGCCGTGGTAGGTTTTGAAGCCGAGTTGGGTGAGCGCCCGACTGAGACTCTCTGTTCCTGATCGTGGTAGGCCTACGCAGATTACTTGCAGTGGTTTGGTGCGGATGCGTGGTTGGGGCACGGGGAAGCCATAAATAGCGCCGCGCAATGATTCCATGGTCGGTAGATTCGGGAATAGTAACAAGATATAACTGACACCAAGAAGATAGAGTGTAAGGATTTACGGGAGGTGCGAACCGAGTTTCTTTATACTTCTCCCTGCCACCATCCTCCTAGTGTATCTGGCTACAGACTGTGGGGAACCTCAAACCACCCATTGGCCACTTATCCTTGTTCTGGCTGCCTAAAGATAATGAGGGCTTACGACACAGTGTGTATTTGGTTGGTGAGTATTCACAGCCCGAGGGAATAAAGGGGCGCATGGGCCTTCTTTGTCGGGTTGAGCAAATGAAGCTTGAAATGCGGCTGAACGAGAGGCTAGACGGATCAACCAATGATTTTTTGGCGTGATACAAAGTGCCCACTTGTAGTCCCCACGGACTCATGATTCCTTTGTCCGTATCGCAGCCCCTAAGCATAACGCTTCGATTGGGATCTCCATGCTACCGTCGCGTTTTTAGCTACCAATTCCACCACCGAGCACCAGATTTATTACAGAGCCACAATCCACGCGACTGGATCTTAAAGTGAGAATAGCCTGATGATACTGGGGCTGTGGCTAGGACTTCCAGTCTTACTCGGATCATGGAAGGATCTTAGTACTTTCTGTCTCGGTAGAGTTGCCTGTCACAGTAAAACAACCAACTAAATGAGGCTAGCGTATGTACACATCACCTGAGCCTGTAATCAACTGTATTGAGTGGTATCTAGTCAAAGACAATAGCAGCCTTGACAACCGACTTTCGTCTCATCGCATCAAGGCACATCTCCCACTCATCCAATTTGTATGTCTTGTTGACAATCCCAGACACATTGATTCTTCCACGATCTGTGTATGCGGATATTCATTAGCCACTGATTCCCTGTACCACCACTGCACAAAACTCACCAAGATAATCAATGGCAGCTGGAAATTTGTACGTCTGACTGAAAGAACCCAGGACATGGATCTCCTCCTTGAAGATCTTGTTCGGTGACAGCGAGATGCGGCTCTCATCATTGTAAACCCCATAAATTACCAACTTTCCACCTTTGGTGACAAAGTGTAGGGCGTTCTCCAGAACCCTTTCACTACCCGTCGCTTCCACAACAATATCAAAGCCGTACGGATGTTCCCTTCGTAGCTGCTCCAACCTAGCAGTCGCGGCATCTTCGTCCCTTGGCAGCTCGACAAACTCATCTGCAGCATCAAGGGACTTGGCTAGCTCCATCTTCAACCCGCCCGGCGCAGCAATAACAGTTCGGCAGCCACCATTTTGGCGAAGCAGCTGAGCTAGCATTAATCCTGTCGGACCGGCGCCAAACAGAAGAACACTGGATCCCATTTGTGGGGATATCTTATCCAGCCCGTGTGCCGCACAGGCTGCAGGCTCCAATAAAGTGGCATCAGCGTCTGATAGGTTCTTGATCTTGAATACGCGATGCGCAGGGTAGGCGGCGTATTCGGCAAATCCGCCATCGACCATCACGCCATGAGCGATGAAGTTCTCGCAGAAAAGCTCTTTGCCTCGGCGGCAATAGTGACAGTGACCGCATAGTTCCGAGTTGTCGGCTACCACGCGATCACCTACTGTAAAGTCGACGACGTCGCTGCCGAATGCTGCGACGATGCCGACGGTTTCGTGACCAGGTACTAGGGGGAACTTTGCGGATCAGTCCAGTATATAGATTAGTGGTAGGAGTGCCCTTACCTGGGCTCCAAATTCACCCTCGTGGATGTGCAGGTCGGTACCGCATACACCGCAGGCCTTGACTTTGATCTGGATGAATATCAGTCATTGTGTATAATCCATAGAGGTTTTATGACATACGAGGATATCGTGAGCACGTATGCTAGGAAGCTTCTTTTCAACAATGTTAAAATTTCGTGCTTCGCTATACTCTACATTTCCGACCGTCATATCAATCGTTGTGCTTGTTGGCCAGTTAAGAGAATGCAACACGCACCTAGTGCTCTCATGGAGCGAGGTAGCTCGAAGGTGTCCATAGAGGTCATACTAGATAATTGGGTAAATGTGGACCGTAGGTTGAAGATCTAGTCTTGAGGAATAATCATCGGCGCATATGTCTGCATTCGGAGGTGGCTATTATATCTCGCCAGAGAATGTGAGCGTATGAAGGCGAGGGTAGTGAACCGGAGAAACTCATGGGCAAGATAAAGCAGGATGGCATCTTCACAACAAGCCAGAGGCTCTGAACGCTTGGTAATACAATGGTAGTGTAGTGTCATTTGTGTTCAGTGGAGGATGCATGGGCATGGGCCTTTATTCTTGGGTAGCCCCCGAGACGGGGGGTTGTCGATCAGCCTTGCCCCACCCCAGCATAGCAGAACCCTCATAATCCTGCCAATGTCCCGAAGCTATATTAGTAGAAGGATGAATTACTTTACTAATGGAATTATGATTCATGGCTTTGCTATACATCAGGGATAAGTCAGACAAGAAAGTATACGTCGGCTGGATGAGCTACTTGGGGACCGAAACTGATGAGATAACATGGAGAAATCCTCATGTCCATTCACTAGAGTATCCTAACAGACAACGAAAATATTAAAGAATAAGAGTAAGATAAGTACTAGATAAAACAGCTAGATAAATCACGGAGATGAGACCCAAAGTTTGACGTCAGGTGGGTAAACACACTTTCTCATAAGCAGTCGTTCCGTTCCTATGAAGGCCTACTTACGATTAAGCCATCACCGCGGTCGCATTCTCCACATGCTGCGCTGATTCCATCATATCACCTTCCTTAGCCCGAATAACATGCTCATCTCGAGCCTGGTATCTCTCAGGACGTTTGCGGGAAATAGCTTCCCTATCGAAGCAGACGAAAAGTGGTGGATTCCCACGATAGTAGTCATCCATGTCCTCCAACGTACGTCCTGCTGTCTCCGGATAAAAGACGTAAATAACAGGGACCATCGCTGCGTTCAACGCGATCCAAATCGTATAGAATCGCCAACCAAGGTTCTGTATACCAATTGGAGTGATCTCGACGACCATGAAATTGAAAATCCAGTTTGTAGCTGCTCCGAGTGCGGCGCCCTTGGTTCGCATCGTAAGGGAGTTGATCTCTGTGGGATACACTAGGAATATCATCAGTACTCAGTGAGAGCATAAATTTGGAAGAAAAGTGAGACATACACCATGGCACGCCTTGCATGCCAATTCCAAAGAATATGTAATACATGAAGAAGAAAGCAACCGAGGCAGACGCCACTTCATGTTGATGTGGGTATCCAGGCATCTCATTATACCGAATGAGAGCTGTGATGAAGGTGTAGCAGAGACATTGGCCCGTGGCACCAAATATCAATAGTGCTCGACGGCCCCATCGCTCAACATTCGGTATACCGATTATTGAAAAGCATAAATACTGAACGCTATTACATGCTGTTAAGAGTCTTGCTAACGACTCACTCATACCAACTGATTTAGTCAGTACTGTAGGTAGGTAGTAGGAAGTCACATTGATTCCTGAGAACTGTTGCATCGCTTGAGCTCCCATGCCGAGGATAAGTCTGCGGATGGTCTTGGTGCCTGACCGTTCATGGGCGCGTCCGCGCAGTATGTCACTGAAGCTGACGCTGTTTGCTCGTTCATATTCTACACTGTATCGAATCTCGCTGGTTTGAAATTGGACTAAGGGGTCGTTTGTGGCTTTGTTCTCAAGATCCGCGATGATCTGTACAGCTGCTTCTTCTTGGCCGTGGGCAATAAGCCACCTGGGAATGTCAGTGAATTCTGTTGAAAATCACAGTTTACATACCTTGGGGACTCAGGTAACCATGGAACTGTGAGAGCGAGTATGATTATGAAAATGAATTGGAACGACAAGGGAAAGCGCCAGGATGCAGGGCCACTGGCGAACGAGAGCCCGTAGTTGAGCCAATTGGCAAGTGAAAACCCAACAAGGACGAGTACATTCTCGAGGATAACCAATTTCCCCCGCCAATGCACATTTGATGTCTCGACCTGCCAAATGGGTGCAGTGGATGTGTTCAGGCCTGGGTGTTCACATGGTTAGTGTCCATATTCCTGGAACTATGGGAGGAGAAATACCGTTCCCAATTCCCGCAATGACTCGACCTGCCATCATTTGGCCCACACTGTATGAGGAAGCTTGCAAAAGGGCACCAATTGCCATCACAGTAGTCCCAACGAGAACCGTCTTTCGGCGCCCTAACCGCTCACCAAGCCAGTATGCACAGATAGATCCGAGAAAGCAGCCAACATCGTAAATCGCGGTGACAGTGCCAAGAAGACTGGTCTTAGAAGGACCTTCAAGATTGTGTAGTTGCAGAAAATCTTGGGATATCACGACTCCGCTGAAAACACCCTATATCAGGGTCAGCCGTGTACCACAGAAACTGTACTATGGTAACTGACCTGATCATAGCCATACAGGGTCATGTCAGCACCACAGGCTAGAGTGATCCAAAAGGTTAACCAGCCCCCTCGAAGACCGAAATACGGAGTCTTATAATTGAACATAATGCTTATTCTATGGTAATTCTTCATCATATTACATGTGCCGGCTTGAGGGTCACGGCCGTAATATATCCCTTCATCCTCTCCATAGTTTCACCCGGGTATGCGGCAATTCGCGGCAACCATTATGTCAGTAACGCACAGCACTGTTACTACTTATTATCATACGACGCATTTCAAACAACTACTTTAATGCCATATTAGGACTCAGAAATATGCAGCGAAGGTTCTGTCGATCCCATAGGGCGCGGGGTAATGCGGGGGATCACGTGGAATCAGCAAGGAATGAGGATGGAATGGATCGACATTCAGCATGTGTCCCCGTCTCGGGGACACTTTTCTCTGGATGAGCGAAAATGGATCCAGATTATGGCCCCGATAATATTTGCAGCGCATGGCCATATGGTATCCCGACCATGGCTTCTCAATCGCCCTATAGACGGCCACGCATACGCAAGTCTCGCGGCCGCGGGTTGCGGACTAAGAATGGATGGTGAGTGATCCGTGCCGAAGACGCGGTACACGGTTTAATATTATGAATGCAGCATAACATGTCGTAAGCGACATCTGAAGTGCGATGAAGTCAAGCCGATATGTGGTCCTTGCGTCAAAAAGGACAAGACCTGTGAATATCCCGCATCAGGCCGTCGCAGTAATGACAGCCTAGCCTCCGACCGGGCCATTGCCGCTGCTGTTCCGGTGTCAGACCAAGATCCAACAGCATCTCCGAAACAAGCCAGCGCTCATGTATTGCATAACGTCTCCACAGAAATAACATCCTACGAACGACATGAGCCACCAGGTGCGGCCTGGAGCTGTTCAGATGCAGAGACCAATCCCCCTCCGTTGGCGGTCCTGGATCACCTAACGGGAAGTGACTTGCCTACCAGTCAGAGCCCCATCGCCTTTCAACATAACTATCTATCCCCATCAAACGCGTCTTTTGCCGCAGTGAGGTGGTTTGGACTTTTAGCGAGTGATGCTGCAAGGGACAGCCCGCAGCTGCCATCTGTAGATAACTCCGGCACTCACAACCAGCCAGTCGATCACTTGGGAATCGATGGTCTGAGCCAGCCCTATTCGCTGCAATATGCGACACAGGTGCTTGATAGCACCCTTGACTCGAGCGCGAGCAATGGCCCAACAGGTCATCAAGAAGGTAGTGCAGTAGAGGAGGAACTAATTTGGCAGTCACGGGAGGCAATTGAGCTCTTGCCCACAGAACATGCCTTGTTCGAACACTTTATAAATCAAGTGTGCCCATGGGTTAGCATACTTATCTTTCCGTTTCAACAAGATAGCCTAATACCTCTGTAACAGCTCGATCTCTTCGATCCTACTAGCCAGTTTTCCACTTTTGTCGCGCATTTGGCAGTACGTCCACCCATGGCTCTCTGTTAGAATGATATATTAGCAGACTGACAACTAGTCAAGATACATAATGCTGGACTCATGAATGCAATTCTCGCACTCGCATTCCGGCACCTAGCACTGAACCCACGACTAGATCAAGAAAACATGCCGAACAAAGAAGCTGCGGCACTACAATACTACTACCAAACACTACACTACGTCCAACGAGCCATGCGATTCTCCAGCTACAAGACCAGCCTAGAACTCCTTGCAACAGCATTGATCATCTCCGCCTATGAAATGCTCGACAACTCCACCAACGACTGGGAACGGCACCTCGAAGGCGTCTTTCTCATACAAAGGTCCCAGACCATCCACGGCGAGTCCGGCGGCCTACACTCCGCCGTATGGTGGGCCTGGCTCTGCCAGGACATCTGGGCTGCGTTCCGGGAGAAACGCAAAACCTTGACATTTTGGGTTCCTCAGAGACAGTTGTCCGTGCTGTTGCCGCACGAGCTCGCCATGCGCGCTATCTATATTACTGCGAAGGTGATTAGTTACTGCGCAGAGACTACGACTGAGGAGAACAGGCGGCGTCGAATTGAGGACGCTAACCGGCTTCGTGCCATGCTCGAGGATTGGCGACAACACCGAACCGTGGAGTTCTCGCCTCTGCCGCTAGGTGCAAGTGAGTATGCCTCGTACTTTCGACCGATTTGGATTCGTCCTGCTGCGTTTGGTATGTTAAACCCCATCAATACATACGAGTAAACGAGGTGAACTGACTGATTTGTGTTCTAGGACTGGCAGTACAGTTCTTCAGCGCATCATGTATTCTCTTACTGGCGCATGAGCCCAGTATGGGAGGACTTGGCGAGTACCTCGAGCGCCAGAGCGCCATCAAGCACTACGTGGAGGATATTTGTGGGATTGCGATGACTTTAAGGGATCATGCGTCTAGCTTGATGTCATCTCAAGCTGTATTCATAGGTATGTAATAGGGAGACGCTACCAACACATCGGGCAGCTGCTGCCATGCGACAGCCTCCGCCTACTGTGAAGGGAAGGCTCGCTGCGTGTCTTTCACGTGACTGACCCATCGCAGCAGGAATCTTCACTCAGGAGAAGCGTGCTCGGGAAGACATTCTGGAGCTACTCGAATCATGTCGAGCAAGAACTGGATGGCCGGTTAGATCATTGGGAGTGGAGCTACAGGAGCTTTGGGAAAACCAGGACGCCAAAGCCGCTACTGGTGGGAAAGTGTTTATCCGGGCCGGTGCTGCCTCACAACATGGTTGATCTCTACGTACTATCCAGTCTACAGACCAAGTAATGCTCCCTTGACTCCGGCTCCGAGCTGGACCCTCCATAAGCGGTGCTCATTCAGCGCAAAGATCTCCCCGTTTCGGCCAAAGCAGAAGTTAGCTACCCCGCCATCGATGAGGATGCGACCGAGGAGAACTCCCCCGGGAGACCAGACGTGGATACCATCACCGCAACCACTATACACATTTCCATTCAAATCGCACTTGATCCCATCGGGAATGCCATGATCGGCCATGGCGAAGAGTCGACGGTTGGTGAGGAACGGCTGTCCATGTATCGTGGACACGTCGAAGGCATAGCTACACAACACTAATCAGTGGACATCCCAATGACAATACAATAATGAAACTTTTCCACATACATTGAAGATACCCGATGATCAAATACCGTACCATCCCCGTGCAGTCGGTCTGTATCCGTGATATAAACCGTCTTTTCATCCGGGGAGAAACAAATCCCATTCGGCATCCCAAACCCATCAGCCATCGCGCGAGTAGTCCCTTCGCGCGGACACCACCGATACACCTGACACGGTAAACACGGTTCCGGACGATACTCATGCCTGTAGCCGTAGATGGGATCCGTAAACCATATCGAGCCATCAGTATGCACCACCACGTCGTTGACCGAGTTGAACGGCCGGCCGAAGAAGTCCCCCTTGAGCAGTTCCGTTGTGTACGGAGCAGTGATGGACATCTGATATAGCCCACTGGGCTGGGTCATAGACCCCTGCCCGCAAATAAGAATGTGATCTTGGCCGTAGTTGATGCCGCCATTTCCCATAGGTATCTCGGTGGGGATTTCCTCGTAGGTGATGGGGTTGGTGTTCAGGTCAACGCGGGTGATGTAGACTTTCTGCTCGCTTTTACTGCCATTTGGATCGAGGCATCGGTTGCTGGTGATCCAGAGGCTGTTCGTCTCGGCGATGTAGATTCCGGCTTCGTGTGCAAAGGGGTAGTCGCGATGTTCTGCTAATAGTTCGAGGGTGGGGGTCGGGCCGATGATTGCGTCGAAGTCTTTGTGGTGGGATTGGAACCCTGTTATTTCGCTGTCGGTCATGGTGAGATAATTCGTCACGCTGATTAGATTGAGAGGATTGTATGGTATTGCGTTGGTGATCAGAGTAAAAGATATAGTCTGTGCTTAGTGAGTATAAAAAGTGGCGAACAGAAACGTGGAGGGGAAAGATGGGGAGAGAAACTGGGGAATCGGGGTAACTCCGGTCCTCGTCTCGAGGCCATCTCCACCCCACCGATTAGCCATCTCCGAAGAGTATAAGAACGTCGATCAACACTAACATCCATGGTATGACAACCGCACCCGTCTAAACCATTTAATGCTCCTCGCAACGATGTCCTGGAAAGAAGAAAACCGCCACCGGCGCATTCTGCGCAATGCTCACGCCGGCGGATACGGCGTCATCGCTGTCATCGCCTACAACCTCGAACAAATCCTGGGATACATCCGCGCAGCCGAAACAGCGCGCTCGCCTCTCATTATACAATTCTTCCCATGGGCTGTCAAAGCAACGGACGGCTTGATCGTGCGGACTGCTGCGGACGCAGTCAGTCGTGCGACCGTGCCTATCAGCATCCACCTCGACCATGCGCAGTCGGAAGATATCATCAAGCAGGCGGCAGATATGCCATTCGACAGTATTATGGTGGACATGTCGCATCATGAGAAGGAGGTCAATCTGCGAAAGACTCGCGAACTCGTGCGGTACTGCAATGAACGCCAGAAAGTCACCGAGGCTGAACCGGGTCGTATTGAAGGAGGCGAAGACGGGGTCATGGATACGGCAGGGCTGGAGGCCTGTATGACCACGCCAGAAGAGGTGGATGAGTTTATTGACACGGGCGTGGATGTGCTTGCGCCGGCTATTGGCAATGTTCATGGGGAATATGGTCCCCGTGGTCCGCAGTTGGATTTTGAGCGGTGAGTTGGCAATTATCTCGCGATGGTTGGAACAATCAATTTGCTGACTTACTGTGCCAGGTTTGAGAAGATTCGCAGTCAGGTCAATGGGAGAGTATGTTTGGCGATTCATGGTACGAATGGGTTTCCGCCCGAGCTGATACAACGCTGCGTGGCGGCTGGAGTAGCCAAGATCAATGTGAACCGGCTTGTGTTGGATGATTACTATGATCATCTTCGAGATAACGTGGGGAAGATACCACATACCCAGCTGATTGAGGAGGGGATTCAGAAAGTGGCAGATTTGACTGCGAAGTGGATGGAGATTTGCGGGTCTGCGGGTAAGGCGTAATGGACGGATTGATGGAGATATAATATAGTCAGATTTTTAGAGTGCATCCATTCAGTCAAGCGATGATTCACCATCCCTTTTTGCGAGCATTCACAGAGGGTAATGGTTGGTAGCTCACAACTACTACTTTCCAGAGCTGGCTGCTATCATAATCTATACGAGACAGTGATGTAAGCTTATGAGCGAGGAGATGCTACCTGATAACTGCAAGACACTATTTCCCGACCAATCTATTGCAAATTACTAAACATCCCACCATCTGCCAACAACCCCGTGGCATTGACATATCGACTCATCTCCTCGCAAGCCAGGAACACCGCTGGACCAGCCATATCGTCCGGGTTCCCAATCCGCCCCAACGGTATGCGCGCCTCAAGCGCAGCCTTCTTAGTAGGGTTCTTCATATCATGATCAGCCAACTGCGTGGCAATGGTCCCCGGCATCAGAGCATTGCATCTAATCCGGTCCTTGCCAAGTGAGATAGCCATGGACTGCATCATGGAGAGCACAGCAGCCTTAGTGGGCGTGTAGTGGGTCTGAAGGCCTCCGCCAACCAGTGCGCTGACGGAAGAGATACCGATGATGGAGCCACCGTGGCCCTGCTTGACCATCTGCCGGGCAGCTGCTTGGCAGGAGTAGAAGCAGCCTTTGATGTTTACGTCGATGCTGTGATCGAGGAGAGAGGATTCAATTCTGGATGAGTTAGCTGCCAGTCTGCTGTACTTCACTGTTGGAATGATAGCCTTACTGGAGGAATTCAGCTTGCTTGAATACGCCAGCATTGGCAACGAAAATATCTAGCTTGCCCCATTGAGAGACGGCTTCCTTGACGAGGTTTATGCTGGTTTCCGGGGCGGTCACATCACCAGGAATTTCGAGGATATTGCCAGCCGCAATGCCGCTTTGTTGGATGGATTTGACTTCATCGAGCAGACTGTGCCGATGCACTTCATCTTTGGGGAGGCCGAGATGGTTGACCGCGACATTGCAGCCTTGTGTGATGTATGCCAATGCGATCGCGCGGCCAATTCCCGTGGTGCCGCCGGTGATGGCAGCTGTTTTGCCTTTGAGCAGATTGCAAGCTGGTAGAGCCATTGTAGAAACTTGTTCACAAAGTAGCTGTCAGAGAGAGAACACTGGTCTCTGTGCATTGTAGTGAGCGTAGCACCTTTTCAAGTCATGCAATGTAACCGATGTTCCCGTCTCGAGGCAATGCATCCCCGCGCTTCCCCGCCCCTCCGCGTCTCGGGGGACCCCCGACTCGAGTGATCGAGTATCAGCAGATGATCAAAACATGTTATAAAATGACTAGTAAATGCCTTATACAATGTAAAATCATTATCATTTGAAGACATTACCACTATCGTCTTATTCATACTGATATCATCACGATGACCTCCTCAGACTCCAACGAAGCACCCCAGGCCAGCGCTGTTCAGACCCAGGTCAGCCTCGGTGGAAAGGTTATCGCGAGTAAGTACTCAACAGACACGGCTGTGATACATCTCTAATATCTCGCCAGTAACCGGCGCCAATCGTGGAATCGGCCTCGGTATCGCAGAATGTTGTCTCACTAATGGTGCCGCCAAAGTTTACTCGATCGACATCGGCGAGACAGGCGACGACTTCGCCGCCCTGGACAAGCGCTACCCAGGGCAACTCAGGGCCATTAGCGCAAATGTAACAGAGGAAGCCACTATCACCGCAGCTATCGGCAAGATCATCGAAGAGGCTGGAGCGCTGCACGGTATGGTAGTCAACGCCGGTCGCACCCACCACAAGGCCGCTCTGGACTTCACCAAGGAGGAGATTGAGACTCTTTTCAACGTGAACCTCTTCGGTGCGTTCTATAGTGCGCGTGCTGCGGCGCGTGCTTTCATCAAGCTCGGAATCAAGGGGTCGATTGTTTTCACTGCGTCGATGGCTTCGTACCGACCGAATAAGGTTTGTTGTTGTTTATTGTCTGGGATGTACTCATGGCTTACGATGTGCTAGCGTGTCCCATCCACCCCGTATGGCGCTTCCAAGGCCGGCGTCCGAAACATGACTCACACATTGGCCATGGAATGGGCTCAGTATGGCATCCGGGTAAATAGTGTTTCGCCAGGTTTGGTAAAAACTGCTATGACCTATTGGGTACCGCAGCAGCCCGACTGGGAGCAGCAACTCAAGTATTACGGAGGGTTTCCCCGGCTGGCAGAGGTGCAAGAGCTCGGAGGTGCTTATGTGTACTTGCTGAGTGATGCTGCTAGCTACACGACTTCTATCGATATTCCGGTGAATGGGGTGATTGGAAGTAAGTTCTTCTTTGTTGTTTTTAATTGCACGGCTGATACTGACTTGAACAGTTTGTTGAAATGAATATCTTGAATGGCGTGATGTTTTATTTTAGATGTCAGGTTAATGAGTTCGTTAACGTTGAGAAGCACCCATCTAGTGCTTCAACACTTGCTGGCTTTCTCCCCATTTATTGTGTTTTCATAGACTACCGAGTGGATGAAACCGTCGAACGCTCTACCTTGCGCGCGAAACGAGATCGTTTACTGCTGTGTTGCGTGCAACTATCCAGACATATCATAACCATGCGAAGCGCCTTTGTACTAATGTAGACAAAGCGAAGGAATCTTGCAGTTTAAGTCAAATACTCCAAATGTTGTGGGCTATCACTATTTCATTCCATTCAAAAGTCGCAAATCATGTTGGTCAAATCATCAGACATAAGCTTCCATAAGAACGTAGACGCAATAACGTCGCATCAACAGGCCCCTAGTGCGTCCTCCCTTTCACAGTACCGTCAATTCCCTCCAAATCACTATACAATCGCCACTCATAATCGAAGCTGGGGTCATTAAATCGCGCCTTCGCGTCCAGCGTAGCAATTTGAGCCATATCCTCCGCATCGAGCTCGAAGTCAGCAGCCAAGTTCTCCTCAATTTGCCAGTCGATCACAGTCTTGGGGATGACCGAACGGCCACTGTTGATTCCCCACGCAAGCACAACTTGTACAGGGCTCTTGCCATATTTCTGACCAATTGCTTTGAGAATGGGCTGGTCAATCACCCGCATCATGTGTGCGATTTCCTTCGACCATCCTGCCTGGCGGTAGAAGTCGTTCATGTTTCCGAGAGGACTGAACTGAACGACATGGATTCCCTTTTCGCGAAGCCATTCGTTGAAGCCCTTCTGCTGGAGGTAGGGATGGACTTCCATCTGGTGCACGGCGGGGACCTGCAGTTATCAGTTACGCCCAATCATCAAAACAAAAGGAAAAGAAGGTGACTTACAGTAGAAGTCTCCTTTAGCAACGTCTCAATCTCACCCTTACTAAAATTCGACACCCCAATGGCCTTCACCTTTCCCGTCTCGACCACCTTCTCCAAGGCTCTCCACGTATCCACAAACGTAGTCTCCCCATGAATCATTCTCCCCTCCGCATCACGAGGGAACCGATCTTCACCCCGCTTAAAAGTGCACGGGTAATGCATCAACAACAGATCAACATAGGGTGTATCCAAATCTCGCAAAGAATCATCCACCGCGCGCTCGACATCATCGGGGTGAAAATCGTTGCACCAGAGCTTCGTGCCTAGGAAGATCTCCTCGCGCGGGATGCCGCTCTTCTTGATTCCCCTGCCGACTTGCTTCTCTACACCGTAGACACGCGCTGTGTCAATTAGCCGCATGCCATGTTGCAGAACTTGGCAGACGGTGTCTTCCTGAGAGTCGGGGTCTTGGAAAGTGCCAATTCCGAGAGCGGGGATTTTGGCGCCCGTGTTGAGGGTGTATGTTGTGCGGGTGGTGGGCGGGCGAGTGGCGCTTGTTGGTTTGATGGACACGGTTGGGTCCTTGAGTGCTTGGGGGCCGGTGGCGTTGGCTGCTGCGGTGGTTGTAGCCATGTTGGGTGTGTTGTTGGTAGGTGGTACTAGACTGTGTGATGTTGTTGCCAAGAGGCTGTGGTTTGTTCGGTTTTGTGATGGTCGAATTGAGGAGAATCGACTGGGGTAAATATATCCCTCATTGGTATGTGGTATACGGTGAGGGCGAATATATCTGCACTGGTGGTAAGGCTCTACGAGGGCAAAATATTCCAACGTAAGCAGCAAGCTGTAAGCCTGCATGACGCCGTGTCGGTGCTAGTCTGTAGTAAGAATTGGCGGCGGCTAATAGCGGCCGCCGGCTACTGTGATCTCCCATCTGACGAGATAGGTGTAACGGATGAAGTAGATATCAATTATAGAAATTAATGTATGTTGTGATATTAGATATAGAGAAAGTCCAAGTTAAGCTTTCTTTGTCCCTATATGTTGATCTTGGACGACTCCTTATGGAGCGGTCGATTTGGACAGATTGGAAAATACCTTCCAAATCACATTAAATACACTTTTATGCTCATTCAGAAAGCTATGAGTATATGATAAGAACATATAATTGCAAGATCCTGTAGGATGAGAAGCAATTATGCATAAACTTAAATCCCTCCAGAGGACCCCATTGGCAAACCAGTGAACCTACTCTACTGATAATCAAATTACCCGGTACCGCTATTAGCCGCTGCAGTGGGCGCGAGACGGAGCCATGCCAAGAATTTCATCACATCTTGTCACATTCCATTTTGACTCTCAGATCTTTCTTGACTGATATCTTGGTAGTGGTAATTGTGGGGGAGACCTCAAAGAAATGACGACATAAAAATCTACATAGTTACCATGACCAGCAGGGCAAACCTAAAATTACATAAAACAATTCAAACATGACAATATGGATTATGAAGTCAGGTATGTTCAACCTCCGTCAATGGAATCTCATCCGCTACCACAGTAACCTCCACCTTCTTCACAATCCCAGGCACATGTCGATCGAGAAACTCCCGGTCCCCGGCAAATATATGCGTGGAGATATTAGCCAGGATATGTTGCTCCAAATTCTCCCCGGACTCAGTCTGCTGCATATATGGCATGATCCATCGTTTCTTCCAGTCCTGCGTCATTTGACTGACATTAAGCGTCGTGCTCTGCGTACCCTCGCCGTTGTCCATTTTCCTGTGGAGAGTGGGTGCTCTTTTGATGAATTTCTTGATCCAGTGGACAATGAGCGGCCGGAGACAAGGGATTGATGCGGTGATGAGCACGACGCCCGCTTCGACGAACATCCACCGTAGAAGGGTGACGTGGTTGGTGCGTGGGTTGGTAGAAGTCATGATGGTTGGGTATTCGATGGTTTTGACCAGGGAAGCGGCCATGGCTCTGGATGGTTGGGTAATGGTTAGTTGGGGCAAGAGAATGCATGATTAATGTGCCACTCACACTACTCCTAAACTCAGGAGAGAGACGAGGACAAGTTTGACCCTGACGTTCCAATTGAATCGCCAGAAGATATAGATGGGGAAAGCAGCGAGCAGGAGATCACAGGCGGAGTTGAAGGCTGTATGAGTCAATTAGAAATATATGACAATGAAATCACAGTGAAAGAAAGCATACCACCCTGAAAATAAGCATAATCAATTTGAACCTTCAGCGACATGCAATAAGTGGCTTGACTCGGGTTGAACAATTCTTCCACATGTGTCGAACATTGAAAAAACAACAAGAAAACACTGATGACATTGACAACCACCTGCAAGGGCACTAGGGTCCATAAAATTATGCGATGTAGTTTTCGCGCTGCCAGCAGCTCGATGAGATAAATGATAAATGCCAAACGACCGGCAGTGGCAGCCAACGTTACCACGGCCTGACTTATAGTGGAATACTTCAGGGAGCTCATCGCGTGGTGCAGCTCGAGCGAGCTGGCTGTCTTTCCGTACCCATAGTCTACCGCGACACTTGAGAGGGCTGCGGCAATCACAAGCAGGGCCTAGTTATTTCCCTAGAAGTTAGTGACGTCGTAAAAAGGCATGTTCATGCACTGACCAGTGCCAACAAAGTGATTATATCACTGATCTGAAAGTTGCCAAACTTGGCATTGCCGAACGAGCGCATGGCCACGATTACAATGGACAATGCAGTCATTGTCCAAACGGCAGCCAGCAGCTCTGGGCCAAAGTTGACCGCAGAGCTTGGCTTGGGCAGCGGACTGCCAGTGGTACTATTTCCACCGGTTCCATTGTGCGGGGACCCTCCGGCATTCATCTCCGCGGGAAGTCATAGCAGAGGAGAAAAATAGAGTAAAAAACGGCGTATCCACGCAAGGGCAACGGACGATAGAAAAGGATTATTGGGGCTCAGAGGCCACGATCATCGCACAGACCTATAGTGATAGCCAAGCCAGCAAGCGATATATTCGGTGCCAGATAAGGCCCAGGGCGGAAACAAAGTTGAAGTGGGATCGCACTGGGCAGTTGTGATAGGGCCAACGCCCGCGGAGAACCACGCGTCGTTCGGGATGTGCGATCGAGGTGCACTGCTTGGTACTGGCCGGCGCAACGAACACGCTCAGCTGGCTATTGTGTGCTGGTCCATTGGGCCCACTGGATTACTCAAAGTTGCTCAACGGCCGGACGATCGTCGAAATCCACTTTAAGTGAAACGATACCGTTGGGCCCGCGCATCCTCTGGCCCGCACCCACTAACGCAAATTAAGCATATCGGCCGGTTCTTGTTGCTTGCTCTCCACCCCCTTAATATCACCGACCCGTGGTCCTTCGACTTCCCCTCTCAGGGTTTCGGCCGTGGCTGACCGTAATTAAGGGATTATCACTGACTAGCTCTGTGTCAGGCTCACTCGACAGCGAAACATTGGAGCTGAACCCAACTATCGCGCGGAGCTAAAAATACCTCGCGGTGTTTCTTGATCTAATGACAAGCCATCTAACTGCTGTCCCGTCATATGATGCAGGATAACATGGGTGGAGACAGAAATGACTAACGAAAACGCCATCATTAGTGCAAATGAAAAGTATGATGCTGCGAGTTCGCCTTTCAAAACCCGGGGCCTGCCAAGATATTCCAAGCAACTGTGATCTACCTCAATACCCGCCATCATCATCAGGAACCCCTTGTACAAAGGTAGGCCGGTCACTTTAGTACCTCAGCCCTATGTACATATGCTCTGAGAGGTGAAAAGGGTCGATCACCTACTGGGGCTAAGCTGGTCGGAACTGGGTCAAGTATGCGGGCTAAAATCAATATTGAAAATGGTTCAATTTGTACGAAGTCCTCCCCAATGTGCGATTCTGATCTGGAGAAATCTCCACACATTCAAGGTTCTCTAAATTACCACTCAGGAGCAGGGCTCATTGTCATCTCCAGGCGCAGGTCCAGAGCCAGCCTTAGAGCCCGACTGAGCACCAGACTGGGGGTTCGATTGCGATCCACGGGCAGATCCAGAGGGGAACGGCGCAGAGCCATATCCGGAGGCAGCGCCAGACTTGAACCCAGAGCCAGAGCTGGATTGAGTGGGAGCAGCAGCACCAGATCCAGCGACCGAAGGAGCAATGGACGGCACTGAGCTGGCTTCCTGAGTGGCCGAGAGGAGAGCAGCTGCGCCAGTTGCCTCATCGGTAGAAGCAATACCAGCAGCTGAAGGGGTAGGGGTCGCGTGGGTAGCCACAGACGCAGTGGATGAAGCGACGGCAGTCTGAGAGCCCATGGCAGGAATGCTGATGGTGGCGATATTCCAGACCTTGCCGCCTTCGCTGGAGGTTAGACCGGTGTACGTGGCGCCCGCGCCGGTTGCGATGGTGTCACCGAAACTGGTGTCCGCCTCACGCAGGGTAATGGTGGTGTTGAGATACAGCTGGTCTGCTACAGTGCCGGTGCAGTCGCTGTCGCATTCGGTACCGGTGCCATAACTAGCAAGGATAGCAAACACGGTTAGTATACTAATTGGTGCAAGGTCCAATTATTAGTACCGATGGACCTACCCAGTCATGTAGGGACCAGCAGCATAAGAGTAGCTGGACAGAGCAGCGCCCGTCAAAGCATTGGTGACATTCTGGGTCCAGGTCTCTCCATCCGAAGCGAGGTTGTACTCGATACGAACGTGGTCGTTGGCACTGACGGGCGAGCCAGTGCCATCCAGTTGTCCAAACGAGCCGAAGATGCTGGCGCGCACACACCACTGGCCCGTGGTGGCACCGCACCAGGAGTTGCTTGGCCAACTTTCGAGCGTGGTCTGAATGAGGTCGCCAGTTCCGTTGCTCATTCCTGGCCAGAGGAATAGCTCGCCATTCTGGGTGGAGGGAGCGACTCCGGGAATGATTGTGGTGACGGCGTTGATAATGTCGGACTTGGTCGGGCCCAACGAGACACTGCCTCCCCACGAGTCCCGCTTGGCGACCTTGGTGGAACTCTGCAGAGCAGCAGGCAGAACGGCACCGAGAGCGACGGAGGGAAGGATGGCAAGGGTGCTGAGGACGTGCATGGTGAGCGCTTTGTTAAGTTAGTTGGTATTTAAAGAGTGAATGTAGAATTGAATGATGATAATGAATGGAATGCTTGAGGCAACCAGTGCCGTCAGAACAAGAGAATGATAAGATGTGGTACTGAGAAGAGAATGGTAGGCAGGTAGCTTTCCGAATGAGGACATGGGAGAAAGCTTCCTTTATATAAAGTCCAGGCCATGGTCTCGGTTCTCTCGGAAGTGAGGCCTCTAATCAAATGTCGGTTTCAGGCTAAGGCCAGGGCTGAAACGCCCGCCTGGAAGACATCCGGAACCCTAGCCTATAGGAGGCAAACGCCAGTAAGTCTATGCTCTCAACCTTGCCTCGTTTGGACTGTCATTTCTTGTCATTTCCGACAAGGGGAAACTTACTGCTTCATCTAGAATATGGATCGCTTCATAGTACCCAAGGTCGTCGGCAGCTGCACCGCAAAGCTAATCGATGTATGGATTTCCCCTTTCCAACTCAGCAGGAAGGGTCTCCATTCTCTAATAATAAATTGACACACTCCACTGTCAGCGAATATATAAGTCTTTTATACTGCTACATAGGGCTTAGTGTCTAGTTCCACGGGCAGAAATAACAATGTCAACAAGACCCGAAATTCGCAATTGTATTTGTGACTAACTACTAACAGCACTCACAATATGATTCATTCTGGGTTTCTTCCTCTTTTAACTGCTTATTTTGTCCTAATATTTCTTTCTAATTACGTAGACAAATTTACTTATCCAGATAATCCACTAAGACACAAAACACTTTTGCTGCACCACCAATCTTGTGAGGTGACCTTAGACAGCAATAGCCAAGCGCTCGTAGAAGCCGACTCCCTGGTTCTCGATGCCAGTCGAGAGAAGGTCATCACTAGCCTCAGCACGACCGGAACCGAACCGCTTAAGGTTCCATTTGTCGATTCCGTCAACGCCCTTCAAGTCGTTGGAGTAGGTCCGGAACAAGTCACTGTTGAGGCGCTCGTACTCGGAGTACTCCTTCGGCCAGTCACCCAGGCGCTCAACTGCAAGCTTCAGCAGGTGCAGGTGCTTCCGCACATACTTGCCTTCCTCGTCTGCACCGACTCCAGGGCTGGAAGCGGGCGAGGAGAGTCCCGAGAGGACGCCTCCCTCCATCTCCGACGCGGACACCGAGGTCGGATCGATGAAGTAGCGCAGCGCATTCTCGTGCACCGCCGCGGCCTTCTTGTAGTAACGGTAGGCCAACTCGCGACGGTCCTTCTGGTTCTGGTATCCCTGGGCCACGCTGGTGTACATCTGGGAAAGCAGGACTGTCATCTCCACTGTGCTGGAGTGACGCGGTCCCTGAACCCGCGCACAATTGTAGACGATGTCCTCGGCCAAACGGATGGCAGCCGTGTAGTCGCCAATGAGGTAACGAGTAATGACCAGCCAGCGACCAAGAGCCAAAGTGTACTGGAATTGTTGCTGAGAAACCTCCTGGTCGTTCTCGGCATTCCAGATCTCGTGGGTATCCCGGGAATTCCAGAGTGAGGTGAGAATCCAGGCCAAGGTGTGGTAGTCATGCTGCTCATCGAGCACGCCAATCAAGCTCTCCAGGTTCACAAGATCCAGCTGTGCCATATCAATGTTGTGGCTCTGGAAGTAATCCAGCGTGTCGCGCATGATGGTGCCTGACACGTTGAGCATTTCCTTGCGCGTGGAGGCTGGGGGTTCTCCCTTGAGATCGCGACCGGCAATGACCAAGCCAAGCTTGAACACCAGCTTAAGCGTCGATTCCGAGGAGTAGCCTTGGTGGGACCAGATATAGCGGAATGCGGTCAAGGCCAGGTCGCATGCTGCCTGGTAATTGCCTGATGCCAGCAACTGCGTGGTCCGGTTGTAGGACGCGATGGCAACGGAGCGGACAAGATCCCGCGACTTGTGGGTACTGAAATATTCCAAGATTGTCTCGGTGAAAACTCTAGCCTGATGGATGCTCAGCTTCAGGCTGCTACCCTCGGTGTTGAGGAAGTAGTTGGAGAACTGTTCGATAACACGGTTGGCAGCGGACTGACGGTGCCGAGACACCAAGAATCCGTACAAACGGGGGACGGTGGCAGTCAACGTCTGCAGGCTAGTGCTCTTGGAGCTAATTTCGGACTGGAAGCGCTCCATGAACAGATACTCCATGGTAAGCGTAGAGTAAATCTCATTCAGAGTGACAGTGGAATCTTCGCGGACGCGGAGGCTGTACTCGACCTGGGCCAAGAAGGCCAGGTTCTCTCGTTTACTGGAAGTGATGTCGAAGCCGAAGAGAGACACGTTGGAAGAGTCCTTCAGGATCATCTGGCGATAGAGCTCCTGACTCAATTCCTTGGCTCGGTGAATCTCACCCGCCTCAATGTAGCCGGATACAATGCTCTTTGCTGCCGCCGTCAACTGGGTGGCAGAGGTATGTGAAGTCAGGATTTGAGAGGTCGCTTCCTGTAAGATCGAAACAGTCTGGTGCGTTTCCCCACGCTTGGTGTACAAGGAAGTGAGCTCCTCCATCTGAGACAGTGCCTCCTCATGCGCCCATCCCTGTGTGGACCGGATGGAAGACAAGTGGCGGGTGCGGACGGACACCCAGTTCCGCACTTCTGACTCGGTCATGGACGAGAATTCCTTCTGGACTTCGACTTTCTCTGATTCGGTCATAGTGTCCAGTGTGGCACGAATGTCATCATAGTCAATTTCCACCTCAGTGGACCTAGTATCAAGGAGCGTCTTGTAAAGCTGAATTGCCTCATGTTCGTATTGCTTGGATTCCTGGCAGATATGGGCCAGTGTCTTGGTCGCTTGGATGGTAATCGTAGCGGTGGAGCCAAACAGACTGATGCACGACTTACGATACTGGACAGTCACATCATGAATAGAAGCAGTGTCGCTCTGAACCATGCGCAGGCAGTGGACATAGCGTTCATAAATGGTCTGCACAAAGGCTTGGTCCTGGAGCTTCGGGCTGATCTTCGGGTTTTGGAGCGTGTTGAACAACACGCGGCAGGGCTTCAGTGCATCACTGTACCGGCCTTGATTCAAAAGCTCCGTAGCAACCACAAGTAAGGGCTCAAATGCATCTGGGTGGCATGTCTCGGAATCCTTGTTCAGAATAGAAACTATCTGGCGGTAATAGTCAACAGCCACGGGCCGGGGACGGGTGAGCTCCGCCAAGGTCCACAACTCCTTCAGAACGGTAGGGTGACTTCCACCATAACGCTTAGTGTAGTCCTGGAGCTTGTCCTGATGAATAGTGATCACCTTCTCTGTTTGATAGGTACGTTCGTACAGACGCAACAGGCTAGTCGTCACTCTCTCAAGTAGCTTATCACCGGCAGGTCGGTCACGCCGAACAGCGCGATAGAGACGCACACGAATATCTTCTTCCTTAAGCTGATAGCGTCTGGACCGATAGCAGTTGCTCAGGCGCTCCGTTAGCTCGATAGCCCTATCTAGGTTTGTCGAGGGAAGGACGACGTCATCCAAAGAAGGGGCGAACAAGGCCGGCCAAACGCTACGCAGAAGCCGTTTCAAGACCTTGGTCGCATCCTGCCACCGGTGCTGAGACAAGTACAGTTCTAGCAGCTTGTTGGAAGCCTTGACGGTAACTTCATCGGTACTGGAAGATTGGTACACAATCTCCTCGAGGCTGGACTCAGTCTGGAACGACTCGAAGCTAGTGCTCTGCATGATTTCCCGACTAGTGGACCGGATGTATTGCTCGGCTTCTTGGTAAGTGGAGCTTTGCCGAGTGCTGTTCCGAGAGATGTGCTTGAACACATTGAGAGCTACTCGGGACAGCCCAACCGATTTCATGAGGTGCGCGACTTCAAGGAAATGAGACACTACTGCCTCTGAGCTTGAAGTAGTTTGCTCATACTCCTCCCAGAAGCCCTCAAGAATGGAGGCTGCCTCAGATTCTCGCGTCTGAGACTTGAGGAACTTGGAATAGGCTATCACTGCTCTCACATTTCTCAGCTCCCATTCGCTAGAGCGATTGGCCCGGTACTCCTTGCTGGTGTGCTGCCAGAGCTCAACATAGAGGCTTTCTGCCTCCCTCCAATGTCCCGCAGCCACGGCCTTCTCCGCCCGACTGAAAAGGCTTTCGACATCCACAGTCCAAGAGATCAGTTCGTCTGTTTCAATGTTCTCCCAAGTGAGGGTTTTGCCTTGGTCGTTAGTGTCTTCACGACCTCGGATGTGAACCAGCAACGATCCGTCGACCTGCCGAGTTGTACTGTGATTCTGTGTGTGATGCTTTTCTGTCGTGGTTTGGAGCCATTTTTCAATTTCCTTGGCTTTGTATTCTTCCTTGATGGAAATGTAGTGCTGGGATAGCTGGGTCAATGTGGATGTCACTATGGTGCTTGTGGCTCCGTAATGGATCTTGTAACATTCCACAAGCAGCTCGAGCATCTGAACACGCTTAATCATGACGTCCGTCTTAGACTCGACGACCTGGTCTGCAGTGGTTTCCAAGTAGAACTTGGTCATCTGCATTGTGATGAGGTGGCTTTCGGACAGCACATCCTTACTGATCACCGCCGCATCATAGAATATTTGACTAACTTGGGCAGGCAAGCTATCATGAATGCGTCGATAGAAGAGGGCCTGGCACAGGATGGCTTGCAGGGTGGTGGGGTGATTGGTAGTCAGGATCTGGCGGTAGAGACGCGTCTGGGTCTCGTGCAGTGACTTCAGCGCTGGGGTTGACTTGCCCTCCCATACAGTCATCTCCAGCAACGGAACCGTGGGAGATGTCGGAATCACTGATCTTAGTTCATTTCCAGCTGTAGCGATTTCCTTGTCAGTGGTGCAACCATATGCCAGACAGGCGTGGTTCACCCAGTACCGAAGGGCGAAATCCAGAAGTGGGTGCTTGTCCAGATAGGTCTGAGTAACCTTCTCATCCAAGGGACTCAAAGACGGGTCATGGCTCTCATTCACGGCTTGTTTGGTGTAGAGCAGAAGCCTCTGCGTCAAATCGCTGTTTCGGTTCTTGATGGCTGGAAGGAACTTCTCCCTGGCAAAGATGTCCAGGATGGCAGAGCGGATCTGTCCATGTCTGAGGAAGACCATGTTATTCTGGATAAACACCAACGAGGCAACAGGCTTAAGGGTATGCTGGATATCAATCTCTCGCTCGGTATACGAGGCCTTGTTTAATTCAATGGATACCAGAGATGTTAATTCGCTCTTTCTGAGTGGGCGAACAGCAGTTGCGAGCCATGTTAGGATCTTCTTTCCATCATCATTCAATTTCGAATGCAGAGACTGGGAGACCAGATCGGTAACACTGTATCCCGCGTTGGCTATACTTTGGATCGACCTCGTCAGAGAATTTGCGTTTGTTGGATGCTCATCCCGAACACGCTTTGCAGCAAGCTTGGCCCACAGGAAGGAGCCCTGTGATGCCTCTGCAATCCGGGTCACATTGAGCTCTTGGTCATCTTCGGACATATAGTTGAAAGCGTGGCTCTGTTGCAGGATTTTACGTGCCACGGCGGAAATATCATCGAAGACCAGCTCTGGAGTGACGTTCACCGTAGTTTGAGATGGGAATTGACTCGGCTTCTGGGAGCCAAAGACAATCAGTTTCACGTTACCGGCGTTCTGAACAGCCTCTTGAAGCTTCCTTAGCAAAGGTGTTTCGCCACAACTAGCCTCGTCAACGCCATCGACGACCAGAACAAGTTCTTTGGCATTCTTGAGACTGGCATTGAGTGAATTGCCCAAGGCATTCCAGAGAATGTTGTCGTACGCATCTTCGTCGACAGTTCGCTGGCTCCGCTCATAAGCATCGGCTAAGATCTGGTACAACCTCACATTGCCGATGCGTTTGCCAAACAGCTGGGACAGGATCGTCTTCGCAATAGCCCGCGGTGTAGTATTCGCAGCCACCCGGCCATCTGTATGGCATATTAGACACGCTCAATACCATATGATCCATTTATACTCACTAATTGGCGCAAAGATTGGCTTGTAGGTAACACCTCCGACCGGATGCTGTAAATGGTCGTTGATGACCGTTGACAGGATTGATTTACCAGATCCCGGCTTTCCTACGAAGGAAAGGACTTGCTGGTTGCTTTTGAGAAATCTGGTCAAGTACTGAGACACCCAGAGACAGGTTGATTCTTCACGCTCCTGAGCAAAATGAGCAGTGTTCTCGGTGATATTTGTGAGAGCTGGATCCTCTGGCTCAAGCCAGCTTCTGATAGTCTTTATCTCGGTCACTGCGGTGATTATCGTCAGTAATCTAAATCACCACTATTTTGAGAGTTTTCGCAGACCTTTATCACCGTTTAGACCCTCGCGGACAAGTTGGTGTCTCCACATCAGGTCAGAGACGGTCTCGCAGCGACTGTGAAAGCTGCTGAGCGACTCGGAAAATTGATGGTAGATGTCAATTTCCACCGTCTGGGAGTTCTGCAAGGCGCGGTTGAAGTGACTCGCAACGCCAGCAACCAGAGTAACAAGGTCAGCCAATGCCAAAATCAGCTGGTCCTTGATATCCTTGGACACATCGAAGAGCTCTGTTCGGTCCAATAAGTTGCCGAGTCCAGTCGAGCAGCGGTAGAAGAACCCGAAGAGGTCCTGAAGGGCGGACGCATTTTGCCCTCCGAGCTAGAAACCGTTATCAACCATCCATTATATATTTGTGATGATAGAATGTGAAAGGCCTGACACATACCTCCAGTAGATTAGCACAGTACACGTAAGCCAGCTGAGCCGCTGTGTGGCTGTCGCCAGCGAAGTGTCCAATGGCTGAATCGAAGGAATGCAGACGTCCCACGAACAGAACAGCCCAGACCAGGGCCTTGTCGTAGCTGCTTCCCTCGGGAGGTAGCTTCCCCATACGTTCAGCTCGGATCCAGTTCAGCAATGTCTCGTAGTCGGCATCGTTGATTTTAGATGCTATCATTGCATCGCTGCTCCGTCGGGTGAGTGTGTTAACCACATCAGCTAGTGCAGTGTTACCACTGCTGCTGACTCTTCTCGACACATGTCTGGAACTTCCAGATTGAAAGCTACTGTTAGAATAACTCTCTTGCTCCAGAATATTTGAGGCCTGGCGCCTGCCGAAGATAGAGCTCGCAGACAGGGGTGACCCAAAGGTGTAGTGCACGTTAGGTTGGAAGGAGGTGGCCATTTTGGGGATGCTTTGATTGGATTATTAATGAAACGGGGTCAACAGAAATATTAAGTATTAAATGATAAAAAGGCTAACAACAGTATGAGCTGAACGTCATCTGAAGGTTAGGAAGTCTCTTAAGTGATGAACATTCAGACAAATGTCGGTTTAACCTCGGTTGGTTGTCACACAATAGCAATTAGGCTTGTATTTTTCAACGCGATCTTGAATCATGATTCTCAAACAATCAGAGTACATCGTGCTCATTTTTATATCTTCCATAGCCTCATCTTCACGGGGTCTCCGTATTCCTCTCACCCAATGCAAGACGTCAACATGAGGTAGACCAGAACTCAAAGGTAGCTAGCTACCCCAGCTTGGAGTAGCAAAGATCCGACATGACCAGTTAGATGTACGATGGAAACTGAAGCTCCCCACTCCAGGTCCCGATCTACGATGGGCCGGCTGGGGAAGCTCTTCTCCCGCGGACTCATCCGATCGTATATTGGTTCATAGCTGTTGTGTAACGACATGACTGCTGTCAAGCCATGGGTCAATAGCGGCCAAGCCGAAGCTGGGACCGAAATGCAACAATGATTGGTGAGTTGATCAACGAAGGTAAACTTTCAATTGGGGTTTCTCCTAGTAAACAGGCTTTCAAAAAGTGGAACAATGGCGATCCGACCGATCGCTGTGATGGCCGGAAACGATCAGCAGAGTCGGACTTGTCGGAAGTGGGTATCCGAGGAGACCTACCTGGAATGTTATAAGTAAAGGTGCAACGACAGGCCTTTCGGGGTGCCCGACAGGGAGCAATGTAACAGTGTTGGAATCGGCTGGTATGGTTTTGATATGCTACGCTGCTGCTCCTAATCGAACCAGCCGGTCGACCACCGCTCATTTTTGGCAGTTTTCTCATAACCCCCTTCCTTCGGCAGCAACAGCGCCAAAGTCTAGAGATCATGCAAGCCCTTCGCCTCGCACAAGCCACATAAGCAAGAGAATGAGTAAAACTCTTCTTGGCCCATATTCCATTGTCTTCGATACATCATAGGGCATTGTTGTTATTCATCGGACAACGTCACCCCAACAGATCGGAGAATTCCGTCGAATCGGGGCTACGCGGCAGTCCGACCAAGATTACGGTTCAGTGGGGCATCACCGCATGCGGCGCCCTCTCGTCCCACTGGAACCCTCCATGACAATGAGACTTGACACTTGTGGTTCTTGAACTTAAGCTTCCGTTGTGCGCCATAGTAGCCCTTGCATGACCGGCCTAACTTTGATTTTGCTCGGCGTGAATCCTTGACGCGACATTATTGCACACGGCAGCTGGCCACCAGTGAAGATCTGAGTGGGTCGGAGCCTTCGTGCCTAGTGGAATCTATCTAGTATCTAGCTGTAAGTGACCTGGATGACTTACTCTTCAGTTTGTGGTGGGCTAGAGTACCATGTGGGAAAGCTAATCGAAGATTCACGAGGCCGCTGAGCTAGAATCGATCGACCCAGTCACTTGGAGTGGTAGCATTCATGATCGGGCACCCCGTCGGAGTAGAGCCGTGGTGCTTCAGTAAGCTAGATGCCTACCGATACTCTTGTTCGAACGGTTGATTTCCTGTTTCGCGTACCAGACGTCTAGGATGGCCTCAATCAGTGGCGATTGCCTCGTGAGTAGACGTGGGTCTTTTCGAGTCGCTGATATATATTTAGCCCAGAACCGTGTGATGCTCGAAAGTGAGCGCGTAACTCTTGTCAGAATCCTGCTACAACTGAAACGTACCGGACCACGGTAGTAGAGCTTGTCGAAACTAGAGTGAAATTGCTATATATACTACGTTCTATTATACTTGACGATTGATGCTCTCTCTAGAGACAAATAGTACTCATCCTATCCACTGTGATGATCGCTGACTAATCACGTAAATCCCGGCCTAATCGGGTAAAAGTGAATTTTTCGGTCGCAATACAGCACGTAATCATAATATTATTAACGTTCTTTACAATCTACTTTAATTTCCCACCTATTGGTATGCAAAACGAATGCTTTCATTTTCTGTCGGGATATATCAGCAACTGAGATTGTTTTGAACGTCCAGATTATGGCGTAGATGATCAGAATGCTCCAGGAGCTTTGAGTACTACAGCCCAGAAAAGTCTCTTTGATATCAGAATGAAGACCGCAGAAACAATGCGGGATGTTCTGATTAAAGGGATGAAGGTTAATATTGTTCAGCCACCAAATGTATAAATGTCACCAACCTTTGCAATACTACGACTACTAAATAAAAGATTAGAATTGATAGATCTTTTTGGCCTTGGTCAAAAAGTTTACGATATCTTCGTCAGTAGTAAACTATAGTTTGGCGCATTCCATCCGTACTCCCTGTGGCCGATGCCGGTGGGTTGGCGTCAGAGGGAGAGGCATGTTCACGTAGTGGTAGAAGTTGCGGGGGCCGATTGAAGATGGAGATTGACTCCCTATCTGCGGGGTTGCCCTTATCCATTCATTCCTTCCAACTTGACTCCACTGTTTTTCCACTTTCGGCAAAAGATACGCTCATCCTCTCACCAGGATAAGACCACCGTGTCGGGCAGCAGGTCGACTCAAAAACAAGCCCATCCATATTCGTAATCTCATTTCCTTTTGCAGTTCTGCCCGCCGTTGACATCCGCACATCTATCCTGCTACGACAATCGATCAAAATGACCAGAACATGGGTTATTGTGGGTGCATCAAGAGGTATCGGCCTGGAGTTCGTTCGGCAGCTAGCAAGCTCTGGAGAACGGGTAATCGCCGCAGTACGCAGCCTATCAAGTGCTGAGCAGCTCTTCGAATTGCTTTCCCAGTATACTCGGAATGGTGCTCCACTAATCACCGTAGAGGAATGCGACGTTACCAAGCCTGATAGTATCGAGGTGAGTTAAAAGTTAAGACATATCCACTGTTGATAAGGGCGGAAGATGACACATGGAACTAGGACTTTTCTCACAATGTCCAAAAGGCCGTGCGAGATGGGGGGCTACGATTAACGAATGTCATTTTGAATGCTGGTATCAACCAGTATCCGAATCGTGCTACAGAGATGTACGCCTATCGTCCATGAGACACGTATATAACCTTTACTCACATAGGCTGTTATATACTAGCTCTTTCCAGTCCTTTACTCACCACTTGCAAACCAACACAATTGGCCCGATAATTGTCGCCCAAAGGATGCTTTCCATCGACCCGACCACACCGTTAGAGAAAATTATATTCATTTCCTCTGACTCCGGTTCAGCGAGCCAATTCCGAAGCCACGAAGACGGATTTGCCGTATATGCGGCGACTAAAGCAGCCCTCAATCAATCATTGAGGCATATGGCGGCGGAAATTTCGCGGAAGGGTGTCCGGGCGTGCGTGTTGGCGCTGCATCCGGGCGAGGTGGAAACGTGAGTACCCTTGTTATCGGCTATTGATTTTCACCTGCCCTGGTTGTTGGTTGTGTTTGCCTGAAGTGAGATCTGTTGCGCTAATTGGTTGCGGCAGTGATATGGCGAATGTGCAGTTGGATTGGATAGTGGAAGGTGTGATCCAGCCGAGAGAGAGCGTGGAGGGGATGCTGAGGGTTATTAAGGAGAAAGGTGAAGGGGACAATGGGTCGTTTTGGTGTTGGGATGGGAGAGTGAGTATCAACGCAACCATTCGTCTAGAGCAGAGCCTTTCTAACAGTGAACAGAGTCATCCATGGTGATAGCCTAAAGAGGGGATGTGACTTGCGTTGGCGATTTCATCAAAAGAGTTTTGCCGTGGCATTACCAGGAAGTTTAGATATATGTCCCTGCAGTTAGAGTAATTTTAGGTGCCAGGCTGGTAAATTTTTCGTCTGCATAGAGAGGGTAGGAAGTTCTGATACGTGTCGTAGTTGGTGTCTCCTGGTTCTATGTGCTCTGAACTTAATAGCCAATATAAGATTGCTTCCAACGACGTAGCAGTAGGCAACGGTAAGAAGGTAAACATCTGATCAAAAATGAACTGGTAAGCATCCACAACTCTTCCTTCATGAAACATATGCCCTGTTACATTGGCTTTGCTTGGTAGAATAGAGTTCTTAGTGCCAAACTCATATTCAGCTACATATGGGTAGCTTATTAGTAAGGGTTTATGCATGATACGGAACGGATGATAGGGGAATGGTACTATGTGACGGAGAAAGAAGCTTGTTGAAATATACTACGACTTTAACAGCAGACGTAGGTCTAAAGGAGCATTAGGTCCGGGTATGTGTGCCCTTCAACATGTATGATGCATCTTGTGCACTCCCAACACGAAAACTCAGCAACAACCGGGAATGAGGCGGGTTACAGGTTGGCAGATCATTACTTTATGTATCCATTTACCCCCATGTTAAGGGTTCAAACCTACAAGGTATTCGTGTTCCCGGTGATTTACTAAGGTGGCTCTCCGAAATCTGATGGTCCGAGGCTCACCGACTCAGCCCTGTTGGCTTCTAATCTACCCAACCCACTCGCGCACACATACACATACGCATTACAATTCATGCCTACAATGACGGAAACATGCATCAAGAAATCCGCCACCGAGTATCGGAGCTTGGACCCCGTCCCCCCGGCAACAAGCGGCGAGTCGGCGGTCTGGCATGCAACGCCTGCCGCTTGCGCAAGTCTAGGTATGCTAACTCACTACAGAGTAGCTTGGCGTTCGTGGCAGATGCAAGGGATAGCGCCCTTCCTGCTCATCTTGCACGTCACTTGAATTGGGTTGCCTCTACTTTATAAACCTAGATGAATTGGTCACCAACATCATTGTAAGCAAGGGTTACTGGTCTGTTGACCACAAGCTACAGCAGCTCAATGGTGTGCTCAGGGGACACCTCTCGCCATGCCCAGCCAATCACCCATGCCGCCCCATGAGCAGCTCCCCTACGCGGAGAGCAGCGGGGCGTGCTAGCGGTCTGGCTGCTGACAGGTTACAGTTAGGTGAAGAGAATGGAAATAAGATTTCTTTTTTACGGTATTAGTCGAGCAATCGAAGAACCAATAGGAAATCAAGTTCAAGGTTCCAAAGCTGTAAAAGTAAGGGACTCTAATTCTTTGCCTTCTGAAATGCCAGATGATGCTTTGGCCAGCAGCAAATTGGTCAAGGGCGATGACAGATCTACTATTAGGAATGCTGGCTTACTTTTATTTCCCCAGATCTCCTTTCCCACGTTCCACGGATGTATAAGTATCACTTGTACCCTGGAAGAGTGTAGTTTGAAGCCTTTCGAATCACCATTCACATTCCTCACGGATATTTAGTCCGGCCACTTAAGATTTTAGCAAAGCTCTGAATATTCCCCCCAAGCTGTCTAGATATCATCTGTGACTGGCATCCCGTCATGTCGTCCAACCCTGCGCCCACTGTCCTTACTCAGCTTCCGCTCGGAGAGGGCTCCCGTACTCGGTACAGCGATGTCGAGTTGCGTGACTACTTTGAGTGCATTAAGCTCCCGCAGAAGTATCTGGACTCCCCTGTGCTAAAAGACGCCACCCAAGCCAGAACCAAAGAGCATGGGCTGCCCTTGCTGCAGGCCCTGACACGCTACCATATCTGCAATGTGCCTTTCGAGAATCTCGTACTGCATTATTCCACACATAAGACCGTCACACTTGATCTGTCAGAGCTCTACACCAAGATCGTTCGCCGCCGGCTTGGCGGGCGATGTATGGAAAACAACACCTTTTTCGCCACGGTGCTTCGCTCCATCGGCTATGAGGTACGCAACTGCGGAGGTCGCGTGGCGCGGGCAATGAGTCCCTACCCAGAGGTCCGGCGCAATCAGAGCAACACTTATGAGGGGTGGAACCACATGCTCAACCTTGTTCGACTGGATGCGGAGTGGTACGTTGTAGATGTCGGCATGACCAAGGGTCCCAACCTTCCATATCCGCTGCGCGACGGATTCCAGACGACCAGCATCGCCCCACGTTTAATTCGCGTGCAGTTACGCCCTATACCCGAGTCGTATGCGAAACATTCTGCCAATAGCACCGGACCACCGAGGATATGGTGCTTCGATGTCTGCTACAACCCAGCGGATGCGGCCAAGAAAGAGTGGTTGCCAGTCTATTGCTTCACGGAGACAGAATTCTTGCCCCAGGACTACGAAGTCATGTCCTGGTTCACATCAACACACCCGCGATCCTGGTTCACCAGATACGTCACCTGCACAAAAATGCTCATGGACGAGGATAAGGAGGTGATAGTGGGCAATGTCACCTTGTTCCAAGACACGGTGAGAGAAACAATAGGCGCCAATACTAAGGTTATCAAGGAATGCAAGACAGAAGATGAGCGCTTACAAGCGCTGGCTGAAATCTTTGACGTGCATTTGACAGATGAGGAGAAGAAGGGGATTCCAAACGATCGGAGATTAGCATGAAGTCTAGGATGAGCGTACCCAGGCGATACTACTTGTTTTGCTCTCTATTAAAGGCAAAAGGAAATGTATTGTCTTGTTAGATGTCTCGGTTGAAATTGCTTCTTCCCGGGAGCCCTAATATCTATGCATTCGTGGTAAGCGCATACCCACTTGCGCAACATTATATATATATCTTCGTTCCTCTGTTTGATTACTAAGATCCTCATGGACGAGTCCAGGGTTGTCGCTGGCAGGCCTTCCGCCATAGCTGTTTAGTCCTAAGTGTACGTGTCAAGTCTGCCTTCCCTACTTATGGAGAGTGGAATAGTTAGGTAGGCTTCGTGTTCGATATATCACCTTTGATTATAATGTTTCGCACTACATATGTTACTATAAAGAGAAGACCAGTACATACGACCACAGGGTGTGGAAAACAGGGCTTCCCGTCCGCTCAGCCGTACTTAAGCCACACGCCGGGAGGTTAGTAGTTGGGTGGGTGACCACCAGCGAATCCCTTCTGTTGTATGTTTTTCTACTTTATTTTTTTTCTTGAAAAATCTCTGCGGGTCAGATTGCTTCGTTTCCATGCTTTCCTTCTTGCCCAGAAATTCCACAGGTCGCACATCTGAAGTAGGCCCGCCTGCCTTTATTTTCCCCTGGCCCTACATTCTTGCACTCTTCCACTGAATGAACGTCAACATCACACCTACTTCCTGCTGCATTTCACTAATTATCAAGCATGTCGTGGTGATGATGCTTGCACGCTAGCGTTATATTAACATCCACTCTCTCGCTGCCTTTGGGTCTGTCCCGCCAAAGTCCTCCACGTTGTGTAACCCACTGGCCGGCGAAATCCGATGCCCATCGTGATGACACAATTTGTAGCATCCCATGGGCCTGAGGCCTACCGCCCCGAATCAACATGCCATTTCGTGGCATCATGTCGTAATAGTCAATGTCGGCATCTCCGAGTCGTTCCTACGATGCTGTTTAGTCACTCGAAATGATAATTATCATGTCGATATGGTCTACCAGAGCCCTCCACCCTGTTACGGACGCATACATGACACTCGCTACATACTAGAGGCCTTTCATTGGAGAATGCCCATTTCATACTAGCAGGAGCTCTGCAACCCATCACTTATATTCAAGGTGCAAGACATAATCGAAGCAGGAACACCAATTGATCGGGCCTATTTCTGTCACGGATTGCGTGAGCTATTGTTGCAAAAAGACTGGTACTGTAATAGTGGACTGTATTTTCGAGGCCGGATCTGCATCCTACTGAACGTATACAAGAAAGTCTTTCGGAAAGCGTCTAATCATACAGTATGCGTTTTAAATACAAGCCCAAAGACTTATCATATTGTTGTTCCGTAAATCATGCTAATAGGAGCAGCCCTAGTGTTCAAAGGAACGGGATGTTGTCTGCCTAACAGAATTCAAAGCGTATCTAAGTCAAAATTTTGGTTAAGTTATCCGGGAATAATGGACTCGGCTAGCCAGTCAGGCTAAGATTTACTTATTGGATATAATAATCGATTTTCGTAGCCCCTTTATCAGACCACCAACTGATTTCATTAGCCTCGTCGGCTTGGATTCCATGAAGCTATACACGTAGGTAAATCTGAAACATCTTTCAAGAAAACACAACATTTATCCAGAACAAACCAGGGAGCATGGATAGGAAAGCAAAGAGACGAAGTATGAAAATCTGAAATAAATGCCTAAGGTGCCCAATCTCGACAGTTAGACCCTTCAAACTGGGTCACAGCCGAGTGCCCCCCACCCCCCGAGTCGAGGTTAGAGTACGCGTGGCCTGCGTGGGGTAAAGTCCCGGATGTTTACGGAGTTATGATGGAGTTTAGAAGAAGTAGTCAGTGCTGATCTTGATGGTAAATGTCAGCGGCAGGTAGAAACATTCTGACCCATATTGTCGCCCATCTTGTATGGTCCACCCGATTGAAACGACTACCTTTTCATCACCACATTAGTCTTAATTCTTTATACATACGCGAGGAGGGAATGCCGATTTCTATGTAGCTGGAACCACCTTACGCTGATAATTACAATGATTGGGATAATTGGAGCGAGAATGAAGAAGCGAGAAAATGAATGTAAGGAAAGACACTGTCGGGACTTTACCTTTTACTGAACGAGTTTTGATTAGATGTGAAACAAGTAAGAGTTAAGTGAGCGATCCTTGAAATGAAGGAAAAGGAAAGAACAAGACATAAAAACATTATTCTCCTGAAGATAATCCGACCTTCTCTGGATAAGGGGTCGAGTTTCCCCTTTGGGCATCTCAACAAGAACCCACTGTCAATCCTCCCAAGTCCTGTCAATCTCGAGCATTCCACTTGGGCGCCGAGAACTCCCTGAGAAACCGAGATCGGAGGATGATATGATTGATATGATGCCTGATTGATATGATCGTTGACATCGACCCATCGGCTTGGTGTTTGCCGATAAGTTTGCCGTAGCAGAGGCTACGCTGCCGCCGATCGTCAGATCGAATGCAGGAACCATGTACGGGTTGAGTCAGTCACCCTAACAATTGGCTTGACGTTGAGGTGGATTCTATGTGTATTATCTAAGCGGGCGAAAAATCCCCGAGGGACCGGGACTACCCAGTTTCCGGTGCCTTGTCTGGGGAAAGCGCGTCGATTTCGTACCGCATTTGCACAGGGTCCAGTGGGGAATCTAGGGTTACGATCACGACTCGGCCTCAAATGAGAAATGCGAAATCGGCTCCATCCGCTGCGTGCTGATTACAAACACAGGACTAATGACCCTGAAAAGATCCACCAAGGATTTAACTCTCAGGCAACTACATTTATTTGTGACCAAAACCTAGTTTCATGCATAAATATGTTCAAATTGCACACGACAAACAGATTGTTCACAGAGGAATTGGAGGGAGACTAAATGAATGATTGACCTAAAATTCCTTCTTCATGCTATATCCTCGATTGGTAAGCAAAGTTAAGAATTGGGGAGTTCGTGCCAGAAAGTTGAGTAAGGAATCGCGCCGATGGGCTCCATGATCCGCGGCTATTGACCGGCTTACATGTCTTGGCGCTACAAAGAGAAAACCATTTGCATCGTTAGTTGGTCAAACTCGGTTCAGATCGGCGTCGTCTTCGACCAGCTAGATTATATGGCGGGGACTGATCAAATTGTCTAAGCCACTTCCTTGCCAACCGAGTGTCTTCGACTTTCTTTTTTCTGCAAACGCGTCTGGCTAGTTAATAATGACTAGACGGACTGACTGCTCGGTTCCGTGCCACCAGGGGTCGGGAAGCCGAAAAGTGCGCTATTGCACCCAATCTGTAAAGACGCTGTACGATGCAGAACAGACCCATCTTTAGCCTTGGTTGCTCCAATCATGACATGGGAACTATCGGAAAATATAATCTGAGTTCAATGGATCTGTTTCGTCGCTAGAATATCGGAGTAAATGGGCCCAACCCCTAGCCATCGGGTTAGACGGAGGAATTCTTCTTGTTGGGTACAAGATTGACCTGATCCCCTTGGCCGCTGAACAACATCTTCTTTTGTCAAATCTTGTTGGTTGATTTTAATCCAAAATGAGGTTTTTAGCTTCACCTGCAGTGACGATTGCTGCTGCACTTCTGTTGATCAGCGGTGCAGAAGCAACTCAATCTGAACGAAGCCGGGCTGTCGCTCATTTTTCTAAACGTCATCCAACATATCGTGCTGCCACCAGAGCTCAGTCTAGCAACACTTCTGACTACCGCTTCTTCAATAATAGGACTAAACGTATGCGTTAAACCCGCCCTGAACTTTATTCGTGACTGACATATGTTGACCCCTGGATAGCCCACTTGGTGGAAAGCTTACCTGATGTGCACTTCGATCTTGGGGAGATGTACTCAGGGTCGATCCCTATCGATGACAGCAATAATGGGTCTCGATCTTTGTTTTATATCTTCCAACCTAAGATAGGCGAACCATCGGACGATCTTACCGTTTACCTCAACGGAGGGCCAGGCTGTTCCTCCGAACAAGGCTTCTTCCAGGAAAACGGGAGGTTCACTTGGCAGCCTGGTACCTATGCACCCGTCATTAACGAATATTCTTGGGTCAACTTGACGAACATGCTATGGTATGCTACTGCCCAAGGACGCTACTTGGACGCATTCAGCCTGTACACTGTGTGACTAACTTGAGGCGATTAAGGGTTGACCAACCAGTCGGAACCGGATTTTCTGTAGGCAATGTTACAGCCACCAACGAAGTCGAGATTGCCGCCGACTTTCTCAACTTTTTTGCAAAGTTCGAAGACCTATATGGGATAAAGAATTTTCGCATCTTCATAACCGGAGAGAGCTACGCAGGTCGATATGTTCCTTACATCTCGTCGGCAATGCTAGATAGAAACGACACCACGCGTTTCAATTTGAGCGGTACGAGCCCCATCTACCCATAAGCTTAGTGGACTACTCCTGACTCTTCAACCCTCTCTAGGAGCCCTCCTCTACGATGCCTGCATCGGCCAATGGGACTATATCCAAGCCGAGCTCCCTGCCTACCCCTTCGTCAAGCAGCACGCTTCACTCTTCAACTTCAACCAGTCCTACATGAACGAGCTCGAAACCACCTACGAAGAATGCGGCTACAAAGCATACTTCGATGAGTACTTTGCCTTCCCTCCAAGCGGCATTCAACCTCCCAAATACATGAATTATTCCGAGTGCGACATCTATAACATGATCTACTACGAAGCTTACAACCCGAACCCATGCTTCAACCCCTACCGTGTCATCGATGAGTGTCCACTTCTCTGGGACGTTCTTGGCTGGCCGACAGACCTAGCCTATGAACCTGCGCCTTCTACCTACTTCAACCGCGCGGATGTGAAAAAGGCCCTGCACGCCCCCATGGATGTGGAATGGGAGCTCTGCAGCACTGACCTCGTCTTTGCCGGCGGTGATTCCGACCCCGGTCCGGAGCAGCAAGGGGACGACTCACCCAATCCCACCGATGGGGTTCTCCCGCGCGTTATTGAGGCGACCAACCGTGTGCTTATTGCCAACGGCGACTGGGACTATCTGATCATTACGAACGGAACCCTCCTCGCCATCCAGAACATGACCTGGAACGGCCAGCTGGGTTTCCAGTCTGCACCTGCCACACCGATCGATATTAAGATGCCGGATCTCCAGTGGAATGAGATATTTGAGGCTCAGGAGGGATATGGAGGGTTGGACGGGCCGCAGGGAGTTATGGGCGTACAACACTATGAGCGCGGGTTGATGTGGGCGGAGACTTATCAGTCGGGGCATAAGCAGCCTCAGGATCAGGGCCGTGTGTCGTATCGCCATTTACAGTGGTTGCTGGGTCACGTTGAGACTCTTTAGTTTCCCACTTCGGAATAATTGAGTTCAGTTTTATTTGATAATGTCTGAACTTCCCCGGACATGGGTCTCCTCTATATGATGTTACAATAATTTCAAAAGTTGGATGGGCCATCCGCCTGTCATTCATTTCCAGTGTCCTCTCCCTACCCACCGCCTACCTTTAGCAGTTATAAGGCGTGCCTGTCAGTAAAAATATGGCATGGCGCTAGAAGCTAGAGAATTGCGTTTGGTATCTGCATCTAAATACTGGCATTAGGCTTTCGAGCTAATAGTGGTTACTGCCCCGAGTGCGGTAGAGATACTGCCGCAGTCGTTTTGCCGAGGCCGACCAGCATCTCCGCAAGTTGAGTCATCGCAAAGGAATGATCTAAATAGTACCTTGTTAATCACTATCAACCAATCCACACAACACGAAAATGGCTTCTAGTGATGCATCTGTCGTTCCCTTTGGGGAAACGATGCGTGAGCAATTTCTCTTCGACCCTAAGTTCCTAAATCTGAACCACGGTAAGAACGCCCACTATAGAGCTTACCGAGCGTTGTAGTAACAAACATTGACACAACCACGCCGATAAACTCCAGGCTCATTTGGAACGTATCCTGCCGCAGTTCGCACCGCCTTGCGCCAATTTCAGGATCAAGTTGAGGCGCGACCAGATCCATTCATCCGCTACTCCACCCCCAAAGAACTAGATGTCTCTCGGGAGGCGGTCGCAAAGCTCCTGAATGTTCCCCGGAGCGAGTGTGTCTTCGTCAAGAATGCAACTACGGGGGTGAACACCGTCCTCCACAACCTGCCTTTCAAGTCAGATGATGTCATTATCTACTTTGAAACCGTTTACGGCGCTCTCGAAAAGGGTATTGTATCCTTTATCGAATCTAGGGCCGCTCAGATTCGTAAAGTCCGATATGAAATGCCGATTAGTCACGAGGACCTGGTGGAGCGCTTTCTCCAGGTTGTTCGGGAAGCGCGGAGCGAGGGATTGAATGTGAAGCTTGCTCTATTTGATGTGGTGACTAGCTTACCCGCTGTGCGGTTCCCCTTTGAAAGGCTCACTGAAGTTTGTCGCGAAGAAGGCATTCTCAGTTTGATTGATGGTGCACACGGTATTGGACAGCTGCCGTTGGATCTCGGGAAACTGCAGCCAGATTTCTTCACGAGTAATTGTCATAAGTGAGTTTCTGCTCAACTTCATTCCCATTACTTCTTTTGATTGGGCTTATCTGTGAACTCTCGATAGATGGCTTTTCGTCCCCCGGAGTTGCTGCGTGCTTTATGTCCCAAAACGCAACCAACATCTGATTCGAACCACCATTCCCACCTCCTGGGGCTTCATCCCGTCCGAAGACTCTCCTGCGACGGCCCCTTCCGTCATGAAGAGTGATGATGCTTCAAAGAGTGCATTTGAGAGTCTTTTTGAATTCGTCGCTACCAATGATGATACGCCCTACTTCTGTGTTCCTGCTGCGTTGGAATTCCGCGAGACGATCTGTGGTGGTGAAGCCCGTATTTACGGATACCTGGAAAGATTGGCAAATGAGGCTGCCGATATTGTTGCTGCGACGCTTGGAACAGATGTTATGGAGGAAAGGGGCCTACAACCGGGGGAGCAGAGCAATCTCAGGCGATGCGCTATGGCCACCATCCGGTTACCGTTCACTTTCAGGGAGGATTTGGCAGCTTCTGATTCTTCTGCTACGCTTTTGAAAGCGGACGAGGCTGTGGCAGCGGTCAGATGGTTCCAAACCACACTAGTGGAGGAGTATGGGACATTTGTTCCCCTGGTTGAGCACGGGGGCTGGCTGTGGGTGAGACTTTCTGCCCAGGTTTATCTCGAGCGGAAGGACTTTGAGTGGTTGGCTGAAGTCCTCAAAGTGCTCTGCCAGCGATACAGGACTGAAAGGTGTCAGCGAAAGTGGGCCATTCCTCAGTAGCAGCTTGAAATAGATCCTGAAAGCTTTTAACTTCCCAGCCATGTTCCAGAGTATGCGAGGGCTGTGCACCATACAAAGGATTTATCTCATATATACCGATCTACGTAATTATTCCATGTAAGCTGTATAAATAAGGAGTGCAACGGTCATTCTTTCCTAGACTCTCATCGAACTCCGGCCATTCCAATCAAATTACCATATTTCAGCGTATCAATCGTTGCGTTGTACTGTTCCGACGAAGGCGAGGTGGTCAGGATCATCGCCGAAACTCCATCATCGCCGCCCGTGACAAAGTGTTCGCGCAGAACCATGGTCAGCGGCGATGACCGGAACGGAATCCGGGCTTGCTTCCGGGCCATAGCCCGAATGACTTCTTTCAGAGCAAGAAGATCAGTATTGATCTGTCTGCTCTCCTGCTGCTCCTGGGGAGTCTGTTTTGTCCGCATGGTGGACACAGAACCCTTGTCATGACAGTACTCCGAGCCGGCAAGATCCACAAACACCATCTTTCCACCCAGGCAGGCATGGGGACAGGTCTTCTTCACTTCTAAAACATACTCTTCTGCCTTCTGAACACGCGACTCATATTCGGCTTTCTTTGCCTCGGCCTCATCTATCGCTTTCTGATTGAGTTGGTAATCCGGATTCGGAACATACTTGCCATCCGATGTCTGGATAATGGCCTTCATATTCTCCTCGATGTAGATATCGGTCGCTCGTTTCCCGACCGGAACGAGTTCAGATTGGCGCTCAACGACGGCGTCCCGCGCATCCAGTAGTTCTCTCGTGACAATTTCAACCTCAAACACAGCGTGGGTACGCGAACTCTGATCGTGGATCGTCGATGTGCCCGTCGCCCTACTCTGGATGCCTGCCAGTAATTGAGCGTGGAACTCCTCAAAAGTAAAGCATGGCTTGGTGACGATGGGCCGCACGCGGACTTTCCCGTCGACGAGGGTTTCCGTCTCCCCGCGAACGTGGGTCTTCCCGTCAGCGCCTTCGCGGATATGGCACTTGCATCGGTCGTTGAGCAAGTCAAAGGCAATGTTTTTCCGTAGCTCGTACATGCGGAGACCTAAGAGAAGCGTCTCATTCTCCTTGGTATTCTCATTTAGCTGGTATAGATGCTCGTAGAGCGCTTTTGCAGCTGATAAACAGAGTCCGAACTCGTCTGGCCGCTCAAAATCATACCCGATGATGGTGTGGGATTTCCCACTGCCCGAGTGTCCGTAGGCGAAGAAGTTGCAGTTTTGTCCGCCTAAAACCCTGGGGAGAGTTGGTGCAACGACATGTTCGAAGACAGTTCGATTAGAGTCATCTGCGTTGAATATTTGGGTAAAAGCTGAATCGCTTTTCCAGGGGCGAGAGAGTTTCTGGGATGGTGGTGGTGTTAATGCGATCGTGGTGTTTTGCCCGGGATTGGAGGCTTGGGTTCGGGTGATTTCAGGGGCAGCCGCTTCCGATGGCAGCGGAGGACGCCAACGAGTGAAGACTTTTATGGACGGCATTCTCAGATCTCTTCTTTTTCAGTCAGAAGGAATCTTAATGCTGGGTTGAAAGTGCCTTCAAGCCCCGATCGAAGTACTAGTCTAGCCGGTATCCAGCCATATTACTAATCAATCTGCCTCCAAAATGGCCGGCTATACGGGGCTTTGACTGGCTCTCCTAGTCAGCGGGTCAGTGCGTAGGATCCACATCCACACCAGTCTGTTGTGCTCACGACAACGGGTTACAGCTCATTTTCTCTTTTTTCTCAACCATAAATCGATAGTCATATCTCGAGCTGGCAATAGTTATCTGCGACAATATTTGCTTACGCGTTTTAAATTAGAAAAAATAATTTTAGGGTTCATGCACTAGTCCCTCCAGTCACTGAGTTACTGGAGTACATCTAAGATTACGTTTCTTTTGATAGACGTTTGTTTTGCTGCTCGAGCAGCATCAGCTGCTACTGAAGATCTTGCAGTGCATGTTCGTCACGTGTCGGTTCTGGAGCAGTGAGTGACCTGCCAAGCTCATCGTTGATTTTCCTTCTCTTTTGTGAGCCAGAGGCACTCTTTTCATCGCTGATAGTCGAAGAGCACTGATCCTGGCAGTGGCGAGCGATGCATTCGTAGAACTCCAACCATGAGTGGACGGATGTATCGCAAATTAGACAGAAACGAGGATGGGGCTCTTCTTGTCGGGATTAGTCTATTTCTTGTTTGCTTGCCCACCTTCCATGTTTCGTGGTATAATGATACCGAACTTGGTCACGTCTCTTGGCAATGGGGTTGCGTGCAATAGCATCAGGGCAATGAGAGTCAGTGCAATAATAATGAAACTGAACGGCGTGTTTGGCATGTATATGTTGTAGGAGGTCTTCTCTCCATGTATACAAGCGGTTTCTCTCAGGACACAACCGGCAATACCATTTAGAGTGGAGGGAGGGCACAGTCTGAGGCGAGGCGAATTCCGGCGACAGTGGCCGTTTTTGACTGTCACCATTTGCTGGAGTAATCCCGACACTCTTCAAGCTCGGCTCCCCAAGTTGTTGCTTCTGCTGGTCTTGACCTCGAACTTCATGGCCACCTGACCATGTAGTGCTTGGGGTGAGGGCACAGGAACCTGAGTTTCGAGGTTCGTTGTTCTCAGAATCACCCTGCTTCACAGCAGCTCCAACGGTAGTACAAAGGGCGAGTGGGTGCCTATGAAAAATTTCGCTCAGGAGGAGTGAGACCACTGTCTTATGACCGTAATAAGATGCCCAGTCGAACGGGGTTCGACCTGTTTGATCGATTGAGGTTACTTCAACGCCTTTCTCCATCAGGAGCTTGACCACTCTCTCGTGGCCATTTTCTGCCGCCCACGATAAAGGAGTCCGTCCAATCTCGTCTTTGGAGTCTGGATCAACAGAGTGTACTAGCAGGATCTGTACCACTGCCTCGCAGCCGTTGTAGGCCGCCCACGAAATAGGGGTTCGTCCATCCACATCCTTGGAGTCTGGATCAACACCACCTTCCAGCAACAATTGCACGATTGTTATATGACCTTTGTATGCGGCCCATGATAGAGGGGTTCGATCATCTGCGTCTCTAGAATCTAGATCTGAACCAATCTCTACTAGGAGCTTCACCACTCCCACAAAACCATTCGAGGCGGCTAATGATAGTGGGTACGGCCGAAGGCATCTCTCCAGCCTAGGTCAAGACCTCTCTCAACCAGAAGTTTGACCACTCGCTCATGGCCATTGCATGCTGCCCACGCTAGTGAAGTTCGGCCATCATTATCTTCCGAATCCGACTTGGTACTTCTCTCCAGCAGGTGCTGAGCTACTCCCACGTACCCATTAAAGGCTGCCCATGTCAATGGGAGTCGACCAAACGAGTCGATAGCTTCACACTGTTTCCCCTGTTGAATCATGTACAGCACCACATTATCTAGCCCAAAGTATGATGCAAGATGGAGTCCTGTAAACAATTTGGGAACCTGTTGGCTATAATTCCAGTGAGTTGGAAATTCTTTGCGAGCGAAAAGGCCTTGCACACAGGCTTTAAGCCTGGGTGTATCTTCAAGCAAGGTTACTATCAAGCTTATTCCCGTTTGTTGTGTCCGAACATGATGACCCCAGTTTCTCGCTGCATAGGAGAAAAGGGGGTATGTGTCTAATCGCGCTTCAAAATCCATGTCGGTGGAACAGGGGCCTGCTTTGAAGGGGTTGAAAGAGAGGTATGTGACACAAGCTGTCGCAATGCCGTGATGTGCGTTTGAGAACCACCTGGTCCACGTTCGTTGGAAGAATTCTTGTGCTGTATAATGTACCAATCGAATGACATCACTTTCTTCGTCAACTGTGACCAAGCCTGCACAGACAGAGATGATGTCATCCAGAAACGGAATATTGTCTTTGTCGAATTCTGACTCTGCTTCTACAGCAAGTGCATGTTGAAGTTCTAATGTATTGAGCGGCCTCGTTGCACCGTTGATCCACGATAAAGCATCGTGTGCAAGCTTCCGGGAATCCATGTCCTGCCCTTCAATTCGCTGCATCGCATCTTCGTATGCATCATTGTATGCTTCAGACCCCTTTGCAAGGCCTTTCAGAGCCTCTTTTACTCTTTTCGTGGTTTTTTTCGATTTCACCGCGTCGAAGTGAAGCTGTGCTAGCAGAAACCTAGATAACTGTTAGGTTGTTCAGTCCTACTCGAACAGGGGAAGTTACTGACATTCCATCGACAGCTTTCGTGATTTCAGTTTGAATCTCTTCACTGTGAGAGGCTAACAGCCTTGATTCACATTGCAATATCCTACTCCTCAAATATTCACGAACATCTTGATCATGTGCACGGATTTCCAGTGTCATGCAGTCGTTGAATCTCTCAGTGATCTGCGGAATGAATCTTGAAGTGGCAAAAGTATTTGCACCGCACGTTGCCTGGAAGTTCAGAATCTCCTTGATAAATCTTGTTCGACAGTCATTAGATGTCTGACATTCATCGAGCGCATCGATTATAATAAAGACTCTCGAGTACATAGCACCCACAGATCGGAGTGTCGTTGCAATTTCGTCGAATTCTGGTCGGGTCCGTCTATGTCTATGACGATCATAGAGGCTGCGCACGATTTCTGGGAGGAAAGGCCTGCATTGGCTCAATTGCTTTAGGAGACTTGTTATTAAGCCTTCCGCGCTTTGCTCGTTTTTCCGGCGGAAGTCACAGTAGACATACGCAATTCCAATGGATTTGTCATGTAGGAATCGGGCAGCAATGTCATCAATGACTGCTGCCGTCAATATTGTTTTTCCTGCGCCGGGAATACCGGGACAGAATAATCTCTGCTTGTTTGAGCTTATCCATGCCTGGTATATTGCAGAGTCTAAGAACCACTGCGCAGTCCCTGACTGTCGTCTCCTTAAGATGTCACTGTGTTGAGGACCGTAGTCGATCGGTGTAAGCCATTCAAGGATATCAAGTTCCCCTTTTCTGTCGAAGTTCGACTTCATTGTTTCAACGTTAGTCTCGGTTCTCGATACACACTCCAAGACTATGGGGCCCATTAGAAAACAGCTTTGAACTTGACATGTGGTCTTGGGATAACTAACCGTCGCCAAGCATGTCTTTCACTGGGCGCTCCCCATCAACATCACTTGGCTGGACATACTCCAGAAGCTCCTTTGCATACGCCGCTGAAACAGCTGCAGCATACTCTTGCCAAGATTTAGTCTTATCTGAGTCCGCATAATCGCAAATACCCCGGATCACAACACAAGGAAAGTTGTTCATCAACCCAGCTGCTTCCATTTCAACACACAACACATTCCCGCCGAGGCTCTTGTTTAGATTATCACGGAAATGTGCGTCCTTGATAACCTGGTTACCGGACGCTATTAAACCGTAGTGCACATGTCCTTCTCCGTGTTGGCTTTCTCTAGCGCAATTGTCGGAACCGGACAAAGGATCCACAAGAGAATCACATCTGGTATACTTTGGCATAAGTCTAGGCCATTTCTGCCCCATATCATCCAGATACTGATAGATCTTGGGTCCACTCATCTCATGCATCGTTTCCAGCTTCGTCAATGCCGTCAGCAGTGCCGTCGGGGGGTTATTCAGTACGCCGGTTCTTTTGAAGCCACCCTCTGCTTCTGCTTTGCCCAGATCCCACTGGACCACCCCTGAACACTGACCAACGGGCGTACCGACCACGACGTCCCCGAGTCTGACCTTTGGTGGAATGCCGCCGCCAATACCAACCAGGAGGCCAACCTTAATGGATGGGAAAGTGCCTACCATCCGAGTTGCAACCGCCGATGCTGAATTCGTGCCGTACTGGCCTTTCGGTAAGCAGGCTATAACGATGTTGTGCCTCCCGATGCACCCCAAGGTGTAAGTATTAGGGTCGCTTGGTGGTTTTGGTAGATGTGGATGGATTTCATCTAGCATTGCTGTCGCAGCCGTCTGCTCCTTTGGCAGCGCACATACCCACCCGACTGTGTAACTGTTGTGTTCTAGTTTTGTTGCACGAGGATTGTCGTCGACACTGGAGGTCAGTGCCTTGTTGGTAGCAAGTTTGTTGTCACCGCTAAAGCCATTCTGCCTCGACGGCATATTGGGGTCGGTCTGTGGGTTTTCCATAACAAAGGACCATTCGTGCCTTCGAGCGTATTCTGAACCTGGAACCGGGGAGCTGATGTGGCATTCAGGGTGACGTCGCGACGCTTCGATGCTCAAATATAAGAAAACAGGATATAGCGTACAGTGATGAATGGCGGACTTCTCGAAAGGAAAATGGTATGGACGACGAGACCTGGGGTAAGATAAAGGGAAAGCGACTGCTTCTTGTTGCAGTGGGGTAGGGTAGGGTGGGGGGTAGCCGTGGGGGCGCAGCTCAGCCGCACTGACAAGGCTGGGGGGAAAACTCCCACAGCCTTACATTGGCAATTTTCCAAAGGAATCACTTGGTTTGCAACTGTGCTCACTGCAAAAGCCCCGTCTTGCTCCCCAGACAGGTGGTCTAACACGAAGAGGTGTTTGCCAATTCGACCCGAGCTATATGACACGTCGTTCATGAATGGCAGATGAGAAACAGTCTGATATGCCCTGACGGTCAAGGGTTTGGTGATCCTGGTCCCGTCCACAAGACAGAGCAATGCCGCCAGGGTACTTTGAAAATGAGCTTACTCTAAGCTGTCGACGAAAGGGTTTTTTGCCCAGAGTTTCACTCAATGTTTAAAATAGTTTCTAACTGTTATTGAATGCCAATTTCCAGGAAACCTGACATCTATGTGTATAGTGATATTTTGCTGACATCCAGCTCATACTGGTCAATATTTAGGTCACATTCCCTCATATTCGCTTCAAAAGCTACACTGTCATATCACTCATCACAAACCCACTATGACTCGTAACATCTCCCTCTTCAACCATAAAAGTCGACGTGCCCGTGTAGTATGCCCTCCCCTCCACGCGCACCACCACCGCATCCTTGGCCGGAGCATTTCCACCCTCCACCCGCAATCCCGTCTCTACAATCTCAGCCTCAAACGCGCCCGTCTGAAAGTGATTGGAGACAATCGAGTTGTAAGCCCATCGCTGGCCGACCGCTCTCTCGCCCTTCGCATGCGCCAGCGCCATGCGAGCCGTGACACATGAGCCTGTGGGCGACCGATCGATCTGATTATCAGCGAAGAAACACAGTCCAGTCTCAGCTCCAGCTACGCCGTCTGGCTTATGTCCGACATTCGTGTCCACCAGCATGATGGAGTATAGGTACGATAGTCTCCCGTCTTCTGGATGCTGGCAGGCAGCCAGAATATCAGGATGGGTTTCAAAGTGCGCTTTTAGTCTTTTCATCACCTGTGATAGTGAATCAAGATCGACCTTTCTCAGTCCCGTGGATGCGAATCCCAGCTCGTGCATTTTAATCAACGCGTAGAATGCCCCTCCATAGCTGACATCAAGGGTGATGCTCTCACGCCCTTCAAGCTCGGTCCATCGAATCTCAGGTGGAATAGAAATAGTAAGGTTGGTCGCAGCAGCATAACCTGGTGTGGACAGGAACGAGACCGCGCGCGACGGATCGGACTTGATCCCATCGGTCGTGTCCTTGATCGGGACGGTGATGCGAACCAATCCGCACGGCGCATGCAAGTTGACGACAACTGTTTGCGACGCAGCGTCTACTACCAACTCATTTCCCTTCGGAAAAACAGTCACATCATGGGTATCGACAAGGAATCGACCCAGTGCGATGGTTGCGTGGCCACACATGGTGGAGAAGCCTCCGTTGTGGGTGAACAGAACACCGATGTGAGCTTCACCGGATTCGACCAGTTCAGTGGTTGGTCGGAGAATGGCACCGTACATGTCGTAGTGGCCGCGAGGCTCAAGCATGATTCGCTTGCGAAGGTGGTCATATTGGTCCCGGGCTTGGTCGCGCTGGGAGAGCAATGTCCCGCTGAGGGGAGGAAACCCCGCGTAGACAATGCGGGTGGGCTCGCCGGTTGTGTGCATGTCGATGCATTTGATGACTTCGCCGCTGGAGGCGGACTCTAGAGTGTGGGCTAAATCCATAGTGGGAGTGCCAGAGTTTAGTGTTAGGCTAACCTGTGATGAATAGGACCACTGCAACTGGAGGGATACATGGGCAATAAGTAATGATTGGCTTCGGCTGGCATCCCGAGACTGGCGCGGGGTGGGCTGCGGCCCGATTCACAGGCGCCACTTAGCCGGTTATCAGGCTTTACTAGTACAGAACATGCTTTGTGCATGCTGTCTTGCTCGGACTTATTGGACATGACGCTCATTGGGAAATCCTATTTCGTTCTATTATATAGTCCATCAAAGATCCTTGAACATAAAACACGGCGAACTCGCTAGTCTACAATCCCTTCTCGACCGCATCAGCCATCTCCCCCAAGGTATCAAACTGCCAGTCATAGACTGTCTCTGAAAGATTCCCCATTGTTGCCCCTGGTCGCTCAATCCACACGGACTTCAACCCCATCTTGCGTGCTGGGTGGTGGTCATGGAACTGGCTCTGCGCGGTTTGCAGGACCTGCGCAGGCTCGATGTCAAAGTGCTCCTTGACTGCCTTAAGCAGATATTCGAAGTTCCGGAGATCCGGCTTGTAAGACCCCACATCTTGTGCAGTGACGATGAGATCAAAGGGAAATCCCTGCAAGCTGCCAGCATTTGATTTGGCAAAGGAAGCGCGGTCGACGTTGGACAGCACTACCAGCTTGTACTTCTTGGCCAGTCGCTTTAATGCATCGACGGTGTCCGGGAAGGCGGGCCAGTTGCCGATGGATTCTCCAAACTGGCGGCTTTCCTCTTCTGACGGTTGAGGCAGCCCGAGGCGCTCGGTCCACTGAGGATGGATGGTGGCGAGGAGTTGCGAGTACGGCATGTCGGGGGTCTGTGCTTGTTGCGCGCGCTCCAAGTCATGGTACACAGTGAGGAGGTGTTCGCGGGTGAAGTGGGCGTTGGATTTGTCGAGACTGGGTTGGAAGGCGGCCAGGATGCCACCTTCCCAGTCGACTAGAGTGCCATAGACATCGAAGCTGAGGAGACGGTAGTTGGAGAGTTGCGACATGTCTGAAAACTCGAATGTTGATGGTGAAAGACGAATGATGTGACTGGAGACAGAGAGTTGGTGGAATTCAGTACTAATTTATACTCTGAAGAAATCACCAGGCGGGGTTGGAACGGGTGATGGATGTCCCTCCAGCCGGTCGCCTTTCTTATCAGCCAAAAGGTCGGGGTCCCTTTCCGGCAACAGGATCCGCTCCGGTCGGAGCCATGGCGTTGTCTGAGGAAATCCCTTCTTCCAGAGACTTTTGGCTTTTTTACTGCACCACCAGAAAGTGAAAGAATTCCATTCCATCCACTCCGGGTACCTTCACCCGAGTGGGTCAGGTGGCTGTCGCCGACCGAGGGATTTATGCCTCAGGCATCACAGACGAAGCCAGGGTTCAAGACATTGTTGAGAGGGGCGTTGTGCATGGTCAGCATGCCAGCAAGATCTAACGGAATCAAATAATGTTCTTCATCCAGGACGGGTAATGGTCAGCTGGCCGCCCCTGGCAGGCAGTCTCAACGCACCGGGCTAAGCTGCCCAGGTAGAAATTCCGCCCCGTGAGTCCAGGGCCATAATGGGCGTATTTCCCAGAGTTCGTCATGATTGCATTGAGCGACCGTGGAATAATGGGTTCTGCAATCATGCACCAGCAGGTATCAGTGATGAATTGGACACCAAACCTCTCCAGCTCCTGGACAAGCCCGGCTTGATCAGCCAAGCCGTATGTCGCCCGACTACAGGTTACCATCACCGCCACCCCCTCGCATTTCGTACGCCCCTGGCATAGGGTAGCTAACCGTCGAATTTCTCTCAGTGAGAAATGTGGGTTACCAAGAGAAATGAGATCCACGGTTTGGGCGTCTGATGCAGTGTTCAGTGTATCCCAACAAGGTGTCAGCTCCTCCACCTTCACATCCAGACAAGGTGGGTGGGTTCCAGGTCGGATGGTGGCTTCTATGGTCTTTGCCTCCGGTGTAATACCGACCATGTGGAACATCGGGGCACTTGAGACAGTCGCAAATGCGGCCCCAAACGCCTTGAGGTCATCCCGATTCGGGGCCAGGGATTCAAGGCCCACGATCACCGGGATCTGATTGGTTGCCAGGGTCCCTACATGATACCCGAGGACTGGATAGAAGGAGTCATCGACATGCAAGTTCTCGGTGTCTAGTAACCGAACAATCAATGTAGCTTGGCGGTTCGTATCAATATGCGGTCCTCCTTTAGGGGCGCGGCCAGTGAGAGCAATGGCGATATCGAGGAAGTCGGGATACTTCATAGTACGCGCCCCAAGCACACTGTTGGCATACACCACGGCATTAGATTCTGCCCAAGCAATTTGATCTCCAAGTTTAGGGGCGCTGTCCAGCTGGTAGGGGCTGCATGTAAAAGTTGGCCGCGCACCCATGTCAATATACGTTTTGGCCAACCGGTCGGCCGCTTCCCCAAACGCCACATCTACGCCTTGAGCGCGCCATCGCTTCTGGTCGACAGAGATAGAGTTCAAGGTGGTCGGAACAAGGACCTGACCTCCCAGATCGCGCAGCCTTTCTGCAAACATTAGCGATCCAGGTCCGGTATAGATACAGCCATCGACATGGACCTGGGTGACCGAGATCAATTCGCGAGCCTCTAATAATTCGGACATTCGCAGAACGATCCGCATGGCCACGAGAGCAGCTTCTCCATATTCGCCCTGAATCAATGCTCTATCAACATCGGACAGTTGCACCTTTGTGGTCAGCACCAATGGTGTTTTGGAGTGACAGTCAGGCAGTTCATGCAATGTCCTGGGTAACTCTTTGTCGAAGATGTAACCACCACCGACCGTGATGTAAGTATCATGCAGTTCCAGCACCCGTTGAAAGTCGTCTGCATTCAGTGTTATCACTGGAATTGCCCTGCCGAACATCTCCTCCGCGACCATTACCCCCAGGGTGAGGATCTCCTCGCGGCGCTCAAAGAGTATTGCCTTGGGTCCGCGGTTGTTGAGTAGGAGTTCAAGCATCACCCCGCTGCCCGAGCAGGACCCACGACCACCTGGAATGGCGAGGATGCGACCTTCCAGAGAGTGGCCATTCAAGGGGTGGTGTTGGTCAATAACCCGGCCTGTTTGGGGGTCGACGCCACCCCAGAAACTCAACTCCACGTGGCTGGCAATCAGCCTTCCAGAAGCCGTTCCTTTCACGTGGGCGACTCCATGGCAGAGGGGCGGAGGGGACATGCTTGTAAGAAGAGGTGTCATTTTAAGATCGTACCGCAGAAGTCATTCATTTGGTCGGACGATGTTTTTTGAGTAACAACGAGGACCATGCCAATGACGAGGATGGCCAAAGCTGGGGGAATCTCTGGTTCGGTGATTCGGCAAAGGAGGCCGCGATAGTAGCCTCAGGCCATCGATAACCAGTTACCCGCTCGGGAAGGTCATCCGAGGACTAGTTTTACTTCATAGTAAATATTCTCATGTTCCACAGTGCAATGTCGACCATGATAACATTTCAGCGAGAATGTATACAGAGTAGCAATAAGTTAGTACAGAAAAATAACAGAAATGATATCATGTATCTCCCATGTGGTCTCGGCTGATAGCCATGATGATATATACGCGAGAGTGAGCCTGCAAGATGCGGACTGAATTCATTTTCCGCGATTATCGCCTTCCAAGCAAGCAGATTTCACCTAACAAACAGAGTGGCGTGACCTCATTCTGGACAGAATGCGGATATAAATTAGCATGTGCATCTGGCGTCTTTTCAAGGTTACTCTTATCACCAAGCTACCCTTTCCTGCAGTCATTCGCTAATCGTCGAGAGCTTTACAATGGCGGAGCTTCTCGAGCCAGTCATCCTCGGGGATGGGATTCAATTGCGCAATCGCGTTTGCATGGGGTCCATGACGCGAAATCGATGCACCGATGGAAATAAGCCGACCCATGCGAACATCAAACATTACACCGACCGAGCGCGGGACGGCGCCGGGCTTATCGTCGCAGAGGGCACCTTTATCAGCCTGAACGGTGCCGAATGGCCCCACGCGCCTGTAATGTACAACCAAGACCATTCAGATGCTTGGGCCAAGGTGACAAGCGAGGTGCACAAGGTTGGGGGAAAGATTCTCTTCCAGCCATGGCATCCAGGTGAGTCCTGCCAATTCATGTTTTCGTCGTCCTGGTAAGAGAGTGAGGTTCCTGACTGTAGAGTATATATGACATATAGGACGCATCCAGAATGACAATATGCCGATGTTGAAAGAATCAGGATATCCAGTATATGCACCATCCAAGATACCTGCCAAGGGCGGAAAATATCGTACATTGGAGGGACTTCAAGGCCACACTCATAACATCACCGAAATCGATGACCCGAGAGTCATTGTTGAACAATTTCGGCACTCTGTCAGCTTGGCCAAGTCTGCTGGATTTGATGGAATTGAGCTACTAGCACAAGGGTAAGTATGCAAGAAAGGCGACCCTTCGTGGATACGGCCATCGGAACTGACACTGCGGCTGGCTAGCGGGTATCTTCTACACAACTTCCTGTGCTCGTAAGCGATATCCCTCTACATAATGCATGCTTCACGAGCTTATCTGTTATCTAGGCATTCTAATACACGCACTGACCAATATGGTGGTTCTGTTGAGAATCGCTGCCGTTTCCCGCTCGAAGTACTCGATGCCATCATTGAGGTCTGGGGGCCTCGAACAGTTGGGATCAAGATCTGCCCTACAGATGACTATAATGACACCATGATCTCATACGAAGAAATGAAAGAGACCTACACATACTTCATCGAGGAGCTAATGCGTCGCAATCTCGCTTTCATCAACTTATCGCGTCGAGGCTGTGATGTGGGGCGGGAAACCGATGACTATTTCAGGTCCCAACCCAGGTCTCATGGGAAAGAATTGCCTCCAAAGTACGAGCCTCTGACGGACTTTGGCGCTCTCATTAAGTATCCTGGAAGTCGCACTATGCTCATGGTGAACCACGAGTACACGGTAGAGGAGGCAAGAAGTCTGTTGCAAAAAGAGAAGATTGACCTCGTGACATTTGCACGGCCATTTATTTACAATCCGGTGGGTTGACAATAGCGTTCGTGAGCTTTGGCACTAGCTTACATGGAGGAATCCAGGATCTCATAAGCCGGATTAAGAAAGGTGCTCCTCTTGCCTCAAACACTCGCGGTGGTAAAGTGAACTATGGACCATTCCAGGATCCCAATGAGAATTACAATGATTGGCCGTCATTTGGAAGGGAGGGTGAGGGTATTGCCGGTTAGACAACTCCCTCCTAGTTCACGGAGGTGCGTCGGAGAACGGTGATGACAATTATCCCATGCTACAACCTACATAACAGCCAAGGAGAAAGAAGGGAGTTGTCTAAAACACAAATACCAGCACCTTCCTGATAGATGGTATAAATTGGCATTATTGGTATAGAACTATATATTTCCCAACCATCATTAGTAGTGATTACGATATATGAATATATATTGAAATAGATATAGCAAGAGGCTGAGATTGTAGAAGGAAGCGCCACCAATATAGAATGAGGGATCGGAAGAACATGATTTTCTCGGATCACATGCGAAAAATTCCAGATAGGTTTATGTCTTAACTTTTAAAATGAAGCCGAGCAAGTAAGAGTGTAGATGGATGCCTGTTTGGAACGGTTTGATTTTCCAGTCGGCGGGCCCGAGCACGCCGCTCCACTCGGATGTCTCAAACAGAGCCAATGGCCGATGGCATCCTTCCTTAGTGGTTCGATAGTTGGGAACGCGTGGCTTGATTTTAAATTTAGCATAATCTTGAAAGTGACACGAGTACAGCCTCCAATTTCCGGAGAAAAGCAGAAGCGGAGGCTGCTTATATCTTCGCATCTGCCCAGTATCCTGCCATGGGGGTCAACGGTTTTTCCCCTTGCATCGCGCCCTTCTGACCCCTTTAGTCACTCGTTTGGTCGCCTATAGCATTCACTTATTCATTCATTTGATATTCAGTTCTTGTTCTCACTCACTCCTTCAATTGAGCCAAATTCTACGCCGCGACCATGCGGTTCGTCATTCCCTTCATCACCCTCAGCTCCCTGGCTGCGGCCATCAGCATCACCGAGCCGGCCCTCAACTCAACCTACGCCGCCGGTTCCACCATCACCGTCAACTGGACCACGGTTGACACCGATCCCACCACCTTCAGCCTCTATCTCTGGAATTTCGTCTACTGGCCACCCTCCTATGTCCCCTTGGCGCTTGACATTCCGACCTCCGACCTGTCATACCCCGTGCAAATCCCCTGCGACACCGATCCCGAGTGGGGCTACCAGATCAGCGGGATCAACGGCACCAACGTCTATATCATCTACGCCCAGTCCGAGAAATTCTTCGTCTCCGACGCGGCCAACGCGACCGACTGTGTTGATACGAGTCTTACAGCACCCGGAGCATCTGCTACGTCTACCTGCCCTGCAGCATCTACCGTTTATGTCACGGTGAGCCCTACCGCGTCCAGCTCTGCTTTGTTCCACCACAGTCATCACCATGATCATCATCTGCTTCATGACCATTCCTCCCATCTCCCGGCTCCTTCATCCACTCCTGCTCCTGCCTCCTCCAGATCTGTCAAGCCAGGAATCGTGCCTAAGACTATTGGTTGGTGTTCAGACTATTCCCACCCTGTGACCTTGAACAAGGTTCCCACGCCGACGGCAGCATTGTATGAGGCGGAGACGGCGTCCCAGGCCAGCACTCAGGATGTCAGCTTCGTGACGGCCACCACTACCATGAGCGTTGTCGGCAGTGCCGGGAGCGATGGATGTCCTTTTGTCTGAGGGGAAACCCTTTGAGTGCTTACCTGCCCCTTGTGTGATCGACCTCTCTGATCTGAACCTCCTACTATGTAAGATGATATACAGTAACATAGTGCAACTTGACAGCCTATATACATGACACATTCCATATATACCGGTTTACATACTTCTAGAGAAAGTATCTGTAAAGTCTTGTGATTAATTTAATTTGTAGAAGTCGTGCGCATCTCAGCGGCTAAAATCCTCCCAAATTTGTGCTGTGGTAGGATAGGAATCCCCTACTATACTAAGCTACGACTGCCGACCAAACAACCCGACATATGCTATGTGTATCTGTAGATTACTCCTGCACACCCGCAATCATGACCTTGAACACATCCGACCGTCCCGCCTTGACCAACTCAAATGCCTCCTCGGCCTTCTCGAACGGGAACCGGTTCGTGATCAACCGCTTCACATCAATCTTGCCCTTGGCGATCAGATCAATAGCCGCAGGGTAGCATCCGGTCAGATAACGGATCGATCCCTTGATGGTCAACCCACGCGTGCATACCGCCGTAATGGGGAACGTGATGTTCTCCTTGCCCATACCGGCCTGCACGAATGTAGCTCCCCGGCGGGCGGCATAGATACCCAACTGGACACACGGCTCAGCACCAGAGCACTCCAACACCACGTCGGCGCCTTCTCCCAGTCCCAGCTCCTCCTTCAGCTGTGTGGCCACCCGCACCGCGTGCACCATGGAGTCTGTGCCTGGCTCGGCCCGCGAGGGCATGAACGTGTGATCGACGCCGTACGACTTGGCGACTTCCAGTCGGGATGGAACCACATCCACTCCGATGACGGTCTTTGCTCCAGCGGCCTTGGCCACGGCCTGGCAGAGTACGCCGATCGGACCACAGCCCAGAACCAAGACGGTCTGATGGGCTTGCAGGTTAGCTGTCTTGGTGATGGCCACGGCGACCGATACAGGCTCAACCATGGCTGCTTCCTCGAGAGTCATGTGGTCTGGCACCTTGTAGCAATAGTCACCGGCGTTGACGTAGTATTTGGCCAGTGTGCCATCCCAAGGCGGGGTCGCCGCGAAGATGGTGTCACCACAGAGGTTATACGACCCACTGCGGCAGTAGTCGCAACGACGACAGGGTACGCCGGGTTCCATGGCGACGCGATCGCCCGGTCTGAGGTGTCGGACTTTGTCGCCGACTTCGACAACTACGCCGGAGGATTCGTGGCCGAGGATCATGGGTCCGGTGAGGATGAAATCGCCGATGCGACCGCGTTGCCAGCTGAACTTATGTCAAAGTCTCCGTCCATGATAGGGTATATGAGAGGATCCATACTAGTGAACCTGGGCGATACGTTAACCTGGAACTATATAGACCACTGATTGTGAGGATAAAGGAGGGAAAAAATGCATACATCACTTCCACAAATACCAGTCTGTGCCACATGGACAATCACATCGTGAGGGTCTTTGAGGATGGGTTTGGGCCGGTCTTCAATGACGACGTCTTTGATGTCGCGCAGGACAAATGAGGGGTTCTAGCCCGCGCATCAGTTTGGCATATTGTGACGGCAGAAATAGGCTCACCTCCATGGTGCTGATGGATCAGTCTCGATGATTTTATAGTGATAATCTGTTCTCTTAAGGTGCGGCGAGCCTTGATGCTTTCTCCTCCTAAACCAGTTGTTGATCTGGTGGGGGAGCACCATCTTCTACCCCTCTTCTCGTCATGTGCAAAGACAGTTCAGGAGGAGATGTACTGAAACGGGTATATTTGCCGGCCTTGTTCGCGTGCAGGCCCCTTGTAGATCACTCCTGCTTACGACGACCCTCTCTATATCCTTAGCCCTGTAGCCATTTCCCATCCTTATACCTACTGAGTATCTACGACTACGCTGCGCTTTCTGTGGTAGCTTTTCGAGCACGTACGCATGCTTTGCAAATTGCGATTGAATACAATTATACGACAGTACCCCTTTCGACTGGTTCGTAAGGCGAAATCCCCGACTTATACTGTATCTATCGCCTGGATTTCCCAAACAGGTGATCGCCTAACCTTCCCAACCAAGCAGCTCTGTCGATTCCTACTCTTTATCTCTTTATCTGGGTGTATTCTTGAGATATTAACAACATGGGTAGCCTGTTTGACATGTCCTGTGTCATCCAATACCCAATCATCAATGTCGTCGCGTCATATCCAAACAACTCAAAGATCACATACAGCGTAGAAGCAACTGATAGATCTCAATTGTAGCCAGGAACCACAGTTACTTGTTGGTTCGTAGATCAATCTGCACGCAGTCTCGGCGCCTTAGTAGGCACCAGCAGCCAGCTGATACCCGTAGCGCACAGTAGAGCCAATAACATGGGCTGCAGGGCCTTGACGCCGGTGTGGGAAGAGATGATGCCCGTCAATACGGGGAAGAGCGATCCTCCAATCTGCCCCAACACGAAGACAAATGCTGGATACATAGAGTTAACACCTTGCTTGTTGGCTAATCATGGAATCCACGTACCAATCCCGGAGGAACGAATGTTAGCCGGAAATATTTTAGATGCGACCGATATTCCCTGTGTGCGATGTTAGACGGTGAATGCTATTGTAGAATGTAACAGAACTCACTGTTGCGAAGAAGGGCCCCGAGAAGAATCCCAACAAGCAAATGGCCATGGCCTCAACGCCTATATTGGGCACCCTATAGTATGTGTCAGATCATGAAGATGTGGAGAGCAACACTGGGCGAACTAACAGCCAGAACACCAGCTCTAACCCAGCACACAGGGCAGCGTATATAAATATCATGCGACGCTCTCCTAGACGATAAGTAGGTTCGGCTAGAAGTAGTCGACCAAGAAAAGCTCCGCCATAGAACCCCGTCGGGATATAACCCATCTGGTGCACATCACCATGCCGAACGCGAACAAGGTACTCGACAATCCATCCTAACCACTGTGAGTCTCTTTTTCACTTTACCGAATATGGGTTCACTTACCACCGGCCGTGATGGCCGCTCCCAGGAAAAAGAAAAAATAGAGACTTGTCAACCAGACAGCTGGTACACGAAGTGTATCCTTGATCTCCCTTACGGCACGGGTACCGCGACTGTTCTTACCCGAAGCCTGCGGGTCGTCGCTTTGAACGGCTTCTGAGGAATGATGGACGGACATGCTATCGCGGAAGGCTATCAATACCAGTATCAGGTTTATTAACCCCAAACCAAGTGGAAAGACATAGAATAAATTCCACTGTGACTGCCTATTAGCAGACGCTACAGCGGTAGCCACCAGTGGCCCGACGAGACACCCAGCCATGTACATGGCATGGATAAAGCCGAGCCATCGGTGGGCGGCCTTGACCGCAGCGACATATGTATTGGCATGGGTGTCATTGAATGCTTGTCCTAAACTAGCCAGGAAGAAAGTTATAGCATACAATGGGAACGGCGGAAGCCAGGCACGCAGGACATGGGCCAGCACTTGAAGCGCAGCCCCCAGAGCGAGCATAGAACCTAATCCAAGGTATTGGCAGGCGGTGCTATTGGTTAGGGCGGCCACCAACCAGCCCACGAGAGTTGTAACATAACTAGCATAAATATCATTAACCGTAGGTGGGTGAATTTATGCTTCGGGCGGACCTACACGATAATTACCAGACCGGTACTAACGTGGTACGTCTCGAGCACGTAGGGAAGCAAGGAGCCTAGACTGCCGTCGTTGACACCAGCGACGAAGAAGGAGAAGCCCGATGCGATGAGCTTCAGGTAAGGGACTTTAGCCTCGGTAACGGAAGAATCATTGTGTGGTTCTTCTGGCACTATCGGGCTTGGCCGCTCTTCTGGCTCGGTGAGCGAGATGGATTCGCACGCAGTGGTGGATACCATTGAGAATGATTAATATGTGCGACTGGAAGGAATTATCTTGGGTCTCCCTCTGACTTATACTGTCAGACTTGAGTTCTTTGTCGTGTGAACCCCGATGTCCTAATAGGGGAGGAGGCTGTTACTCCGTTTCTCCGCTTCGCGGGGAGGCGGGGAGTGGGGAATTTTGCCCAAACAGGCAATACTGGCAGCAGTCCTCCCCGGTGCTCTTAGCCGGGGTTGCTGGGGAGAACATTTCCTACGGTCGCGTTTTGGCACCATGAATCTTGAATTAGCGATGTGTTGCTGTGAGTCTATATACACATTCATTAATCGATAGAACTCAATGGAACGCAATTGTGCTGCCAGATTGGCGCTCTGGACGTATCAGCAGGGGAGTATCATATTGTACTATCGCTGCATATTGATAACTAGTAATGAAGCCCGGCATTTGTCTCTGTTTATTACAGTGGGATCATTAACCTGCATTCTATTCATTGACAGGTCGATTCTCTCTCTATCGCCCGCAGCTTTGCTTACGTGACGTGGACGTTGAGAGAGGCCCATGCGTCGCACTGTCTTTATGCCCCAGGTACCGATTCTTTAGAAACCCCACCGGCAATGAATTTGGGCGCAACGATGCCAAAGGCTCAGAGAATTATGGTGAAACAGTCGCTCATTTTCGTAGCCATTATAAGAATAGCTTGGTCTGGACAAGATGAGCGCACTCTACCTGATTATCTCAATGTACTCTGAGACACGCCTCCCTTCAGGCAAGCCCCATTCTTCTTGCTAAGATCACATCAAAGCTCAGCTTTGCCATCCATGTCATCAGACTCTCCAATCCTGCGATGGATAACAGCCGCAACCTCGTCACTGTTCTCCTCCAGAAACACCATATGACCATTACCATGGATGTCGACGTCTGACAACTGCAAGTGTTCAGCCTGTACCCCGGCCTGTTGCAAGAACCTCACCGTGCACCAATCATACTGCGCATGGTATGATGCTTCCGTCGTCACTAAGACCACGGGAATCTTGTTCAGGTTCACCAGTTGCCTCGCAGGGGGGTCATCCGCTTGCATGATGCAGTCCGCCAGTATTGACGAGTTGGATGGCAAGATTGTGGTGGAGAAGTCTGTGCTCGGGTCCGACACTGGCGGCGAGTACGTGATGGGGATGTCTGTCAGCCCATATGCCCGGGCAGTAGTATTTCCAAATATTGCATTGCTAAATGGAGGACCACCAGGCTCGATGGAGACAATCGAGTGTACCAGATCGGACCGTTGGTCGGCTAGTAGCCATGCCATGATTCCGCCTTGCGAATGAGCTATCAAAATAACTGGCCGGCCAATTCGATCCAGCAGGGCGGCGCCCGCGTCGCGCATGGCAGTTTGCTGCAGCACATTATCACTGACAAATGGCACAGCACCAGCGTAGTAGGAGTCAAATATGGGGTCACGCATGACCCCAGTCCCAGGCCACTGAGTGTGCAGGGAAGCTTGTGGCCATAGCCCGTACCGTTCAGGCGCGGTGAAATATCGTTGCAGGTGTTCGGCCGAGTACGTCTCCAGTGGACCGTTGAAGATTTGCCAGGGACTGCGGCCACGGAACGGCTGATCGAACAGGTAGCATTCGTAGCCCTTATCAAGGAAGTACGATGCCCATCCTGGCTGGCCGTCTGGCTTGTTCAACCAGTTCTGTCCATGCTCTGTTAATGCCATTCCGCCAACTGAGTCTGGGCTGACCTACTGTCGCTGTCTGAGCCTGGCCATGTATAAAAACAATTGGATATGGCTGAGTCACTTGTACTGGGGTCAATTTCTCGACATAGATCTGATTAGTGTATACATGCTCGCCATTCTCAGTGACCGAGTAGTTTCCCCCAACGTAGAAATAAGTTCTTTGGTGGATGCTATCGCCACTGGCGGGAGAGAACAGAGCCAGGAGGTATAGACTGAGCCGAGTGAGCATCGTGCGAAACAGAAGTTCAACTGATAGGAAGAAAGTTGAATTCATGAATGAAGATGGGAATGTGTCGGGACAAGCTCGGGATTGCCGTGGCAACCTTCCTGCATGTCATCTGCACCTGCTGCGGACGTATCACATACGTGGTGGCAGAAGGGTTGCACGTCACCCCGAATATGAACTCTCGACAACCAATTGTTGTCCTGTCAGTTCATGGTTTATAAGTGTCCCGAAGAAGAGGAGGCATTCTTAGTGAGCCGTGGGATACGATGGGAGTTACTCGTCTTGGCAATACGCCGGCATATTAGTCGGTCTAAACTGCGCTCGAGCTCCCGATATTATATGTTCGTACACATGGTTTATACGAATATTTCATACTATATGTGTACATACATATATGCAGTTCACGAATGGACAAGTATCTACGATCATGTTCTCCATACTCATGGGGGCTTGACTTCCCTGACCTAGCACTGAAAGAGACAGTATCGTGTGCGTTAGCTCAAGGATGGAATTGCAGTCATCAGAACGCGAGCTACTCGGAGTTGCATGACCGGTTGCAGATGGGCCTAAAAAACCTCCCACTTGGTGGCAGGCTATTGGTGTAACCAACGAAGAGGACCTCAGCTAGATACCCTGTGGCTGCGCTAAGCAAACCCTACTTCATATGGTGAGACCGAAGCAAGAGGTCACTATTACCACCGAGGGCCATTTTCAGCATACAGCCAAGCATATTAGATGTTCGACACCCTAGTGATCGATCGCTTTATTGCCTAGACCCTCGATGACGGCTAGGGCCGATCGTTAGGCGTGTCGATCTGGAGGACGGAGGTCTGACAGGACCCCTATTATGACGGGCTCGTCAATATTGCTCATTTCCCTGGGGCAAGCCCGGAACCAATGGACCTTTGGCTTTGGCTCCAGTTCAGTTGGTCTTACATATGAACTACTCCATAAAGGTGGTGTTCTTTTCCTTCTTTCGTCAGTAAAGCTTGTCAGCCTTGTTTCACCCTTAGCCCCTTGGCCATTAACACTAGATCATCCTCGTGCTGCAGCCATTGGCCAGGTAAATCACTCGCTTTTGGAGAACGTATCAAGCTTATCGAGCCGAGCCAATGACGGGAGAAGCCTATATTGCTGCCTAGTATATTTGCGTGTTGGAATTGAGGCTAATGGGCGAAGCTTCTGGTGCGTGTGTTGTGCGAGCTGCGGAAACCCCCGATCTTCGTCACACCCGGTATTGTTACTCACCATACTTACAACTTGATGTAATTCAGGATCATATATTACCATAGATTACATACACAACATCGACGTTGTCCGCGGATCCCGACACTCCCCAGGCCTCCCAGAGACCGAGGGTTCTCTGCTTTTCTCTTTTACTGTCAGAAAAATTCGGTGCAGGGCCATGCCACAAACTGGATTGCCGTGTGGAGGACCCGATTACACCCAGCTAGGATATCATCTTGGCACCACTTCCGTACAAACAATACCGAGCCCATCGATGGCAAACCCAAGCCGCCTGTTCAGGCGCCTACTTCGCCGAGTGCGGCGACATGACTGGAGATGTCTGATAGCATACTCGGCTCTGATCCTGCTGTCGGCCTCCATCTTCCTGTATCTTCTTCTCGCATACTACCTCGCGGGAGATCCGCGTCTTGTTCCACACACCATCCAGCAAGCGCGGAACGTCCTTCTCGTCACGGCACATCCCGATGATGAGACTTTGTTCTTTAGCCCAACTATCCTTCACGGTCGCGACAACCCGGATGTCACTCGTTCCTTATTGGTGCTATCGACGGGTGAGTCATTTCTCCACCAGAATTCTTCCGAGTAGTATATCTTCTAATGAGGTGCAGGCGACTATCATGGCCAGGGAGATATTCGCAAGGCAGAAATTGAACGTAGCTGTGCCGCACTCGGCATCTCATCTGCTCGTTGCGTTGTTCTGGAGCACGGTGCCTTACAGGATAATCCAGAGAAGTGGTGGCGCCAGGATGTTATTCAGGATATAGTCGCCCATTACGTTCACATGTGGAAAGTGGATCTGGTACGGTTCCCCTACACCATTCCAAATTAGTGGCCAGGTATTGAGGCTACAGAAGATCTTCACCTTCGATAACGGCGGAGTCTCCGGCCATATTAATCATAGAGCCGTGAGCGCCGGTGTTCGGTAAGTAAATGGAACCCTACTATTCAAAGCAATGAGGCTAACTGGGAGCAGAAAATATGCAGAGGACTTTCCGCATGCCCCACCGGTCTATGCCCTACAGAGTACATTCATCCTGCGCAAGTACTCGTCGCTCGTTGATCTGATCCTGACCTCTGTGCCATTCGCCTGGCGCATCGGGGCAGCGGTCCTGACAGCCGCGCCGGCGCCCACAGGACACGACATTTACGGAAACAGAGCGTTGCTAGTAAGTCCGTGGCAGACCTACCTGACTGCGCGAACAGCATTCAGTCAACATGATAGTCAGTATTCATGGGACCGGGTGTTGTACTTGGTAGTGAGCCGTTATATGTGGTTTAATAATCTGTATCGGATAGCCTAGACAGTGATTATGTTCTGTCAAATATTCTTTCATTAAGCAAAATTATTTGTCTCCAATATGGTATCCAAACGTAGAACCGTGAGCAAAACGTCTAGGTAGAAATTACAAATATTCAAGAATCATGTGCTTTCCGTAACATCTCTATCTCCTGCGACACTGCGTCCCTCTGGTGCCATTCCCGGCCCCGAGAGACACATAGGCTCACAGCCCAGCATCCTCCCGCCAAGGCGACCAGAACCATTCCAAACGCCACCCGTTGATCCATATTCGCAAACGCCTTGATAAATCTTGCGTCTTTCTCGTGCCAGGAGGAACTGCCCAAATGCCGAAAGAGCGGGGTATTGACCACACCGTTGAGCATATGCATTCGTGGGTTCTCGGGGGGACCAGTTAGGACGCGGAGGGTAGAGGTATCGCGCTGGATGGTGTAAATGGTTCTATAACTTGTTAGCCCTAATCTATGTTCTCTTTAAGCGTTACAGAGCGACGTACGAGGCATAGTGG